GACTTGAAAATAAATTCAGGACCACATCATCATGAGGTGGCCTTGGCCTAATGGCCTTTTTATATATAATAATATCCATGGCTAAGTAGGCGCAAGTAGTAGTTGCAGAAATTAGTAGTAATAAAGTTGTAGACCCATCCATCTCCGAGGAATGAAGCGGCGGATAGAATCCATCCATCCGATCCAATTAAGCGCCGGTCGATTTGCTAAGCGACAGTGACTGTGGCGAGGATACAAGTCAAAACGCTACCGCCATCTTGAAGTAACACCCTGAGCGTGTACTTGCCCTGCATGCGTGGAGCGCGACAAGGAAACAGCACCAAGAACTTCACCAATCATGACATGATGACTAGTGTAAGTAGGCAATTCAACATTTGGCAGTGATGACATGACGAACTTACCGGTACGACGTCGGTTGTCAAAGGTAAGTTGTCGGTCTTGTAAGCGGTAAAAAATTCTGGTGGACCGTCCGGCCCCGGAGCGGAAAAGGGAGGGTTGCCACCGTGGTCATAAATTTTTGCCGAACCCTGGAAGAGAGGGACGGGGAGAGTGAGAGGGAGGGGTTCGACCAGCTTGTACAGCTCAACGACGATGTCCGTAGTGTCTTTGGGTTTTTGATAATCTGTTCGAATCAATCACTCGTCAGATGCATGCATGCGTATTATTTTCCATACGTACGTACGTTGGAAATAATATTATCCAGATCTTCTTGAACATATTATGATATTATACCCTGAACTATAGCTAGTTCGTACCTGCTGTATCACCTTCGACGTAAACACTTAGTTTGCCGCCGCCTATCACAGGATGAGGGTCGACGATGAGAATGGTAATCGCCACATAATAGGGACTAGTACTGCAGTTCCGGAAAGGCAAGGGCTCCAACAGCTGAGCCGATGAAGGTGTGATCAGAAGAGCAGAGACAGCCATGGCAAGGATGAGGAGGAGGAATGAGAACGACGATGCAGCTCTAGTAGTTGCCATTGCCAGAGAGGATCGGAGGCCGATGGATGGATGGATCTGTTTGGGAAATGGGTGGAGTAGGTAGTAGATATTGTGCTTTTTCATGACTGTAACTAGTCCATTTATATAGGAAGGAAGGGTTATGTGACTTAGGGAAGCGGCATGCACGCACCCTACAGTAGATTAATGCATTATTTGAAGACTTTATTATCACTTGATAACTACTTAAAGCACCATCGATCCATTCCATTTAAGTAGTAAAATGTATGTTGGCTGGCAAAAAGATATTCATATCATCATGCAAATTAAATTAGCATTATTTTGTATTTTACACTTGAATGTTTCCTTCCAGTTACAACTTAAATCGCAATAAAATGAGCAAACTTATTTAAACGTCTGGCAAAATGATGTTCAAACATGTGCAAACTTGCTTTCTAACACGTAACCGTAATCTCAAACTTAGAATTCTAAGAATTCACACACTCTGGTTTCGGTAATGACTACGAAACCAATCGTTCTGACAAAATTTTGAGGGATGCATGGTTACAACATTTCCATATCTTGCTAATAAGCTATTTCTGTTTAGGGAGACCCTCGGAAAAAAGATGATAGCTTGATTCCTTGACGGGCAGCAATTAGGGTTAAGTATGACAACTCAGTTGGCAAGTGGGTATATCTCCATAAAATAATAATAGTGGAATTACAAGGGGAGTAGCAAAAGGGTGGGTGTTGCTTATAAATTTGAAAAGGATGCCAACAGAGGGTGTTGCTCAAGTTTTGTAAGAAATATCATTAGTAAAAATGATGTGTCTTAGTTTGGTAAAAGGATGATGTCCCTTCGCACATGTTTTGCCATAAAAAATGGACACAACATTCACGTATAATCTAGGACTTGTTTACTTTCATTTTTTATTTCTGTTTTTGAGAAAACAGATGTTGAAAACATGTGAAAACAATATTTTGTCGTTTCTGAAAATAGCAGGAAGTTGCCACTTTTGTTTTCATATTTGGAAACAAATAGAAAACTGAATGAAAAATAAACAAGTTTTCTCATTTCGATTGCCAAATATATGACATGAAAACAAAAAATAAGAAACGAAAATGGAAGTGAACAAGGTCTAAGTTTTTTTATGCAATCCCATCCATTGATGAACCAATTTTTTCATACAATCTTACCAATCAATCATGCTATATAATCAATAATTCCTCGTGACTGCTGTGTAATTAACTATTTAATTTTACTCATATAAAACAATTTTCTATTGTTTTAGCTAAAAATAGTCTAATTTGTAACAAATACTAGCGCAAGTTGTACAAAGAACCTTTTCTCCATTAGGAATCGTTATTTTCAAGCCATAAATTGGTTGACTTTCCATACCTCTCCCATTAAAGAAGTCTTTCTGTCAAGGTGCTTTGGTTTGAAGAAACTCTCTTGCTGGAATTCTAATCCAATGCCTAGCTGCCAAGTGCCAATTCCAACAAATGCCTCCACCTTGCTGGAATTCTAATCTATAATTGGAATTATAAGAATTAAAAAAAAAAAAACTTAAGTAACGAGTTTCGAAATAAAGTAGACGCCTTAGAAAAGGAATCTCCTTCTCCCAATAAACATATATGAAAAAAAGATCATTGAATCAAGTTGCAATAATTCAACTGATTCGTCAACCCACAAACAATCAGCCAAGTTGGAAGTTGATAAATAAGAAGACAAGTATTGACAGTTCCTTTCTAATTAATCTTATCCTAATAACTCAAATTATTGAAATAAAACGGCTTACGACATAAGTTGTCGGAAGAGTTTAATTATAGAATTTTTTTATCATTTACTAATATGACTCTCAAAATAAAGTCACTCATGTATTTTTCATGTCAAAAACAAAATAAATCACTCATGTGTTTGAAATTTGTACATATGAATACCATATATTTAAATTAATTGTTGATATTAGGGGTTATGGAGATTTGAACATGTAGCTTCATAGTCAAACCAACTTTGGTATCATGTTAAAAGCTGTTTGATTTTTAATAACCCGAGTTGTTGTAAGAATGTTAACATTGAAACTTATAACACTCCCTTCCAAGTTCCAACCAGTGGCGGAGCTACACTCAACCTATGGTGGGCCCCAACCCCGACCGGGATTGATCCCGACTCCTAGAACTTTAAGGATATTTACTATTTAGTATAAATTTTATAAGTAAAACGTGTTAAGTAAATTTTGTCATGTAATAGCCATGTGGTTTAATGGGAGCCAAAATTGACTTGTGTCTTAATTTACACTGGTTCGATCTCCATTGACCAAATACATTTTGTTTAATTATTATCGACACCTTCGATATCAAAATTCCGGCTCCGCCCCTGCTTCCAACATTCAATCCCAACAAGAGAACTTCAAAGTGGAACACAATATATATCAATTATTCCAATCTCAAAACAGGAGTAGCAAGTTAAGATTATAGCAGTGGAGAAATAAGGTATGAATGACAATCCATTCTTGAGGTAAAAGATTAAGACAGTCATTACCGGCCACCCAATCAGCAAGTGAATTGAACTGAGAAGAAGCGAACATGATTGAAATCCAGGCAGCCACTATCAGCACGAAATCAAAGAGAACTTTAAAACCGACGTATGATTTTGTACGAAATTTGGGGAATTACGTATAAACAATATGTATTTTATAAATAATTCCGTCTGCAAAAAGAAACACAAGTGCTTGCGTAGTCTGGTGGTAAGCATAATAAATGATATCTTTTATTGACCAGAGTTCTATTCGTAGACGGTGCAGATTTGTGCATTTTACAATTTTCTTCTCTTTTACTTTTTTTCTTTCAAAAATATACACCATCGATCACTATTCACCAGCTACTAAGGGAAATATAACATAATATTTAATAATATGTTCATATGATCTACCTTTTTCTCATGATAAACGGAAAAAATTTCGGCCCCCGAACCTCAAATTCTGACTTCGCCCCTGCGTCTTAGCATAGGGATCTACATGTCCGTGCAATGCAGGTTTCACATATTCCAATTCCTCCCTTCAACTTTGGCAGATCCCTCGCAAGCTTCTTTTTCTGCAGGAGCTGCAAATTAGCTATTCCCAAATGGTCAAACCTGCGATGCCATAGTGTAACTGTTGGATCTATGACAACATCAGTCTTGAGACACTGAGAATGCTGACTTGCAAGAGTATGCTCAGCATGAAGAACAAACATCCTGTTTGTTTTCATTTCAGTCTGCAACAACAGACCTTTTTCTACATGATAAATCTTGCAGCTGCCTTCTTTGATTACAAAGGTTAACCCTTTCTCCTGCCATTGACCAATACTTAACAGGTTGGTTTTAAGTCCAGGAACATAGAATTCCTCCTGGATTGTTATGCTTCTTTGATTCACTTGCATCTTCACCTCTCCTTTTCCAGCAACTTCTAGTTTGGAATTATTCCCCAGTCTTACTGTGCAAGCAAAACTAGCATCTATGCTAGTGAACCACTTTCTATCGCCACTCATGTGATTACTACAGCCAGAATCCAAAAACCACCAATCATTATTTGACTTCTCCTTGACAGAATCCTGAAGAGCCATCAATCCCTGTGTTTCATCTTCCCACTCACTTGAGTCTTCAGATTCTACACAGGCCATTAACAAAGAATTTAAGCTAAAACTAGGAATTAAGGGAAAGGGCATTAAAAATTTTCCTATAAAAAATCATATTATAATTACGATAAACCTATTCACATTCGAATATTTTGAACAACAAATAATACGTTAAAATTCATCAAGACTCTACCTAGTACATATGCAAAAGTATAAAGTGAAAACCTTCCAAGCTTTCCTTTTTGTCACGTCAGTAACAAGGTTTTGTGATGAATATATTCAAAACGTATACACAAGACAAAGGTCGAAACTAATGACTTGATACCGCCACATTCCCCAGTCACCACTTACACATATATATAAGCCTTCTTCAACAACATCGAAAGGAGACTCATTGCCCCCATTTCCAATCTCCATACAAACAACAAGCTCTATAACGAAATATGTCGGCGTTCAAGTTGCAGTCCGACAACCAATTCCTCCGAACCCACAAAGGCCACCCGGGCGTCGTTTACGTCTACGAGTACATGGACGATCCCAACGTTTTCGCGATGATCCACGCCAGCGACTCCCGCTGGAATTTGCCGACAGCGGTGGGCCATCCCGCCGCGTTCAAGGCGCTGGAGGTCTGCGGCGTGACGATCGGAGGCGAGAAGCTGAAGGAGCTGGCCAAGGACCTGACCCTGACCGACCCGAGTACCGGCCAGACGTTTCACCTCATCGTCAACCGGCAGGGCCTCTGCTTCGTGTACGTGGCGAGCCAGCCGATCGTGCGGCTGAGGATCAACGACCACTTCGGCTGGTCCAAGTACGGGGTGAAGCCGCGGATCAGCACGATATGGAGCGTGTGGGACATGAGCAACGGCGCCGTTTTGGTTGCTCCTCCGACTGAAGATGATGCTGCTGATGGTGGCGACAAGTATTCGGCGTTGAACGAGAGCTGGAAGAAGGTCGTGGAGGAGAAGGAGAAGGTGAGGGAGGAGAAGGAGTCGTTGCTGAGGAAGTCGCTTGCGGAGAAGGAGAGAGAGGTGATCGCTCTTAAGGCTGTGGTGAAAGCGCTGAGTAGCGACGAATAATTCCATGCATGCATGCATCTTCCTGTTATTTATCTGTACAATAATGGAGATTGAAATCGTCTCTCTCCTATGCAATAAATAAAATTGACTAATTATTACAAAATCAAGGTATGGAAATAAAATAAAAAATTGATTAACATTGTTGTTTTTATTTCTTTCATATAGTTAAAAATGTTTTAATGAAAATGTTTCGAAACTTGGTAACTATGATATTAAAAATTAAGATCGTAAGAAAATATCGATTTAAGGTTATGGTCATTATTCGGCTGGTCAGCGCTGAGAGATTTGCGTCACTCGCGGTGGCTTAAGCTAATCCAATCAGGTGGTACCATCAGTGTGTTACGTTTCAATTTCGCTCTTCATAACTATAATTAATAGGGCGGGTCATCTCGTGTGAAAAACCAAACTCTTTCATCGGGTGGTTCATATATACACTTGTAGATTTTGGAATTCTTAGTTAATTATTAGACCAGGACTAGTTAGTTTGTATGTCTAGGTATAGGTACCATTATGAAAATTTATACTTGTATCCTTTGAATTTGGTAAATCGGTGAGTGAAGATTAATATGTTGATATAAATTGATGATGCTCGATGTTGGTTAGTGAAAGCGAAACTAGATGATATGAATAGACACAGGTGTGAACATTACAAAACTTGCATGATCAAGTTAGCAATCTTTAGAACGCAGAGGACGTATTTGTTATATTACCGATTGCCTTTCCCTCCTCCATCCAACGACTACTTGTATAAAAGAGGATCCCATAACTCTGTAGAGTTTAGAAGCACTACGATTCTTTTTCGGATTCATCAATACAAAGCAATTGATTCTTTCTGTCTCCTAGAAGAAGCAATTGAAAGAAGGATAAACGAAGATGAAAAGGCCTTACATGGGAAACACAAAATAATTAATATTGAAGTAATTACTAATTAGTAGTTAATTCCACAAGTCCATTGAATCTAACTCAAACTAATATATAATCCACCCTATAAAGTACAAATCCCTCCTACAGTCTCTGAAACGATCGATCATTTCCCACATCTTCAAAACAAGCCAAAATGGGTTGCCGCGATTTATTCATTCCACACATTCTCCTAGCCCTAATTATGACGACGTTTGTGCTCATACAATTGAGTTTCGTCTACAAGCAGCACAACTCGACAACATGGTCGGTATATCACCTCAAGTCGGACAACGAGTTCATCCGTACGAGCAAAGGGTACCCGTACATCCTCGTGTACGATTACTTGGACGATCCTTACCTCTCCGACGTGATCCATGCAAACAGCTCTCGTTTTGAACCTCTAGCCGTCGTCGGCCGCCGTTCCTCCGCCGCGCCCTACAAGGCGCTCGATGTGCTGGGCGTGACGATTCACGGCGACAAGTTGGAGGAGCTGATGGAAGATTTGACCCTCGTGGACCAGACCGGCCAGACCTTTCATCTGCTGGTGAATCGACGGGGCCTGTGCTTGCTCTACGTCGGGAGTCGGCGAGTCATGAGGCTGAGGATCATCGTCGTCGTCCGTCGGGTGGGAGGAGCTGCTGGAGGAGAAGGAGAAGCAAGTGGCTGCTCTCGAGGCTGCCTTAGAAGCTCTTATTCGTGACAAACGTGAAAACAAAATTAAATGTGCTCTAAATATGGCGTAACAAGAGTTTTCTAATGTCGTAAATTGCACCTTTCATAAGAGATATACACCACTTTGAGTGATTTTGTTGATGTCAAAGAGGAACAATTTAATTTATATTAAAAAAATATTTGTTTACATTTTTGTTAAATTTTTTAATACTAAACCTAACCCGTAATCAAATGGTAGGATGTTTTGTGCTGAAATAGTGATTCAATCATTTTATAAAACTAAATTTGTCTACCAAATTAGTCTCCGATAGCCGTTTCCCAATTTGAACGTCAATACGGTACGGTTTTGCTAACACTGAAGTAGATGCATGTGACTCACTTGTGTAGAACATATATGCACAAATATATACTTCCTAGTTCATACATTTACCAAATTGAATCTGCATTATTTTTGTGTGCTTAAAAATCATTGAGTCATTTTACTATTTACAAGATAAGAAAAAGGGTTGATTGAACTATCTCGACACGATATGAAATCTTCTCAATTTTATAGGTTGCCCCATTCTTAGTCAATTCACCTATGATTTTCACCAGCTAATACACATACCGACACCGATCGTATAATCCATGGAGGCCACCTGAACCTTGATCATTACCATCTTCATCTTCACATGAAACGATACAAACACCATATTGATAATCAATACACCCAAATGACTCGGTAGGTCATTATTTGTGCATGAATGTACCGCAACACAATCAATAACCCATCCAACGAACCCTGAATAATTCCTTACACATCAAAATACATTAATATGTTCATCATTCATCCATAAGAAAGATTAAGGGGGGCTAGAAATATCATTACCTAATAATCAGTAGGAACCTTTCTTCACTTCCTGCAACAAAAAAACCCAAATGACACTCTACACTAGCTAGTCTTACTACTGTACATGAACAAGAATATACAGAAGTAAAAAAGCCAACACCCAAAAATATCAGTGATACAAACCTCAATGTGATCATCCACCTTCTCAAGAATCTCATCTTCATATTGGAGTGATCACCATACATATGTCAAATATCATGCGTTTCTAACAGACCAGACGACATCTTTGTCTCTTCCTAGAGCCAGACAACGACACCAAGGATGGAAAATACGTTACGAGCTCCAAATAATCCTCTTTCCCTAACAACTTAACCTCCACCGAATCCAAAACCATCCAGCTCTCCTTCTCCAGATCCACCACGCGCAGCTCGTCGTCTCCCATCACGAACCGGGCAAAGAGCTTGCCGTCCTTCCACAGCCGGGGGACGTGCAACCTGGTCGCAAAGGCCCGAGGAGGAGGACGAAGAAGGCTCGAGACATTGTACAGCATGGTCCATGAGCATTCATGTGGCCTCTGAAGCGCTGCATAGTCAAGCTCCGCCCAAACCTCGAAAAAAACTCCATGCTCGTTTGCCGAAGAGGAAAAAACCGCGACCAGGCACGACCCGTCTTTCGCCACGTGGAACGAGTCTCTGACATTGTGCCACGTCAAGTAGCGCACCTGCTGGGACGGGACTGGCACCTGCAGCGTCGTGAACGCCTCGGTGCTCACGTCGAAGCGGGTGAATCGATAGTAATACTCGTTGGTGCACCAAGGCGACAACCAGTGACATTTTTCACTTCTGGATGACGTAGCGGTCAGAGGGTACTCGTGTACCCTTTGACCGCGAAATACCTCCACTGGTGCACCGTGGAGGCGTTTGTACGAATTTCCCTTCACGCTGTACACGAACATTTTCTCCGATTGTTCGGACTCTAAATCATACTCCACGCGCTGGATTGGCTTCAGGGTGGTGAACCTGACAAGTACTTTATAGTCATTGGTTATCGGGTCGAAACCAAACCCGACCGGCCCGAGACATTCACCTAGCCGGCCATGAACCCGGCTAGGGTGGACAGGGGCGAGGGAGGGCAGTACCTTTGTCTCGGACGTCGTCGGATTCCAGAGGATGATCCTTTTGTCCGTCAGGGTCCCGGGGGCGCAGTTCCAGAGGCAGAAGATGCCTCTGGAACTGCCCGCGATGACGGCGGGTCCCCCGAGGATCAGGCCCGAAGCGGTCAGCGTCCCCGAGGACACGTGGTGGAGATCGTCGTCGTTGGAGTGGATGGAAAACGACGTCGTGGTGGCGTACTTCCCTTTGTTGCGAGCGATCATGACGTGGGCAGCCTGGTCGTCGCAGAAGAGGGTTTTCCCGACGAATTCACCGAGGAGGCGGCGCCACGACTCCGGATCGGAGCAGCGGGCGACCGTGATCCGGCGGGCGGCCTGGTCGTCGGAGAAGAGGATCCTGGTGATGTATTCGGAGAGGATGCGGCGCCACGATCTGCTGACGCAACGGAATCGGGCGAGGGAGGCGGCGTTCGGCAGCATCCACAGGATTCCCGTCGTCAATTCGTCCGGTATCCACACGGCGTAGCGGGCGGGGCTTCTTTTTACGCCGGGGGAGGACATTTTTCTACAGAGGGATGACTGGGATTGGAGAGCTAGGGTTTGATTGTTATCGTGTGACGCCGGTGTTGGGAGTTCGAGAGCTAGGTTTTTTTCTCTAATGAGATATATATCTCTTAGGAGCAATGTTGTCTAACCCGAGTTTAATAGTTGGGCAGGTGGAGAAAGTGAGTTAGGGATAGTGATCAAATTGGTTTAGTTCCGATATGTAAAAACAATTATTATATTATAGGATAAACTGCAAGGTTGGAAATTAAATCACTAAATTTTTTTATGTTTAGTCACTAAAAATATTTAGTTTCATTCATGACCATTAAGATTAGTTTAACATTCCAAGTTTAGTCACTCTTTGTTGGTCTCCGTCAAGTTTTGTTAACGACATTAGTTTTTGGCTACTAACCTTATGACCACGAATGAAATTAAATATTTTTAGTGATCAAACATGAACTATTTTAGTAATCTAAGCTACCAACCTTACAATTTATCCTTATATTATATATACATAAATAAGTTATTTGGTGTCTCAAAGATATTTAATGAAGATGAAAATTATGAAGATAAAAAGGTTCAACTTCTAGGGTTGAGCTACCACTCACTGAGTTCAACGTTAGCATTGCAGCAACATGTGAGATGATTGAAATGTGTGATGAAATTGATAATCAGATATGGACTAATAATCATGTTTTGTATATTTTTTGAAAGCAACATGATTGATGTCAAGTGTGTTGATTTTTGTTAGAATTTGCTTAAAATTGAAAATATATCTCTTTTTTCTGGTTTTTAGTTCTTATAATAGAAACTAAACTTGTTTTTGTTTATTGTAGTAAGCTTTCATGATTTTCAGATTTATAAACTAAACATGTTTGTGTTTTCTATTTTTTCCCCGTTGTGATTGTACATATGTTACACAACACCATTACAACCACAACATCAACAAAATGATACTAAACGGGGTCTAACTATAGTGGTTTCCATTTTTATATGAACCCTTCAGCTTTTTAAGTTGAAGTTCGAGTAATTATTAAGGGGGTGACAATAGAATAATATGATTAGAAATATAAGGATATTATTAGTGTTATGATAATATAATTCTAATAATATGGATATGGAGATATATTTGTAGAAAATCTTTATAGTATTATAACGCAAATGTTTGAATAAATTTCTTACGGTTATATTTGTGAACCCATGGGTACCTATGCAGCCATGGGCATCAGTTGGATAAGGTTTGGCCTTATCCCTTCTCTTCCTCGTTGTAGCGAGTTTTACCCGCTTTTGTAACTATTGAGTTAGGCCGTATGTGGATTTGTTAAAAATCATCCAGCTTTCCTTCCGACCCACACTCAAAATGCAAACCAATGTCATTTTAGGGGTGACTATCCAACTGAATTTGTTAAAACTCGGTCATCCTATCTGCACCCAAAATATATGTCATTTCATGTATGAGTATCCAACCTAATTCGAGCCAATCAAAAGGACTGAACATGGTGTTGGCAAGTGTTAGCTCGGGAGTGATTTTTACTCATTTTTGTAGTTGACAGATTGATTGGGTTGTGGATTTCGTTAAAACTCGGTCCACTTTCTATCGGCCCGCACCCAAGTAATAAAACAATAGGTTGAATCTGGTGTCAACGAGTTTTGGGTTGAGAGCGAGTTTTAGTTGCTTTTGTGATTGGTGGGTTAGGACGAGTGTGTATTCTGTTGAAATCAACACGCTTTTCCATCTGACATGTAACCATAAATAAAAGAATGTCAGTTTCCTAGTATAATTGACTTTCTATACTTTTTGAAAACACATTTCTATTGTGAGATTGTATGCACAGCAAGATCTAGATCCTTAGTTTTGAGTGGGGTAAGAAGAGAATAGATCTAAGGACTACGAATTAATGAGTTTTTTTAATTTTCCCTAATTTTCTTACTTGGATTTTTTTTTGTTCTAAATTTAATTTTAAATTTTTGCATAGATGGAATGAGTTCATTGTAATCTACCAAATGAGAACGGTTTTCAATATATTTCTAGATAAAAATTCATACCACTAGTTACCACCTTCGTTTTTAACTCGAATTTTGAAATTTTTTTTTGCACAAGAGGAATGAGTTCATCGTGATCTATCGGTTCTATTTTTTTTTTTTTTAAAACATAGGACCGAAATATACAACTTCATATCATCCTGGTATAGGGGTGGTAACTGGTAGTAAAAAAATGATGAATATGATAAATGACAGTTTGAATATTTCTACTATCATGTATTCAATCATTCTACAGTTTGGTATATTCATACCATCATGGTACACGTCCATACCACTTGCTATGATCTTTTACAATACCAAACATTATTACCATGGTACATAGATATCATTTTGAAAAGCACATTCAATCTTAGTTGTTCATGCAAAAAAATTGAATTACGACTCAAACAAAAGAAAAATGGTCCATTAAAATTTGTAGGAAAAAAGTTAGAAACCTTCACAACATGTTTGGCAACAACGGGGTGCAAATTCGAGGGGGTCCAAGTTAATGGGTAAATTGTAGGGGGTGCAAATTGATGGGAGGGGGGGTTGTAAGTGGAGGGGCAAATTGTCGGTTTCATGAAAAATTAGAGGGTACAAATAGAGTGAAAATTAAATGATTATATTATTAAATTGAATTATCAAATTTATAAAATACTATCTCAAAATAATAAAATAAATATCATTATATAATAATATTAATAAATATAGTGATAAAAAAATAATTATTATATAATAATACTCAAATAATAATAAATTAGAACAATTATAATAATCATTGATCGAGCGACATCAAAGCTGAAAGCCCAACTCGTAACTGGTCATCATATAGGGTTCTCGTGTCTAATTTAACTTTGAATTGAATATGGTTAAACTTAGTCAAACACTTTCAAATCTGTAAGTTTTTAACTGTTTAGTCTAGTAAACTGAGTCAACCAAACACTTCCTCTCTACCTTTTTCATAAACACTTCGTATCTCTAATTTCCCATGCAAATTCGAGTTTCAAATCTGTAAGTTTTTAACTGTTTAGTCTAGTAAACTGAGTCAACCAAACACTTCCTCTCTACCTTTTCCATAAACACATCGTATCTCTAATTTCCAATGCAAATTCGAGTCAACCAAGAGATCTCAGTTTGACTTGATGAACATTGATAAACTTGCTCCGAGACTCAAACGATCAACCCTGAACAATGTCTACATTACTGAAATCAATAATATTAATTATTATATAATTATAACACAATAAAAAAACCATAATTTCTTCTTCCCCTCCCTTTCCTTCTTTTTCTTGCACCCATATTTTGGGATAAGCCAAAATAGTAACTTGTGTACCCTCATTTTGCACTCTCTATTATTTTAAATTAACCAAACATGTATAAATGTGTTGAAAAATATGTTTATTACTCACATTTGCATTCCATAGTCATTTACCCTTTTACTAAACAAGATTGTTGTTAATAAATGATAATGTACAGATTGATTATTAATTTATTATAATCACTGTTGAAGAAAATCCGTCACCAGTTTGGGCCCGGTACCGCAAATGTCGCCAAAAAGGGAAAAGATGGGAGACTCGGGAAGTCTTCGCTTGATCGCTTCTCGCCGAGCGAAGCTGAAGTGGGATGCTTGCCAGTGCCACCACTCAATTTCCTCCTTTCCTTCCCTTCACTCTTTGTTACATACCACCCGCACACAGTTAGCCGCCCCCCAATTTGAAATTCCCTATTCAGATTTTGATTTCTTGCTTGGCCGTGATGGATCGCCGTCGCGATGACAGAGACGACAACGGCGACGAAGAAGAACAGCTTGCTCTGACTCCGAGCCGGCCAAGCAAGCGGCAGAAGAAACTGCTCATCAGTAGTAATGATCTTCTGATTCTTCCCACCAAACTCTATGACTGGCTCCGCCACAAATTCATCCACCCTCTTCTCTTCCCGCCCCCTTCTCCATTCCCGACTCCTTCTTCTTCTTCTTCCTCCTCCTCCTCCTTCTCCTCCTTGGATTTGATTCCTTTCAACAACAACAGCAGTAGTGCTCCTGGTTCGGGATCGAGCAAATACGACGTCTTCATCAGCTTTAGAGGAGCCGATGTTCGGAACTCATTCCTCAGCCACCTCCACCATCACCTCAACGATTTGCGGAAATTGGAGGTCTACAAGGACGATGTGGATCTGGAGAGAGGGGAGCAGATCTCGCCGTCGCTCTTGCTGGCGATTCAGCGATCCGACGTCTATATTGTGATTCTCTCCCCCAAATACACCGATTCGCCGTGGTGCTTGGAGGAGCTCGAGGAGATTCTCCGGTGTACGAAGCTGCACGGACGGAGGGTCATACCGGTATTCTACGGCGTCGACCCTTCCGAAGTCGAGAGCCAGAAATTGCCCTCTTCTGGCAGTGCTGAGGAAATTCGAAGCTGGAGATCTGCACTGCGTGAGATAGCCAACCTCTCTGGTTTCGACTCCCAGGTCACCAGGTATTTATATCAACGCAAATTACACTGACCTGCTATTTGCCCGCCCATGTCTTGAGAACTCCCTGTATTTTATATCTACTTATTATTCTGTTCTCTTGTCGAATTAATTAAAAAATTTAACTGCGTACTATCTCGCCCAGACCTGAAACTAAACTCGTGGAGGAAATCACCAAAGCGGTATTCATAGCAATACGCGCCGGCAGCCAGATGGTAAAGTTTTCATCATATTCGGCTAGCAGAGGTTTGGTTGGAGTAGAGAGGAGGATACAGCACATTCAGCGGCTGTTGTGCTCGGATGAGAGGGCTAATTTGACGATTGGACTGTGGGGAATGGCTGGCATTGGCAAGACTGCTCTTGCTAAGGCTTTCTACGACTTATTCTCCTGCCAATTCGAAACTTGCTACTTCTTCAGTGATTTTGCAGACGAAATCGCAAGCCGGCTGTCTCTGCAGCCATTTGGTAACTTGCAAAGCGACTTCTTCTCAAAGTTGTTGCGCGATGATGAGAATGGCAGAGCTGTTGGAACATTATCTTATGATTTGATGCTGAACCGCCTTGGTCGCATGAAGGCTTTGGTGGTGATCGACGATGTGGGTAACGATGTGGGCAACATTGTACGGCTCAAGGATTTGTTAAATGGACAGTACTGCGATTTGTTTGGTGCAGGGAGTGTAGTCATCATGACCAGTAGGAACCAACAACTTCTCAAGAGTGTTTGTCATCATGTATATGAAGTCAAGGGTCTGGATGATGCGGAAGCGTTTCGGCTTTTCTGCATGCATGCCTTCAAAGGGAATGATCCCCAATCCGAATACATGGAGATGGCTTTGAGGGCTGCAAAGTACGTAGACGGTAACCCACTAGCAATTGTTGTGTTGGGGGCACACTTACGTGGTCGGGACCTCGAGTTTTGGGATCGTGAGCTAGGCGCCTTGCAAGATAATCTGAATCCAGTAGTTGAGACTGTCCTGAGAAGAAGTTACGATGGATTAAGGCCTGCAGAGAAAGTTGTGTTCCTTGATCTTGCCTGTTTTTATGACAATGAGGGTATTCGGTATTTGGAGATACTTGAGGAAATGTCTTCAGATGGCGGGAATGTGAACCTCATCACCAACCTTGTCGATAAGTCTCTTGTAAACGTATTTGCTGAGGATGGTGGTGTATTTGCAACAATGCCTAGTCTGCTACGTGACCTTGGTAAAAGCATTGTCAATGAACAACTGCAAATTGAAAAACGTACGAGGTTGTGGAAGCCTAGAGATCTGTATTACCTCTTCCGGGCAAACAAGGTATAACATGTATCTTTTCTTTTGGTGTTTTGTAAAGGCTAAACTCCACTGCGTTATAACTAGTCCGAGTTAAGTAATTTTTTTCTTTTACTGTTTCCATCGAGCAGGGCACTCAATCAATTGAAGGCATCTTAAATAAAACGGTTGGCAAGTTTGATTGTTCCACATGCATACAAGCGGATGCATTTGAGAAGATGGAAAATCTGCGAGTCCTTGTGATTGAAGGTGATGATCGCTATCTATCTCTGTCCGAAGATGGGTTGAAATGTCTACCAAATGCATTGAGAATTTTAGAGTGGCGCTATTTCCCATCAAAATATTTGCCACCCCAATTCTCTGCTGAAAACCTTGTCACACTTGATTTGTGTCGCAGCAAGATTGAACAACTTTGGGAATGCGAGTGCAATGTGGTACGTGCGTAGTTCTTAACTATATTTGAGTTACCTTTCTTCTTAAAAGGAATGTGTATTTCCAGCTCGTGCTAATTATATACATGTATACTTGTAGGATTTAGGGAATTTGAAATTCCTTTTTCTTGCTGGATCCAGAAGCCTGGTCAAGTTGCCTAATCTCTCCAGTGCTAAAAGACTCAAAGTAATTGATCTGGCTTCCTGTGCGAGCTTAGTTGAGCTTCCCACGTCAATTTTGGATCTCCCCAAGTTGGAAGAACTCGACGTGAGAGAATGCATCAACCTGAAGTTGGATAGCTTGGAAAACCATGCAAACAGCAGCCGAGAACATAATACTGGTCATTCTACTTTTCTACCCAACCTGAAAAAGTTGAATCTGAGCAGGACATCAATTCAGCAGGTTCCTGATTTCATCTGCCGGTTGCATATTGTGGAACTCCTATGCGATGACTGCCCAGAGTTGACTGAATTTCCAGAGTTGACTGATTTTCCAGTCATCCCAAGCCTGGAGAAATTGGTGTTGACTGGTAGTTCGATCCAAGAGATGGTTGAGTTTGAGAAGTTGACAGAGTTGAAGCACCTCAATCTTTCAAATAATAAGCAACTTGTTCTCTTTGCTGGTGACTTCTCCAAGTTGAAATCTCTGGAAAAGATTGAGCTGGATGGTTGTTGCAAATTGTCCGGCCTTCCTGACAGCATTGGTCATCTCGTACGGTTGCCTAAGTTGAGCCTCAGGGGTTGCAAAAGTCTAGCCAGTCTTCCGGACACCATCCACAAACTGATTCATCTGGACGCACTCGATCTGGTTGGTTGTGATCAACTCAGGCATTTGCCAGAGCTTCCTTCATGCTTGAGAAATTTGGATGCACAAGGCTGCAAGTCGCTTCAGACCTTGTCAATCGGCATTGTTGAGAAACTTGACTTCACAAATACAACCTGGAGCTTTGCCCAGTGCTGGAAGCTGGATCCAGGAGTATGTAGTAAGCTTGTGGATAAGGTAGCTTTCTCTCTCTCTCTCTCTCTGAACGGAACTAATATAATAGTGGTCATTACTTCTCACCCCTTGGTTGTATCATCAATGCAGTTCGCACAAGATTCAGTTCGAGTCTCTCAACGCTCGAGCCTCTTACTCCCGGTAAAATGGTGTACAATGGGATCTAATGATAGCAATAATAACAAGATTGTGACAGCAAAGCTGCGTGGACAACCATGGAAGCCGAAGTCGACAATTTTCTGTGCTCTGGTAAACTCCCCTGATCCCCTTCTCATTAATCAGGACGACAAGTTCCTGGTTGAGTGGCATGTTGAGTGCGTGATGCTCAACAATAAGGACAGTGCTGGGCCTGAAGTTGTTGTGAGCTCTTGCTACTGGAAATCTTTCCGAGAATGTGGAGATCCGAAGGAGGAGGAGCGTCACCCAAATGGTCATTTCTTGGTATGGTCTACTAGTGGACCACTTGTCGATGGGGAAAATGCGGATGATGGTTCAACCTTGAAATTCTTCTTTCGACACAGCTACAAGACTAAGGATGGATCCAGGACACTCAATTTGATCAGGAATGGCCGGGTTATTCCTGTTTATGATGACAGAGTGGTGACAAACGAAGAAAATGATGATGGCGAAGAAGATGATGATGAATCTCCAAACGACCGCCTGCAGGGATTATATGATCAGTTGTGTGCTCACCCACCATCGATGAACTACCTTGCAGAGGTAAATGGAACTCTACTTCGTCAGTTGCTTAACTTATGAAGTTCCCGATCTATTATGCTCCTCCTCCTCCTTGATTGATCACACGACAGCATGACTCAAAGTTCTCTAATTCATATCTTTCATGTTTCTTTCTTTCTTTCCCTTTCCAGGAGACATGAAACTACAAGTCAAATGCAAACTGCATCGACGTTTGGAAAGAGATGCTTGGTTCCTGGGGATGTCGATCTGAGTGTAATGTAAAAGTTATTCGATATTATATAATAATTGTGTAATACAAATTTGGGTTAATACTTAATATATTTGTATGGCCTGAATTTTTCACATAATAAATCTCCCTGGCCAATTTTTTCGATCTCTAACATCATGGCTAAACTATACACTAAAGTTACGAAATTGGTCAAACTCGAAGTTTGACCGTTATCTTGAATGGTCAAACGCGTTGAGTAACGGTCAATATGTCACGTAACCGCCAAGTCAGCACCTTTCACTTAAATTTTTTTATATTTTCCACCTATTAACATTTATCTTTTTTCATTTTGAACAAAAAAAAATTAAAAGGTGAATTTTTTAATAATTTTCAAACGCGTTGACTAATGGTCAATGCGCCACGTCACCGCCAAGTGATCAACACCTTTCACTTAAATTTTTTTATATTTTCCACCTATTAACATATATCATTTTCATTTTGAACAAAAAAAATTAAAAGGTGAATTTTTTTTATATTTTCCTTTTTTTGGGTTCAAAGTGAAAATGATAAATGATAATAGGTGGAAAATATAAAAAAAATTAAGTGAAAAGTGCTGACTTGGGGGTGATGTGGCGTGTTGACCGTCCAAAATAAAGGTCAAACTTCGAGTTTGTCCAATTTCGTACTTTGGTGTATAGTTTGGGCCATGATGTTATACATAGAAAAGATTGGTCAGCATGTTTATTATGTGAAAAGTTTAGGCCATACAAATATATTAAGCCTGCAAATTTCTAGCATGGTAAATATTTTACCAATTTTTTTTGCATAACCATCAGTCTGCAAACCACATACACTGCACAATTCCTTTCTAAAAATGTTACTCCATTCTGTCATAAGCTTTTGTCATGTCTATTTTTGCGGCCTAATAACTCACCTTTCCTTTGCCATGTTAATATAGGAGGATTTGAAACCCAAAAATGTAGGAAAATTGAAATTACAAATTGGTGCTGGTTAGACCATAGTTAATAGCTTTTGATAAAAACTTTAATTGAGGGATATTGTTGATTATGTTTCTATATTATAGGTGTATTATTATTAAAAAGTAATAAATGTACATATTTGATAAGAAAACATAATAAAAAGGCATATCATACTTATAAATTTAGGCTTGTTTGGAGAAAAAAATTTGGATCATAGATTATGTAGAAAGTTAGGGTTTTTTTTTGTTATTTTGTGTATCGTAGATGTTAGTTTTAGAGAGTCCAAATATCTAACATTTAGAGATATCAAACCTCAAATAATTATAGAGATTCTACATTTTGATTTGTGAGATTTTTTTCCCCTTACTTTATCTCCTTTTTTAATATTCAGGTAACTAAATAGTAAATACTCTTACCAACAAGTTATCAACATTTTTCGAGTTACTCTGATTCTTTTAATTAAGCATAAACATGTAATTTGATAAATAAATAGAATATCTATTTTATTGAACATTAACAATCAGAATTATCAAACAATGCAAATTATAAAATATATTTTCAACCGTTCTAAAATTAAATTTAAATTATTTACAATCTAAAGCTTCAGCCTCCCATTTTTCAAACAAACATTTTTTTTTTTAGAAAAATGGGACGCTAAAAAGACGCCCATGAAATTCTTAATTTAATTAGAGGTGGAGCTAGGTTTTTGTTTGGCTGCAGCTTGCTTAATTAATGGTTTGGGTCCAATTTGTCATTACAAGCAGCGGAACAGAAGTAGGAATGATTTGGGCATAAATATGGCGCTATGGGCTGGTCCGTTGAGTTTGGTTGACTTTTTTGAATCGCAGTAATGGGCTGGTCCATTGAGTTAGGAAAAAGAGTAGGTAGAAAAAGAGTAGGTAGAAAAAGAGAGGAGACTTGAGAAGTCTTCCTCGAGTGAAGTCAATTTCCTCCTTCAGACATTTGCACCTACCACCCACACCGAGTAAGCCGGCCCTCCAATTCGAAATCCCCCTTTCAGAGGCAGCATCCACCGCTGTGATTTGGATTTCTTTGCCGTGATGGGAAAGCTAGGCAACAAGAGGAAGATGAATCGCCGTTGCGACGACGACCCAGACGACAGTGGCAACGAAGAAGAACAACTTGCTCTGGCTCCGAGCCGGCCAAGCAAGAGGCAGAAGAAACTGCTCATCAGTGCTAACGATCTTCTGATTCTTCCCACCAAACTCTGTGACTGGCTCCGCCACAAATTCGTCCGCCCTCTTCTCTTCACGCCCCCTTCTCCCTTCCCGGCTCCTTCTTCTTCTTCTTCTTCTTCTTCTTCTTCTTCTTCTTCTTCTTCTTCCTTGGATTTGATTCCTTTCAACACCAGCAGCAGCAGCAGCGCATCTGGTTCCGGATTGAGCAAATACGACGTCTTCATCAGCTTTAGAGGAGCCGATGTGCGGAACTCCTTCCTCAGCCACCTCTACTACCACCTGAATGATTTACGGAAATTGGCGGTCTACAAAGATGTGAATCTGGAGAGAGGGGAGCCGATCTCGCCGTCGCTCTTGCTGGCAATTCGGAGATCCGACGTCTATGTTGTGATTCTCTCCCCCAAATACACCGATTCGCCGTGGTGCTTGGAGGAGCTCGAGGAGATTCTCCGGTGTATGAAGCAGCACGGACGGAGGGTTATACCGGTTTTCTACGGGGTCGATCCTTCTGAGGTTGAAAACCAGAAGCTGCCCTCTTCTATTGCTGGGAGAATTCGAAGCTGGAGATCTGTATTGAGTGAGATAGCCAATCTCTCCGGATTCGATTCTCAGGTCATCAGGTATATTAAACCCACCTCCCCATTAATTGGTTAATTGTTGGCTTCTCTTCGTCGTTTAAATGTGTATATTTGTTGCCGTATTTGCTGAATTAATTGAAATCTCTATTTGTTGGCTTCTCTTCCTCCAGACCTGAAACTAAACTCATCGAGGAAATCGGCAGAGCTGTATTCCAGGCAATACGCTACAGCTGCAGCCAGATGGTAAACTTTTCAGCATATTCAGCTAGCAGAGGTTTGGTTGGAGTAGAGAGGCAAATTGAACAATTACAAGCCTTGTTGTGCTCCGAGGAGAGGAGTAATTGGACGATTGGGCTCTGGGGAATGGGTGGCATTGGCAAGACTACTCTTGCTAAGGCTTTCTTCGACGTATTCTCATCTCAATTCGAAGCTTCCTACTTCTTCAGTAATTTTACGGAAACCATCGCTGGTGGGTCTCTACAGCCATTTTGTAATTTGCAAAATCACTTGTTTTTGAAGTTATTGGGCGATGAGAATGGCAGAGCTGGTGGAACAGTATGCTATGATATGATGCTTCGCCGTCTTGGTCGTATGAAGGCTTTGATCGTGATCGATGATGCAGGTAACGATGTGGGTAACATTGGGCCACTGAAGGATCTGTTAAATGGACAGTACTGCCATTTATTTGGTACTGGGAGTGTAATCATCATGACAAGTAGGAACAAACAACTTCTTAAGAGTGTTTGCGATCATGTATATGAAGTTAAAGGTCTGTGCGATGAAGAAGGGTCTCGACTTTTCCTCTTGCATGCCTTCAGACAAGAAAGTGTCCAAACTGAATATCTGGAGATGATCCGGAGAGCAGTGGATTACGTGGGTGGAAATCCATTAGCAATCACTGTCTTGGGCGCACACTTATTTGGTCGGGACCTCCAATTTTGGGATCGTGAGTTAGATGCTTTGGAAAATAATCCAAACTCAGTAGTGCAGAGTGTTTTGAGAAGGAGTTATGATGGATTGAGCCCGGGAGAGAAAGACATATTCCTTTGTCTTGCATGCTTTGCTCCTTGGCAAGGTTACTATCGAGAGAGAATTGAGGAATTAATGGGTTTAGAAGGTGGAGGAGTCAACCTCATCACTAACCTTGTCGATAAGTCTCTTATTATAAGCATTGATGGCGAACTAAGTATGAATCGTCTGCTACAAGACCTTGGTCGCAATATCGTCAATGAAGAACGGCTAATTGAAAAACGTTCATGGTTGTGGAGATTTCAAGATATTCTTTATCTATTCCGAGAGAACAAGGTATAAATTATAATTCAATTATTATCTAAACATTAAATTTTATCGTATTATTTGTTTTCTTTATTATTTTTTTGAAACTAATTTTCTATTAACTTGAGTTTATATTAGTAATTAAATATGGCTCACTCCCTTGCTCTCTGCAATGAGTGAAAGATAGCACCATAAGTATCTATTAGTTTGGTGTACGACGCAATGATAGAATCTCATTATACAATATTTACAATGTACATCCCAAACTTTTTAAATTATTTAAAATGTTTAATGCCATATGATAGAATCTCATTATACAACATATTTACGATGTACATTCCAAACTTTTTAAATTATTTAAAATGTTTAATGTCATATGACATTAAGATGGCATCGAAGTTATATTTTAATATTAAGTTATATTAGATGGGACAGGAAATCACCCAAATGACCCAAGTGCCACTCACTTACCCTTTATTCCTTTTATCATTTTCTATCACAACCCAATTAAAAATTAAAACACACCCTAAACCGGTCCCCTTCAATAGAGAACCTATCCTTAAGCTTATCTCATTCCCTGACTTCACGGAAGACTCTCTGACTAATATGTCCAACAGATCCTTAAAGGCGGTTGCACCGGGAACGGATCAGGTCAGTAACCCTATGGTCAGTAATCATGAATAACTCGTCTACATCAGCATGACATCAGCATCCCTCTCTCTTCTGGAAAGCCTTTTATCTTTTCCCCTTTAATCTTCAACGGGCGATTTCTCTTTCGTTTTAACTAGAAATTTAAATTTTTTTGCACAAATAAATCAGATTAAATGTGCTCTTTAAAATGATATCCACTTTGATATATTTTTAGTACATAAAAAATTGAATAATTTTTTACCAGTCATTACCTTATTATGCTCATATTTAATACCATATGGTAAAAAAGTGTACCATGACGGTATGAACATACCAATATGGTAAGAAGTTTGAATACATGATAGTAGGAGTATACTAACTGTCATTTACGACTTTCATCATTGTTTACCACAAGTTACCACCCACATACCATAGTGGTAAAGTATGGTAATTTTTGGTATAGTATTTTTTTCACCCAGAAATTTGTAGATCCAATAGATCATGATGAACTAGTTCCTTCTGAGCAAACGTTTTCAAAAACGACTCAAAAACGAAGAAGTTACCATATGGTATATAGTTGGAAAAAAAAGTTTCTCGAAATATATTGAAAATTGATCTCATTTTGTAGAGCACAACGAACTCGTTCCATGTGTGTAAATAAAATTGAAATCCGAGTTAGAACGAAGAAGATAAGAGCCAATTATGAAAACTAGGAAAAATAAAATGTCTTTAATTGACAACCCTTAAATCTGAATTTTCTGGGGCCACTTAGATCTAAAGGTCCAGATTTACTAATTTAGTTACTCATAGGTTAGTAACCAATGATTACTGAGCATATCCTAAGCGATAGTCGGTTGCACCCGACCCTTCCTCGCGGGCAGCTGGAGAAGACAACAACGGGTGAGATTAGAACACGGTTGCGGCAGCAATGACTAGAGCGGACAAACAACGACCAGCTTTCTCCCGGCGAGCAGCGTCCACTTCTGCAGCTGATTCTCCCTATGTCGAGAGTCGAGTCCCCCAAGAAATAATGCCCCCACTATCGAACCCCTCTAATTGGTTCCAAACAATTTTCCCTTTTTTGTCGAATTGGGGACCAGAGGTTTGCACTATGTTTGGCAACAAAGGGGGTGCAAGTTCGAGTGGGGTGCAAGTTGAGGGGTAAATTGTTGGGGGTGCAACTTGGTGGAGAGTGTAAGTGGAGGGGTAAATTGTTGTTTGGATGAAAAAGTAGGGGGTGCAAATAAAGTAAAAAGTAAGTAATTATATTATTATAAAATAGATTTATCAATTTATAAAATATTATCACAAAATAATAACATGAAAATTCAATATATAATAATAATAAATAATAAATAAAATTAATTTTAATAAAATTAATTATTATATAATAATGCTCAAATATAATTATTTATAACAACAATAATAAAAATTGGATGAGTAACCTCGAAACTCGAAATCCAACTCGTAACTGGTCATCCTAAGGGGGTTCTCGTGCCTAACTTTAAATTGAATATGGTCAAACTTAGTCAAACACGTTCGAATCTGTATGTTTTAACTACTTATTAAAGTAAATCGAGTTAACTAAACTGTTCCTCTCTATCTTTTCAACAAACGCTTCTTATCTCTAATTTTCAATGCAAATTCGGGTCAACTAAGAGATATCGATTTGACTAGGCGAACATTGACAAACTTTCTCTGTGAGTCAAACGGTCAACCCCAAACAACTTCTACACTAATATAGATATAAGAAAAAATTAATAATATTAATTATTATGTAATTATAATCTAATTAAAAATTCATAATTCCCCTCCTCCCCCTTCCCCCTCCCTTCCTTCCTTCCCTTGCACCCCAATTTGGGGGGTAAGCCGAAACAGTGAATTTACGCTCACGTTTTGCACCCCCCTACTGTTACAAAATGACCAAACGGAGGTAAACACCCTGTAACTTGTGTTTACCCCCAAACTTGCACCCCTTCCATTTACACCCCTTCCCAAACATAGTGTTGGGTTTTTATAAGAAATGACAAAACGACTTAAGAGTAAATGAAGGCTAATTGGGTTATAAACTTATAGTCTATTAATTAGACGAAAAATATATGAATAACATTTTAATATTAGAACGATTTGTTTGTGCAAAATTTTAATAGATGAGTATGTTAATTTACAATATTAGAAGGATAAAATACTATTAACCCTATTCTTAATGGTTATAACTTATAACACTCATTAATAAGCATTCATAACCTGTCTATTTAATTATGGAGTCACTTAGTTGTCTATAGTTGAAAAAAATGAAATAACAAAAAAAAGTGTTTGTGCAAAAGCGTATTATAAAATCTCAAAGAGTTAGTCTGGTGATAATATGAGAATGAAATATGCACTACACCTTAGGTTCGAACATTGGGTCGACAATCGATGAAAACAAAAGCATAGCATAAATAGAAAACCCATAAGCATAACCTTTAGCGAGTATTATATAATGTAATAACAAAATTCATAAAAATAGTATTCATTCATACTTTGTCATTTATGTTTGTCAACCAACATACACGAAATGTAGCTGAAGAAAAATCTTATTCTCTCAGCATATAAAAATTGAACCTCTTTTTTTTTTTTTTGGTAGTACTCATCTTGCTAACTTTTGCTGAGGTGGCAACATCTCTCATAGTTGACTATTAAATAGGTAACGTGACAATTAAAAAATAAATAAATAATAAAATAAATTTTATTAAAATTTTCACCTCATTATCATAATAATTAGAAGATAAATAAAACATAAAATTTGTGTGCTCGACCACCACCAGTGAAGTACTTTACAGAGGTAAATGGAACTTTACTTCATCACCTAATTGCTGCTAGTCGAATTTTAGTTCTTTTTTCACTTATGTTTAAAACCATATTCAGTTGCTAACTACGAGCTTCCCGATATTAGTCGAATTTAATCTGTTCTCCAAATTGAAGTTTAAGTATTATTTTGGACCCGATTGTAAATATTCTGAATGCTAGGCACTAAATGTTAAAGATATCATTAATTTTGTGGATCTTTTTGTTATTCTTTCCACTAAACAGGGGACTGAATCCACCGAAGGTATCTTCTTGGACTACCAAATCGAATGCAGTGAACATTCCTTACAATTGCAACCCGACACTTTTGAGAAGATGACGAGACTTCGATTCCTCCTGATTGGTCATCACAACATGGTTCTGTCAGAAAATGGGTTGAAATATCTACCAAACACGTTGAGAATACTTTATTGGCATTGGTTTACTTCTAAATGTTTGCCTTCTCAATTTTCTGCTGAAAATCTTATCGAACTTAAGTTGTCATATAGTCTAATTGAACAACTTTGGGAAGGTGACGAACTTAATGCGGTACGTGTTTCATTAATCTTAATAATCTAGGGCTTCTTTTTGCAAATCTCGTACACGTTCTCATTGTGTATGTACATCTTGCAGGATTTGAGGAATTTGAAAATCCTCCATCTTGGCGGATCGAAGAGACTGAAACAGTTGCCTAATCTCTCCAAGGCTAAAAAACTCAAAAAAATTGATCTTTCTTCCTGTGAGAGTTTAGTGGAGCTTCCCTCCTCAATTTTGGATCTCCCGAAGTTGGAGTCTCTCTATTTGTGGGGTTGCAGGAGACTAAAGTTAGATAACTTGGAAGACTATGCAAACTGCAACGGAGGACAAAGTACTGGTCATCATGACATTTTACCCAGCCTGAGAAAGTTGGATCTAAGCTTCACACCAATCCAGAATGTTCCAAATTTTATCACCCGCTTGCATATATTGGAACTCCGATGCAATGGCTGCTCTAAGTTGACTGAATTTCCAGTCGTCCCAAGCCTGGAGAGGTTAGAGTTGACTGGTAGTTTGATCGAAGAGGTGGTTGAGTTGGAGAAGTTTACAGAGCTGAAGCACCTCGATCTTTCGGGAAACAAGCAACTTGTTCTCATCTCTGGTGACTTCTGTAAGTTGAATTCTCTCGAAAATATTCAACTGTATGTTAGTAGCAAGCTCTCTAGCATTGAGAGCTTTATTGAATTCTCACTGGAAAGATTAGTGCCTAAGTTAAGCCTCAATGGTTGCAAGAGTCTAGCAACCCTTCCTGACAGCATTGGTAATCTAATGCATCTGAAAAGTCTTGATCTAAGTAGCACATCTATGAAAGAGCTGCCATCATCCATTGGAGATCTCATCCGACTATCTGAACTGATCCTCGGGGGTTGTAAGAGCCTAGCATGCCTCCCCGACACCATCCACAAACTAACCAAATTGAATAAACTCGTTCTGTTTGGTTGTGATCAACTAACGCATCTGCCAGACCTTCCTTCATCCTTGCAAGAATTGGATGCACATGGATGCAAGTCACTTCGAGCTCTGTCAATTGGATGCACATGGATGCAAGTCACTTCGAGCTCTGTCAAGAAACACTACTTCTCAAATATACGTTGGTGTTTTAGCCAGTGTTGGAAGTTGGATCCAGTAGTATGCAACAAGCTTGTGGATAAGGTCTCTCTCTCTCTCTCTCTCTCTCTCTCTCTCTCTCTCACATTCATTGCGGGACTAAAAGCATAGTAGTCATAATGTTTGCTTCTTTTTTGGTATCATTGATGCAGTTCACAAAGGATTCTGTTCGAGCTAGGCTCTATAGGTGCCCGAGCCTCTTACTCCCTGCAAACTGGGGCAGTGAAAGTGGTGGTGAAGAAGGAAACAAAAAGGGACCTAAAAATGGTAATAATAACAACACGGTAGTGACAGCAAAGCTGCGCGGACAACCATGGATGTTGAAGTCGTTGATTTTCTGCGTGCTGCTCAACTCCCTTGAACCGCTCAACTTCCTTGATACACTTTTTTATAAGGTATACTACCAGTTCCGTGTTCAGTGCATGATGCTCAACAATAAAGAAAGTGATGGAGCTGAAGTTGTAGTGAGCGAATACGTTTGGGAACCTTTCCCAAAATACGAAGATCAGAAAGAGGAGCGTCTCTTGAATGGTCACTTCTTAGTATGGTGTACTCCTGAACCACCTGGCACTAGGGAAAATACGGATGACTCTTCTACCGTTGAATTCTTCTTTCGCGGCTCGTACTCTACACCTTTTAGACGCTCAGAGTGGCATGAGATACCCGACTTGATCAAGAATTGTCAGGTTATTCCGATTTACAATGACAGATTATTCACAAACGAAGATGGGGAAGAAGAAACATATGATGATGATGACGACGACGGTGAATGTCCAAATCACCTCCAGGGATTATATGATCAGTTGTGTGGTCGCCCACCACCGGTGAAGCACTTTACAGAGGTAAATGAAACCTTTACTTCATCACCTAATTGCTGCTAGTCGAATTTTAGTTCTTTTTTCTCTTATGTTTAAAACGCTAACTTCTGAGCTTCCCGACGTATGCTCCTCCTTCCTTGATTGGTCAAATAACAGCATGGCTAGAGGTGGCAAATGGATTGGATTGGTGGATTGGATTGGTGGATCCATGGATCAAATGGATTAGATCTAATGGATTGGTGGATTCATGGATTGGATCAAGTGGATTGGTGGATTATCCATGAATCCAAATGACACCCTCAACCAAAGACCAATATGTAAAAATATGAAAAGTTTAGGTACTAAATGTCACAATAAAAAATTTCAGGTACCAAAACGTAATTTTCCATTGATATTTTCCGTATAAAAATTAAATTTTAGGTACCAAAATGTAAAAATAAAAATTATAGGTACTAAACCGTAATTTGCCCCAATCCATGAATCCACCAATCCAATTGGATTTGGATCAAATGGATTGGATTTAAATGGATTAGATTAGGTGGATATTTTTAATGGATTGATGGATTGGATTGGTGGATTGGATTGAAATTGCCACCTCTAAGCATGGCCCAAAGTTCTATAATTCAAAATCATTCATGTTTCTTTCTCTCTGTTTCCCAGGAGACATGAAACTACGAGTCAAATGCAAACTGCATCGACAGAAAAGGATAGGTGCTTAGCAGCATAAGAGTCGCTGATCCTTGCCACTGGGAACCCACGGATGTGCTGATGTTAGTCTCCAATATTCTTTTTGCTTGGACTGACTGCTTTCTCCTATCGCGATTTATCCCGGCTTTAATGTTCACTTTTTATAGAATTTCTCTCGGGGGTTTGATCCACTTCTGGTTGTAGCTTACTGGAACATGCAGTTTCTGATATGATTCAGTAACTGTTGGATGATCTGTGGTATGTTGCTGAGCCCGAACTGAATGCAGCATCCGTATGAAAGTGTTGTAATCTCCAGGCCATGATTTAGCGAAGGTTATCAGACTCGATAGTATCTCAGATTTTTCTTTTCTTTTCTCTATATTAGAAAATTTCTCTAAATTGAGATTTTGCGACTTGGAATATTTTTCGTGCACCTGTACAAGTTGCTGGATAAAGCACCAATTTGGTACTATTTTACACTTTCGATTCCATATTTAGTATACATTTATCTTGTAAAATATAATTTTTTTTACAAGATTTATGCGCAAATTGCATGTATTAAGAACATATGATTCATTGCTAATACATAGAAAATGATGTATAGGGAGTATATATCATGCATATTTTTAGTATCATAAATCCATGGTACATTTTAGTGTAGTATAATCCACACATTTTTTTATGTTTAACAAAAAACCACAAGTTAGGGTTCGTTTGCTTGTTGGATTTTGTATCCAAATCCAAAATTTGATGGATTTAACACAAGTCCATTTTTTTTTGTTGAAAGGGTGCTAAATCCGTGAGGTCCACGAATTTGATCTTTATTTTGGAACCAAATTCATGAACATCACGGACTTGTAAATCTCACATATTGATTTGGGATTTGCAAATCTTTTATGGTTAGTTATTTATGTAACAAATCCATCAAAAATCTATCATCAAACCTATCATACAAACACTAGACTCTTCAAATCCATAATCCATCATAATTTCTAAAGATTTTGTTGTCCAAAACTCTCATTTTCCAAATCCAACAAACAAACAATTAATTGGGTTGTAGTCATTTGGGCTTTGGATTATAAAAACTTCAGCCCATTTATTTTTTTGGGTGGGTTCGGATTGGGTGAAGGAATCGGATTATTTGCCGGGTCTACTTGACTCTACCGGGAACGGGCAACGAATTTTCTCATAAAGATAGTTCTCCGAATGCCTCAGCCTCACTTTCTCCTCTCTTTCCTTTTCATTTCTTTGGGGCGAAGATTATCGTGTGCGAAACTACAAATGCACATTTGATATCCATCGGTAGCAGCTGCTCTGCTTCGGAATTTATATCTGCCCATCTGGGCTTCCCTTTGTCTTTCTGCTCCATCTGCTATTCTGCTTCACATGGGAAAATCGAGCAGCCAGAAGATTGGTGGCGGCGATCAAAGCCGTCACAACGACGACGGCGATGAAGAACTTGCTCTGACTCTGACCCGACCCACCAAGAAGCAGAAGAAACCAGAAATCACTGCTTATGATCATCTTCCAACTCTTCCCACTAAACTTCCCAACTGGTTCCCCCACGAGTACATGCCCCCTCCATTCCCCGCTTCTTCTTCCTCCTCCTCGGAGTTGATTCTCTTCAGCAGCAGCAGCAGCATCGGCGACGGCGCTTCCGGTCCAGACGATTTCGCGGAACTAACCAAGTACGACGTGTTCATCAGTTTCAGAGGAATCGACGTTCGAAACTCCTTCCTCAACCATCTCTACTCTCACCTGAAAATTTACAAGCGATTGGCGGTGTACAAAGACGATGTGGATCTGGAAAGAGGAGAGCAGATCTCGCCCTCGCTCTTGCAGGCAATCGAGAGATCCGATGTTTATGTGGTGATTATCTCCCCGAATTATGCCGATTCCCCATGGTGCTTGGAGGAGCTTGAGAAGATTCTCGAGTCTAGGAAACTGTACGGGCGGAGGGTTATACCTGTTTTCTACGGCGTTGATCCTTCTGCCGTTGGTAACCAGAAATTGCCCTCTACTGCTGGGAAGATTCAGAGATGGGAAGCTGCATTGAGCGAGGTTGCCGGCCTCTCTGGATTTGATTCCAAGGTTATCAGGTATGTGTTAGCAGCAGAGACTCACCTCTACGGATTTGATTGATTAATGTGAATCTTGACAAGAACACAGCTAGTATGTCTACTGGATCTCCACCACCATTCAGAGATTAAATGAATTAGGAGGTTCATGAACGAATCTGAATTTGTATAAAAATCTCCTACATCAGTGGAAAGAAATCACCGAAACAATTACTTGTATTTATTCTCTGATTCTCCATACCACTTTCATCAGAACTAATTTTTTAACTCCACATTGTGATCCAGCCCTGAAACTAAACTCATCGATGAAATCAGCAAGGCCGTATTTCAGGCAATCCGCGGCAGTAGCCAGATGGTGAAGTTCTCGTCATATTCGGCTAGCAGAGGCTTGGTTGGAGTGGACAGGAGGCTAAAACAAGTCCAACGGTTGTTGTGCTCCGATGATCATAAGGGCAATTGGACGATAGGCCTGTGGGGAATGGCCGGCAGTGGGAAGACTGCTCTTGCTAAGGCTTTCTTCGATTTATTCTCCTCTCAATTCGAGGCTTCCTACTTCTTCTGCAATTTCTCGGACGCAATCGCTAGTGGGGTAACTCGACAACCATTTGGTAATCTGCAAAATGAATTCTTTTCAAGACTGTTGGGCGATCACGGAGTTGGTGGAACATTATCCTATGATTTGACACTCCGTCGCCTTAGTCGTATGAAGGCTTTGGTTGTGATCGACGATGTGGGCGACGACGTGGGTTACATTGGACCCCTGAAAGATTTGTTAAACGGGCAGTATAGTGATTTGTTTGGTTCGGGCAGTATAGTGGTCATGACAAGCAGGAACCAGCAACTTCTCAAGAGCGTGTGTCATACTGTATATGAAGTTGAGGGTCTGGGTGATGAAGAAACTTGGCAACTTTTCTGCTTGCATGCCTTCAGGGAGAAAAGCGTTCGAACTGAATATCTGCAGATGATCTGGAGAGCAATACGCTACGTGAGCGGAAATCCATTGGCAACTACTATCTTGGGCGCGCACTTGTATGGCAGGGATCTCAAGTTTTGGGATCGTGAGCTGCATGCTTTGCAGAATAATTCACCCAACTCAGTGGTTCAGAATGTCTTGAAAAGGAGCTACGACGGGTTAAGTCGAGCAGAGAAAGATATATTTCTTGATCTTGCATGCTTTTATGATTATTGGCGTACGCAAAACTTGGAGATCATTGAGGAGATGTTTTCAGAAGGTGGGAGGATGAACCTCATTACTAACCTAGTTGATAAGTCTCTTATACGTATTATTCCTTTAGGTGAGAGCTCCATAGAAATGAATCCTCTGCTACGAGACCTTGGTTGCAGCATTGTCAATGAAGAACGTCAAATTGGAAATCGTTCGAGGTTGTGGAAACTTGAAGATGTGTCTTACCTCTTCCAGCAAAACAAGGTATAAAATGTAAGTTTGTTTTCTAATTTGTAGAGACTAAATTCCACAGCATTACTTATTCTATTTATACTGAACAGGGTACTCAATCACTTGAAGGTATTTTGATATTGTTTACACTGAACAGGGTACTCAATCACTTGAAGGTATTTTTTGTAAACATTTCTACCAGAAACCACATGGCATATGCACACAATCTGACGCTTTTGAGAAGATGGAAAATCTCAGATTTCTTGTGATTGATGGTGATGCTAGCAACCTAATTCTACCAGACGAGGGGTTGAAATGTCTGCCAAATGCGTTAAGAATTCTTAAGTGGCGCTCATTTTCTTCAAAATATTTGGCATCCCAATTCTCTGCTGAAAATCTTGTCACCCTTGATATGTGGGACAGCAAGATTGAGCAACTTTGGGAAGATGATGAACTTGACGTGGTACGTTTTCATTTAATTCAATGCTCTGATGTCTTTAAAAAAAAACTGCATGTATTCCACCTTCCACTAATTGTACACCGTGCACCTGCAGGATTTGGGGAATTTGCAATTCCTTTCTCTTTTGGGATCCAAGAACCTGAGGAAGTTGCCTAATCTCTCCACTGCTAAAAGACTCAAAGTAATTAATCTCTCTGTGTGTACGAGCTTAGTTGAGCTTCCAACATCAATTTTGGATCTTCCTGAGTTGGAATACCTCTATGTGAGTGGCTGCAGCAGCTTAAAGTGGGATAACTTGGAAGGCTATGCAAACAGCAGCAGTAGTAATTCTGACGTCTTACCCAGCCTTAAAAGCTTTGCCCTCAGTCATAAGGTCCCTAGTTTCATCATGCGCTTGCAGATTCTGAAACTGGAGTGCCATAAGTGTACAACGTTGACTGAATTTCCGGCCATCCCAAGCCTCAAGGAACTAACCTTGACTGGTAGTTTGATCGAAGAGTTGGTTGGGTTGGAGAAGTTGACAGAGATGAAGGGCCTCAGACTTTCAGGAAACGAGCAACTTGTTATTCTCAGCTCTGGTGACTTGTCCAAGTTGAAATCTCTCGAAGAGATTCGTCTGGATGGTTGTAGCAAGCTGTCCCGACTTCCTGAAAGCATTGGCAAACTAATACATCTGGGAAGTCTTGATATAAGTCGCACAGCTGTGAGAGAGCTGCCGTCCTCCATTGGAGATCTCACACAACTGTATAAATTGCTCCTCAAGGGTTGTAAGAGCCTAGTATGCCTTCCTGACACCATGCACAAACTATCTAGATTGGATAGTCTCGTTCTGGTTGGTTGTGATCAGCTAAGGCATATACCAGGCCTTCCTTCATCCTTGAAAATTTTGGATGCACATGGCTGCAGGTCGCTTCAAACCTTGTCAATTGGCAGTGTTGAGAAATATGACTTCACAAGTATGAAGTGGTGCTTTGCCCAGTGCTGGCGCCTGGATCCAGGATTATGTAGTAAGCTTGTGGATAAGGTATCTCTCCCTTTCTCTTTCTCACTCTCTCCCATGGGCCTTTTTTTGTTTAGGTAGAGTAATGGCCACGGAATAAGTGATGCAGTTCGCCTTTTTGGTTGAATCATTGATGCAGTTCGCCCGAGATTCAGTTCGGATCTTCGGCCACTCGAGCCTCATACTCCCGGCAAAATGGGGCTGTGGAGAAGGAAGCATAACGGGATCCAATTATGATAGTTTTAACAACACAAGGGCTACAGCAAGGTTGCGTGGACAACCATGGGAGTTGAAGTCAACCATTTTCTGTGCCCTACTCAGTTCCCCTGACCCCGCTCTTAATAATCAGGGCTACGAGTTCCGTGTTATCGTGAAGATGAACAATACAGACAAAGCTGGGGACACAGAAATGGTGAGTGACTGCCTGTGGAGACCTTTCCAAAGATATGAAGATCGGGGGGAGGAGGAGGAGGAGGAGAGTCCCTCAAATGATCACTTCTTAGTCTGGTCTATTCGTGGACCACTTGTCGAAGGGAAAACTGTGGATGATGGTTCCGAGGTTGAATTCATTTTTCGAGACAGTTACAAGACCAAGGGTGGATCCAGGACACTCAACTTGATCAAGAACTGTCGGGTTATCCCTGTTTACAGCAACAGAGTTGTGAGAACCGAAAACGTAAACGAAGATGAAGATGAAGATGAAGATGAAGATGAAGATGATGATGACGACGAGGAGTCTCCAAACGAGCTCCATGGATTATATGATCAGTTGTGCTCCAGTGGGAACTGAAGCATACAACTTGGATTTGACGAATTGCATAGCCTGATTCCCATGTTTGCGGCATATGTGTGCTTTCTCTGGTGAGAACTGAGATATCAGAAGCCTGTGGATGGTCAATGGCTGCATCTGGAGTGGTCAACGTACCTCCTTGTCAGCTTGGGATGTTTCCTGCTCCTATTAGTAAGGGAATTTTGCCAAAAATACGTTCGAGACTTCCTTTCCGTTTCTGTATTCCTCAAAGAAGAAAAGGATGATCAATCAGCCATTTCTGTATATGTTCTATTTATGTAGAATCATATTGTGTGATTGCAACAGGGTGACAAAGCAGAACTTAAAACCCTGCTGCCTGCAGTAGCCGGGCAAGAAAGATTCTCAAGTTACGAACGGTGTCGTTTGGACCCTCTACAAAGTTGCAAGCAACAGGCCTAATTCCACTGGTCTGCTTGTATAGTCCATTCCTCTTGGCCCAATCGAATTACCCGAGTATGACAATCATTCTTCACCTTTACCTTGTTGATTCTGCAAACTGGATTTTTCCCCTTCTCATTTCAAAATTGAGATTAACAATCAGTTGTTCTAGCTAATTAGATCTATTCTTACTCGTCTATTTCCCATAGTTTTGCTTTACAAAATCCATCATGTTTGAGGGTGAACAACTTGTTGGTGGGGAGGGCAGATCCCCATTTTGGTTAACCAACCGAACAGCCCACTTCAACGCGATCATGGAAATTTTTGGGCTCATCTATTTTGGTAGTTATATTAATTAGTTCATTTCATAAGTTCAACTTTGGGTTGATAAGTTCATTTCATTTCGGATCCAAATCCAAGTGACATTGAGTTAAAATTGGACAGACTAAGACAACGGTTTGGTATCGTTTTGTTGTTATTGTGGAAGATACTACTCAAATTAGGGGCGTGTTTAATGAAATCAATTTATCAGATTTGGCGGATCACGACCCGACATGTTGATCCAACCCGAACATGCCCTAAAAATAACAATTGGGTTGAAATTTTAATAACTCGAAACCTGAATGGCCGACCTGTAGTTTTTTGGGTCGGATTGGGTGGGTATGTGGGTCGACCCACATAACTCATTTCATTTCCTATGTCACTCTTAAAATGATAAAATCATTTATAAATTGGTGAGATATTTAAAAAAAAGTCCATAAGGATTTGGAAGACAAGTTTAGAGTGTAAGGATAATCAAACATCCTTTGTTTCTTGTATATTAGTTTCGTGATTGTTTTTGACGATTTGTGCAATTCGTGTTTCTTTTCATTATCATGGAAGAATTTGAGCATTTGTTCATTGAAATGGTCTAGGTAAACTATTGTCATACATATGTGACGATTTGTGCAATTCGTGTTTCGTGATATTGTTTCTGAGAATGCTCATAATCGAAAATTAATGACCAGTGACCAAATCCAAAACCCGATGGGTTGGGGTCAATAATATTTGACCCAAAATTATCCAACTCAACGTGACCCGACCCACGATATATGATCCGTAACCAGAGATTCTCAACGCGAAATTACCCAATCCGACCCAATTGCCAGATCTAAATCTACCAACCAGTAGGAAACCCGTATTCAACGCATCCATAGCTACAAATTTACGTTTCTGTAGATTGGGATGTGTTGCTCAAGCCCATTCTCACAACATAAAAGAAAAACTATACATTGAACTTGTATTTTCTCCTTGGTTTTTGTATTCTTTTACTTGACAAGAGAAAAAGAAAACACACAATGATAAGTCCGTTTAGTATTATTTTGTTTGTTGTTGTGAGAGATAGGACTCAGATTGGGGGCGGGTTTAATGAAATCAATCCTCAAAACAGTAGAAAATTCGTGTTAAACACGTTCTAGAAACGCATCCAAAGCTATAGATTAATATTTCTATGAATTGATTTGCGTTGTTGAAGCACCCATTTCCACAACAACAACAATAAAAAAAACTACTGAAAACATTTTTTCCCCTCAATTTTTGTATTTTCTTTATTGACAATAGGAAACATAAACACACAATGATACTAAAGGAGACTCAAGCTATCGTTAATAATTTTGAAAACGAAGAGTCATGAAGAGAAATTGATTGGATTAGCTGCCTAGTGCCTCGCATCACAGGGAGGGATCATATATGACAAGAAATTCCACTTGTTGCTTTGGTTACTCCGAGAAGAATCTTAGCAGCCTTCTGCGTCCTCCAATGCTCCTGTTGTAATTTAGATACCATCTACATTGTAGATTCATCCATTTATATACACAAACAAAAGTTTGGAACTACTTAGTATTTACCACCGATGCACACGATAACTTTTCCCTCGAATTGCCGTTCTTATTCTCACAAATCAGTATCTTTCTCAAGAACTAGATAGATGACGAAAACCCAGTTGATTTAAAAAACTCGAGTAATCGAGAGCAATGTAGCGAAAATCGCGCTTTAAATTTTGTATTTTTATGCTTCTATATCACCAAAATGAGTCTCTGTGGAATAATATTTTTTTACTACAATTTGTACAATAATATAGTCAAAGTATTCCTTTAAAACTTAAAAGTTTACCCTTTACGCTTCTAGGTCACCAAAATGTTTCTACATAGAATCGCGTGTTTGACTGCATCGGTTGGGAGAAAGTTATTATGAATCTTATAGGAATCTTTTACACGATCCTTCAAACGCAAGCCAAGTCACAAGTTTGAAGTTTGCACATGCCAACCATACATTATGTTCTAATACACCGTTTACAGTGGCGGATCCAGGAGGTGGCCACCCCGGGCCCCGGCCTAGCCCTCCCCTGGATCCAAAGCTAGTATAGTACTTATAAATTTTTCGTTTTAAGATATTCGGACTAGTGTCAATTTAAAATAAGATTGTGTTTAATTTGAAAAATGATTCAGATGAACATATTCAAACCATAACACTTAATTCAGCCTATAAATTCTAGGCTCAATGATTTTCTTCTAAAGAAAAACGATGAACCTAAATTTCTTAAAGTCTAAAACGTAAAAGAGAAATAGAAATATGAGGTTTGTTCCCTCTAAAAATTATTAGAGCAGCTGGTGAAAGTAGGGTTGGACATTCAATACAAATTGATTAGTCAATTGATTTGTACAGTGTTGACGTTGCTCGTTTCAACATCTACTACGGAGAGAATCTTTTCAACAATAAAACATGTAAAAACTTATTTGCTTAACAAGATGAGCGATGAATTTTTCAGTGATTGCTTAACTATTTCATTTGAAAGAGAGTATATTATTGGTATGGATGTAGACTCTATTATTGATGAATTTTCTATATTAAAATACAATCGTGTAAAATTGACATTATAGAAAAATTAGAGTTGTTTTTCTTTTATAGTACTTAATTTTTTAATAAAATCCGACCCAGTGCTCTACTATTTCCTGGATCCGCCGCTGACCGTTTATATCGACGGTCGTATATATAGATTTGAGCACGCACACTTAACCTAACTAACGACGGCACGATACCATATCATAACTCAGTTGATCCCAATAACTAATAGCTCGAATTCTTAACAAAAATTTATTATGAATTTTATACTACTCTCTTACATCTTACATCGCAAAGCTCTGGCTCTCTATATATAATAATAGACCTTATTCCCACTTAACAAGAACCATCCATCCACCCAACCAACACTCATTTCATTTCAAGAGAGGAAAGTTACATCACACGAATAACATCATGAGTCGTCAAATTTCCATTCTCCTCTTCACTCTCATCCTCGCCATCTTCCTCGACCTCGGCGTGGAGGCGAAACCTCAAACCTGCTCCCCCAGCGGCAAGCTCCGCGGCAAAAAGCCCCCGCCGAACCAATGCAACCAGATCAACGACTCCGACTGCTGCGAGGAGGGCAAGCTGTACACCACCTACAAGTGCTCGCCGCCGATCACCAAGCATACCAAAGCGGTCCTCACCATCAACAGCTTCGAGAAGGGGAAAGACGGCGGCGGGGCGGCGGAGTGCGACCAAAAGTTCCATGGGGACGAGGAGCGGGTCGTGGCGCTGTCGAGCGGCTGGTTCAACAACGCCAAGAGCTGCTTTCAGCAGGTCAGGATCACAGGGAACGGGAGGAGCGTGGTGGCGAAGGTGGTGGACGAGTGCGATTCCACGGAGGGCTGCGACGGCGACCACGATTACCAGCCGCCGTGCCCCAACAACATCGTGGATGCGTCGCCGGCCGTGTGGGATGCGCTCGGGGTGGCTTCTGGGGATCGGGGCGATTTGAAGGTGACATGGTCGTTTGTGTAAAACTTGATGTGGTTTTTTTTTTCTTCCATGGGAGGTATCGTGTGTCTTGTTTTTTTTCCTTTTCTTTTGTCATGTTTTTTTCTTGTCCATTAAGAAAATAATCGATGTGTGATACCATCGGATATTTGTGATTTCTTAAACATTTCAATTCGACTTCTCGTATGTGTTTTCTATGGATTAATCATCAATAAAACAAGTGTGTTTACCTATGTGTGCTGTGTGGTTGGTATGTCGATTTCATTAAACATGAATATATATATTTACTAGCATTTTGCCCGGCCGGTTGTCCGGATGGATTTTGTTACAGCGTTAGTATGTGTTTGTGTCGGTATAAGTGTGACCCATGATCTCAATAGTTGCATACATGTACTGGTGGTACTTATATAAATGTCAACATGTATATTTAGTTATTTACGAGTAAAAATGTTAGCTAGCTCAATTCAATATGTGCTGATGTCTGCTCCTCTATTAGTAGGGTTGTCCAATTATGGTGCCCTGATTCTCGGTTTATGTTGACATGTAATCATTAGCAAATAATTATTACTCTTTAACGTGTAAAATTTAGATATATTTGCCAAGTTGAAGGGATATCTTTGTTAGATCCATGTTGGAAATTCCTCTCTTTTGTATCATTATTGCAAATATATATTTATAACATATATATAAATATAAATATATGTAAGCAAGACGGGATGGAAGTAAGAAAGCTAATAAGATGAGTGGCAAGTCTCCCGTTGACTAGTCCCCAAACTCAAAACTCAGGGTGGATACCACGTAAGCGTCCATGTTCCTTTTCACGCAAGTAGTGTAGCTCTTCCTCCCAGAACTTGGTATCCCGTTTATACAAGTGGACGCCCAAGCGGGCAGCTGCTGATGGATTTCCACCCGTGTAAGGTATAATGGCATGGACCAACGCCACATAGTGATTAGCTGGTCCATAATCTTCCCCTTTAAATGCATACAAGCAGAAAAGTCGCATAGTTTCCTCACCTGTCAGACCCTCGACTTGATACACAGTGTCGCATACACTCTTGAGAAGTTGTTGGTTGGTGCCGGTCACGATCACCACGCTTCCTGGGCCGAACATGTCGCTGTACAGCCCATTAAACAAATCTTGAAGTTGGCATATGCTGTCAACCTTGTCGCCCAGGCCATCGACCACGACCAGAGCCTTTAGACGACCAAGACGTTTAAGCATCAAATAGCGGTTCAATGTTTCCCCAGCAGTACCACCGCCATGATGATGATCACCCAATAAGTTTGCGAAGAAGCGACTCTGCAGAGTACCGAATGGAGGTTGTGCGGACGACGACAACAAGCTAGTGATCAGCGCGTCGGAAAATTGCAAGGAGCAGGTGGAATCGAACTCACGATCGTATCGACGGACGAAAGCCTGAGCAAGAGTAGACTTGCCAATGCCGGGCACTCCCACCACTCCAATCGTCCAGGTACCCCTCTCTTTGGAGCGCCACAGCCGTTCAACTTCTTCCACCTTGCTCTGATGCTCTCCACTCCAATCCAATATGGTGGAAGCTCTACAAGCCCGCTGCTGCTGCCGCGGATTGCTTGGAATACCGCTTCCGTGATTTTCTCGATGAGTGTAGTTTCAGGGCTGGGGGAGATGGACGGTAATAGGTTTGTTAGTTAATTCCATATATATATGAGAACCAATAAATACATATATAAACAATTTTAGCTGCTACCCTGCTTGTAGCTGCCCGTTGCTGCGACTTTTCTGCTTTCTCAAATCTTACAATTCTCAAATCTAATTCATGTTTTTCACTCTAATGTTTTTCAATCGTACTTAATATCTTTCACATATATTCCCCCCACAAAAAATCATTGAAAAAAACAAAAACCAAATTTGATTTCATGAGTTTTGTGATGAATATATATATATATATGGTGGCTACTTCGGTGCACTCACTTTTTTGGGTGCACTCAGTGCACCCAACTCTAAAAACGTCCATAATACATCAAATTTTGAACTTTAATTAGTACTCTCAATATAATATAATATAATATAATATAATATGATGATATGATATAGAATCATAACAAATCAATCCATTACCCTAAACCCTTAACCTTCAATTTTGAATCCCAACCCAAAATCCCAAATTGTAAACCTAAACCCTAACCCTAAATCCCTAAATCCTAAATCCTTCAAATTAAAGTAAATTTTGAATGAATTTTTTTCAAATTCATGTGCTTCTTGTTCATAATATCATAAGCAACAACTGATACCGTTTTGACATGAATCGCATGGTCAGAATGACAATTATGAGGCGGGTGCACTGAGTGCACCCGAAAAAGTGGGTGCACCGAATACGCCACCATATATATATATATGTGGATATATATGTGGCAAAGGCTAGCGTACGTCCGGGCGTACGCTAGCCTACCGTACGCCCCATTGAGTTTTGCTATTTAGACAAAGAATTAATCGGAGTTTGGGACATGATACTATACCCTAACTCCTAATGGGTGAATCCCAGTCCCCAATTCACTAACCCAAAGCATGAGATTCGTTTAATCTTAAAAATGAAAATCAACGATTCTGATTCGTCGAGATTTTCATTGGTTTTCATTTTAAGATTAAACGAACCTCATGGTTTGGGTTAGAAAATTGGGGACTGGGGTTCACCCATTAGAGGTTAGGATATAGTATCATGCCCCAAACTCCGATTAATTTATGATCTATATAGCAAAACTCGATGGGGCGTACGCTAGCCTGAACCATATATATATATATATATATATATATATATATATATATATATTAATTTAAACCTGTTACAAAGTGCTATTAGAGGGGAAGGGGAAAGGTGGCAATCGTGGATCAGATGTCGTTTACTAATACACATCCTCAAACTCAAGCCACTCAAATAGGTTTGGAGTTTGAGTCATCGGAATTCGACCTCTCAATCACAATACGCAGGCTCTGATACCATATCAAGAAATAATTGCTCCCAATAACACGAGTTGTTGAAAGAATTATATATTAGATCTTATACCACACATTTAATAGGAAAAAAAAATTCAAATACCATCCACTAACACTAATAACCCACATAACTCCAAGGGAAACATTTATCATTTAAGTTAACAAATTATTGGCTAGACGTACGTGAGTATAATACGTGTTTGATATAGAATATAGATAGATACCTGACGACCTTGTAATCCAATCCAGCGAGGTCCGTTATCTTCAGCAGTTTGTCCCTCCAGCTTCCCATTCTTCCCGCAGCAGGTGAGGAGGGCAACGCCTCGTAGAAATCAGCGAAACTCATGTCGTAGGTAACTGGTATGAACTTCCGGCCGTGCTGTTCCACACATTCGAAGATTTTCTGCAGCTCCTCCAGGCACCATTTGGAATTCGCATAACTGCGGGAGAGGATCGCTACATAAACGTCGGACCTCTCGATCGCTTGCAAGAACGAGGGCGAGATCTCCGATCCTCTGGGCAGATCCACGTCGTCTTTGTAAACCACGAGTTTCTTGACATTATTGAGCTCGCGGTAGAGGTGGCTGAGGAAGTTGTCCCGAACATCGGCCCCTCTGAAGCTGATGAAGACATCGTACTTGGTTGGGTGGAGGATTTGATGATCAGGATCACCGCCGGCAGAAGAATCTTGGTCGGCGGGTGGACTAGGAAGGGTGGAGTGACGAATAAGGAAGAAGTTGAGAGCAACGTAACCAATAACAACAAGGAGCAGCAACCACATGGTGGAAGCAAGTAAATATTATGGATCAGAATTGCAGAGGCTGATTCAGGAGAGGACGAGCTGAAGTACGGATGTATGGAGGGGAGATATTCAAAGCCTTACCTCTCTTTCGGCGCATCTTCTCCACCGCTCTGGTTTCCGACTATGGTCACAAGAAATCAACGGGAGTGGCGGCCAAGGTAGGCATTTTTTAAGTATTTATGTGGAGACTCCATCCACCCCACCTGCATCAAATCAATCACTTTTAATCAAGAAAAATCTTCCTATGCTATATATGGTGGGGTCTTCGGTGCACTCACTTTTTTGGGTGCATTCAGTGTACTCGCTTCATAATCGTCATTTTAAACATGAGATTTATGTCAAAATGATGTCAATCATCACTTATGATGTGATGAACAATAATGCACATGAATTTGCACAAAAACCATGAAAGATTTGCTTTAATTTGAAGGATTTAGAGTTTAAAAATCTAGGGTTAGGGTTTACAGTTTGGGGTTTAGGGATAGAACTCAAAATTGGAGGTCTAGGACTTAGGGTAATTCGCTAATTAGCTGTTATCATATGTTATATCATCACATTATACTAATTCTACAAATTAAAATTAAAAATCCGACTCCTTAAGACTAGTTTTTGAGTTGAGTGCATTGAACGCACTCATTTTTGTGAGTGCGCCAAAGTAGTCACCTATATGGTGGCGTCTTCGGTATACTCACTTTTTTTTTTTTGAAGAATCTTCCTCAATCTTTTTTTTTCTTTCAAAAACTGCACATTTATTTCATGCTTTATATTATGATATATCATATAGTATAGCAACATGAGCAACTAACAACAACCATTAACAATGGACGACAGCAACTAGAGGGGGTTGGTGGCCTCTAATTTTCTTCAGATCAGTATATAAATTAAATGGACCGGATGATCTGTACCTTAAATATTCATGTTGTTGTTGTTTCCATTGTTGTTGACATCTCATACATTCTTGTATGTACCAAAATTTAGTGGTGGAGAATTTGGTGGATTGTTCACTCCGCTGCCTACCTGTTTGTGGTGGTGTAAACTCGCTTTGATCTCTTAGATCCGATGCTCAGAAACCATGAAAACTTATTGAAAAAGGAATAGAGTAGATCAAAAGAAAGGAGGAACTTATTTGGAAATCCTCAGTTAAATCACACAAACTAGATGTGTCAATGCCCTATATTCCGCATCAGATGATAACCTGGATACAGTTGTTTGTTTCTTGGCTCTCCAAGTGATTTAAGAGTTTCCTAGAAAAGTACAGTAATCAGAGATTGATCTTCTACAGTCAAGACATGCTGCCCAGTCAGCTTCACTGTATGCCTTGAGTACCTATTCTATGTTAGCGTTGAAATGTAACTCTTGACCTGGTGCTCCTTTTAGGTACCTTAAGTACCCTAAAAGCTGCTTGTAAATGTGCATCTCTAGGCTGTATTTGATACTAACAAAGTTGTTGAACTTGGAAGGCATTGTCACGCCTTGTTACAGTTAGATAATGTAACCTTCCAACTAATTACGTCTTGTATAAACATGTATCTTCTAACAATGTACTTTCATTTGCACTCAACTTGATTTTACAGTCCATTGGACTTTTGCAACTTTTAGCTTCCAGATGTCATGTCTGAGCTAGAAGATTCATGCAATACTTCCTTTGAGAAAGTGTTATACCAGTTAAAATTCCATTGAGAGCTAATTCCAAGCGTAGAAGAGTTTTGGAGTGAGATTGTGTTTCTTCTTCCACAACCTAGAGAGAAAGCTATGAACAAAAGAGAATTGAAGGTGAATTTGACCTACCCAAATCAAGAAGAGACCAATTTTCATCTCCAAGCAACTAGGAAGAAGGAGTTAAGTTTCCATGTGGTTTTCCTCTTTTCTACTTCCAAAGAGAAAAGTGGGGAGAGAGAGAGATCAGGTTTATAAGAAATCTTGGTAGTTGCTTAATGAGAAAATCTCACAAATTATAAATTTTTATATTCGATAAATTTCCTCCAACTACACAAACTATTACTTCCTAACAAAAACATCCAAATAGTTCCAAACTTTCCCAACCCTCCCTCCCCTCAAATAAGCATAAATAAACCGGCAAACAATTTAATTATTAGATAACCGAGTACCCAAAAAAAAATGCTGAAAGATCCCTAAAAAAAAAATTGCTGAAAGACATTTACCTTTGTAGACCCTTTACTGGCCACTGCACATCTCATCGTATAATCCCTGTGTTAGAGAGTGGTATAAGATCCAGCAGAACCTTCTCCCAACAACTCGAGTTATTGGGACCAACTGGTTCTTGACATGGTATCAGAGCCGGTTTGACCAAATGGTCGTGTGTTCGAATCTCCACGACCCCCAATATTAACAGTTGATTAAAGCACAAGGTATGGTGGGCCTGTGCAAACTTCAAGCCCATGGGTTGGCTTTCGTTTGAGGGGGCGTGTTAGAGAGTGGTATAAGATCCAGCAGAACCTTCTCCCAACAACTCGAGTTATTGGGACCAACTGGTTCTTGACACCCTGAAGGTTGACTGGATATTGACCATCTTCATCTTCGTCTTCGTATGTCACTACTCTGTCATCGTACACTGGAATGACCCGACAATTCTTTATCAACATAGATGATTCAAGCCCATCCTCTTCCAAATCGTATTCGCCGTGAAAATGGAACCGAACTTTAGCACAATGTGCGCCAGCAGCTTTTTTCTTAGCCTCTTTTTCTACCGATCTCGCCATTTGGGTGTCCCTATCTTCGGACCATAGTAAAAGGTGATCGTTTGAGAGATTGTCCTCGTCCTCGCCCATTTCTGGTAATTCAAAGTATCTTCCAGACGGCTCCCAACTGGGAACGCTCGTTATCTCATCGAAGAAATCGTCGATAGTAGAATCACTATAGTTCTCAGGTTGGGCATTGGTGTCCATGACGCACTTAATCTTCGCTCGCTGGAGCTTATGAAGGGGCAGGCGATTAATTACGATGCAAAAGAGCAGGGACTTTAACTTGTATGGTTCTCGACGCAAATCCGCTGTCGCCGTGGACTTGTAAGAAGATCCCATTATGCTTCCTTGTTCACCCTGGTCTCTAGGTTTTGCTACCCATTTTGCCGGCACTAAAAGCGCAGAGAATGTGGGGCTTCGAACCGGATGGGTAAACTGCACCAACCAATCGTACATTTTGCCGTCATTCAAGAGAGAGGAAGAGCTAGCTAGAGATGACCGACGACATACCTTATCCACAATCGTACTGCATACTCCTCGATCCAACCTGCAGCACCCGCCAAAGCACCAACGGTACAGAGCAGATTTCGTGACGGACAATGTAAATTGTGAGTCGGCAGTGTCATCAAATAATGACATGTTTCGAAGCGACTTGCAGCGACGTGCATCCAATTCTATCAAGAATGAAGGAAGCCGTGGTAACTCGCTCAGTTTAGAGCAATCACTTAGTCTGAGGGTTTCTAAGTTGGATAGCTTGTGGATGGTGTCGGGGAGGCATGATAGACTCTTACAACCGGCGAGGAGCAATTCCGACAGTCTGGAGAGATCTCCAATGCCCGACGGTAGCTTCTCAAAGCTCACACACCCAGAAAGATCAATACTCTCGAGTCTTTTCGCCGTGGAGAGATCAGGCAGGTTTCGTAGGCTCCTGGATCCCTTGAGATGAAGGGTTTTCAAATTCCCCAAATCCTGCAGGCGTACATAATTAGTGGGAAGGTGGAATGTATAATAAGTAGTGGGTTTTTTTTTTCCGTCGTAAAAAATATATATCACGTAAATGAGTTGATAACCACGTACGTTACGTACCATGTTGTTAGGTTCGTCACCTTCCCAAAGCTGTTCAACCTTGCTGTACGTCAAACAAAGTGTGACAAGATTTTCAGCGGAGAATTGGGATGGCAAACATCTAGAGGGAAACGAGTACCACTCGAGAACTCTCAACATATTGGGTAGACATTTCAACCCATTCTCCGGTAAAATGAATCTGCAAGTAGAACGGGGAATCACTAGAAATCGAAGATCTTCCATCTCCTCAAAAGCATCGTCTTGTATACATGTTTCAGATCTCCAGATTCTCCATGGCTGGGTGTGGCCTTGAAAAACCTCCTCAGTTAAGACGATGCCTTTAATCGGAAGAGCACCCTGTGTACGTAGTGCAAGCAATAAAAAGGTCCTTAACTCGACTAAAACTCCGCTAATGCTCACTAATACAGAGTTTGTCAACCTGAGCAAGAGTCCAACTTAAACTATTTTTGCCTCCTTTTCTCGAACCATCTCGTTTTCCTCTTAGTTCAATGGTTTTTGTACTTCCAGGCATACATATGTAAAAATATATTTAATTTTCTTTTTATTGAATAAAATTAGTGATAAAGCTGACATGGCTTAATCTGAAAACTTAACCTGATATGGCTTAATCTAAAGCTGAAGATTATAAATCCTAAATTAGGATTGGCAACTTGAATACTATGTTTATATGCCAAAACTAACACGAGTGTGATATAATAATATTTGTATGCCGTGGTCAAATGATACTGCAAATAAAAACTCAAGCAAATAAGAAATAGTTTAAAAAAAAAAATGTATAGAAATAACAAAGTAACGCAGTGAAATTTAACCAATGCGAAAGACAAAAACTAAGTTTTATATATTACCTTAGGTTTCTTGAAGAGGAGAGGTACATGTTCTGGTTTCCACAACCTCGTGCGCATTCTTATTCCTTCTTCTTTTTCATTAACAATGCTGCGACCAAGATCTCGTATCACCCGACTCACTGTTATAAAGTCCGCCCGAATGCTTATAAGAGACTTATCCACAAGATTGGTAATGAGATTCCATTTCCCATCTTTAGTTAGTACCCCAGCACTACTTAATCTCTTATTTTCCCAATAAGGATAGAAGCAGGCCAGGTCGAGGAACAAATCTTTCTCTGCCAGGCTCAATCCTTCATAACTCCTCCTCCCAATGTTCCGAACCACCGAATTCGGATCATCATCATGATGCAAGTAGCCTAGCTCGCCAACCCAAAACTTGAGATCCCGATCGTACAAGTGCGCGCCCAAGAGGGTGATCGCCAGCGGATTTCCACCCGCGTAACTTACCGCTCTCCTGGCCAGCTCCAGATACTCAACTGATGGTGCATCTTCTTCCCCTCTAAATGCATGCAAGCAGAAAAGTCGCCAAGCTTCGAGATCATTCAAACCCTTGACTTCATACACAACATGGCACACACTCTTGAGAAGTTGTTGGTTGGTTCCGGTCATGATCACCACGCTCCCCGGACCAAACAGATCGCTGTACTGCCCGTCGAACAAATCCTTGAGCGGGACAATGTTGCCCACGTCGTCGCCCACGTCCTCGACCACGACCAGCGCCTTGACACGACCAACACGGCGAAGCATCAAACTGGCGTCCAGTAACGTTTCCCCACCAGCACTAGCAGTGCTGTGATCGTCACCCAATAAGTAGGAGAAGAAGCGACGTTGCGGACTACCAAATTGTGGCACGGACATCCCGCTGGCGAATGGGTCGGGAAATTTGAGGAAGCGGATGGAATCGAATTCGCGGGAAAACAGATGGGCGAAAGCCCTAGCGAGAGTAGTCTTGCCAATGCCGTCCATTCCCCACAGTCCAATCGTCAAATTCTCCCTCTCGTTGGAGAAGACCAATTGTTGAACGTCTTTCACCTTGCTCTCCATTCCAAAGAGAGCTCTGCTAGCCTCGTACTGTGAAACACTTACGATCTCGCTGCTGCTGCTGCTGCTGCGGGGGATTGCTTGGAATACCGCTTTGGTGATTTCGTGATGAGTGTGGTTTCAGGACTAGGGCAGACGGGTTAGTTAATTAATTAGATTCCAATATATATATGAACAAGTATATATATACATACAAGCTGCGACCCTGGTCAAGCTTCAACAAATTTGTTGTGTGTTTTATTAGACTTTGTTGTTCTCTTTCCCTTCCTCTTCCCCCTTCCTTTGGTTCCATGGGCTTTTACGTACAAAATTATAGTTTTGATAACTAAAACTAATTTCTTTTACATATAAGTACTAAAACTAATATTGATAGAAAATTACATTTTAGTATTTCAATTTTATTAATGACATTGACCAGCGTACTCCTCATTCTCTTTCCCTTTATTAACTGTGGTCAACAAATTTAAATTAAAAAGTCATCCAATCGAAATATTTATATTGGATGGAACAAGTGTTAATTAGCACCACGCTAACAAATGATGTGTTAGCATTCTATCTCATCCCAAACTTTATTCAACGAAGAAAGAGCTTATTTTCCGTTTTTTTGAAAACGGCTTTAAACAGAAGTATTTTCCCCCCTTCTTTCAAACTAGTGTTGATAGAGCAAGATACCAACCTGATGGCCATGTAATCCAATCCGGCACGGCCGACTATTTCTTCCAGTTTGGCCCTCCAGCTTTGAGTATCAGTTTCCAGCAGCAGTAAAAGAGAAACATTCATTAATCATCCAACAATTAACTAATCAATCAATTATATACGTCGTGGGTTTAGTATTTTTTTTTTTTGTATATAGATACCTTATGAGCGTGTAATCCAACCCGATCATCTCGAGCAGTTTTCCCCTCCAGCTTCCAACATTTCCAGTAGCAGTAGAAGAGGGCAGGTTGTTGAAGAAATCAGAGAAGCTCACGTGGTTGGCACCGGGACCTGCTGGTATAATCTTGCCAACTACCTTGAGCAGTTTGTCCCCCCAGCTTCGAAAAAATCGAGCAGCAGCAGAAGAGGGCAAGGTCTCGTAGAAATCATCGAAACTCATGTCGTAGGTAACTGGCACAAACTTCCGGTCGTGCTGTTCCACGCACTGGAAGATTTTCTCCAGCTCCTCGAGACACCATTTGGAACTCGCATAGTTGCGGGAGAGGATCACTACGTAAACGTCGGACATCTCGATCGCTCGCAAGAGCGTGGGCGAGATCTCCGCTCCTCGCGGCAAATCCACGTCATCTTTGTAGACGGCGAGTTTCTTGACGTTGTTGAGGTGAAGGTAGAGGTGGCTGAGGAAGTTCAACCGAACATCTTCTCCTCTGAAGCTGATGAAGACGTCGTACTTGGTTGCAGTTGCACCGACTTCCTCAAGGTATCACATATTAGACAGTTAATAAACATGTGGTCAACCTTCAACAAATTTGTTGTGTGTTTTATTAGACTTGTTGTTCTCCTCCACTTCTTCTTCCCCTCCATCTTTATCTACGTTGGTTCTTTGGGGTTTCACATATAAAATTATAGTTTTGATAACTAAAATTAATTTCTTTTACATATAAGTCTTAACAATATTAATAGAAAATTACATTTTAGTACTTCAATTTTTTTATCTCTTATATTTTTATATCTAAACTTTTAAACATTTAAAAAAAATCCACGGTTAAAAAACTTGTAGCATGTTTTAAAAAACTTGTGGTGATAAAAATTCTGGTTTACTTTAGAAAACATGCAGTATAGGGGTGGCTATACGGTCCGGTCCGGTTAAATTGGCCCAAATTGATCCGGTCCAGTCCGGTTTTTTTGAAAATATAAGGACCAAAGATTGGATTGGATACAAACCGGTCTTAACCCGGTCCGGTCCCAATTCGGTCTTGATTTTATATTGAGATTGTGGGAATTTGAGTGGCCTAAGGCCTAAAAGGGTGAGGAGTTGGTTAAGTTTTGTACTAAGTGCAAAGGTTTGTGACCGTTTATGCAAATTACCCTTAAGTTTTGGGTGTTAAGCTCTCTTATCCGGTCTTAATCCGGTTTCTTACCTCAAATCTAAGGCCAAAGATTGGATTGGATTGTTTACTATCCGGTCCCGGTCCGGTCTCTGTCCGGGTTATACGGTCCGGTTCCGGTTTTTTATCCGGTCCCGGTCCAAATAGCCAGCCCTAATGCAGTATGCTTTATTAACTTGTAGCGTGGTGAAGGATTGGTCTATATTTTGTGGTGTGTGTTCTTTTTGTGATGAGGATTTATAGTCTCCCACCCATTCCTCATTTTTTTTTTTGGTAGTAGCCCCATTCCTCATTTAATTGCACAAAACATATATATGAATCTTCATTATCCTTCCAATTTTTATTAATGACATTGACCAGCGTGCTCCTCATTTCCTTTCCCTTTATTAATTGTGGTCAACTTATTTAAATTAAGAAGTCATCCAATCGAAATATTTATATTGGGTGGAGCAAGTGTTAATTAGCACCACGCTAACAAATGATGTGCTAGCATTCTAGCTCGTCCCAAACTTTATTCAACAAAGAAAGAGCTTATTTTCGTTTATTGAAAACAATTTTAAACAAATTTTCTTCTTTCAAACTAGTGTTGATAGAGCTAGATACCAACCTGATGGCCATGTAATCCAATCCGGCACGGCCGACTATTTCTTCCAGTTTGGCCCTCCAGCTTTGAGTATCAGTTTCCAGCAGCAGTAAAAGAGAAACATTCATTAATCATCCAACAATTAACTAATTAATCAATTATATACGTCGTGGGTTTAGTATAAATTTTTTTTTTTTTTTTTTATATAGATACCTTATGAGCGTGTAATCCAACCCGATCATCTCAAGCAGTTTTCCCCTCCAGCTTCCAACATTTCCAGGAGCAGTAGAAGAGGGCAGGTTGTTGAAGAAATCAGAGAAGCTCACGTGGTTGGCAGCGGGACCTGCTGGTATAATCTTGCCAACTACCTTGAGCAGTTTGTCCCCCCAGCTTCGAAAAAATCGAGCAGCAGCAGAAGAGGGCAAGGTCTCGTAGAAATCATCGAAACTCATGTCGTAGGTAACTGGGACAAACTTCCGGTCGTGCTGTTCCACACACTGGAAGATTTTCTCCAGCTCCTCGAGACACCATTTGGAACTCGCATAGTTGCGGGAGAGGATCACTACGTAAACGTCGGACATCTCGATCGCTCGCAAGAGCGTGGGCGAGATCTCCGCTCCTCTGGGCAAATCCACGTCATCTTTGTAGACGGCGAGTTTCTTGACGTTGTTGAGGTGAAGGTAGAGGTGGCTGAGGAAGTTCAACCGAACATCTTCTCCTCTGAAGCTGATGAATACGTCGTACTTGGTTGGGTGGAGAATTTGAGGATCACCTGCTGTGTTGTTGATAGAAGAAAAAGAAGAAGAAGAAGAATCTTGGTCGGGGTTTGAATCCGGAACGAGTGGAACGGTACGGGGACGAGTGAGGAGGAAAAAGGCAGCAACGTACAGAATAGCAAGCAGCAGCAGCCACATGGTGGAAGTAAGTAAGTAAGTAACAGTATGAATCAGAATAGCAAGGACGATTGTTAGGAAGAAAGGAATTATATACGTACGGAGGAGAGAAAAGGGAAGGCCAACTTACTCACGGCAAGGAAAAGTCTCCTCCTCTCTTTCCGCGTCCTCATATTTTTAAGTGTTTGTGTGGAGACCTCATCCATGCACTTGCATTCTAGTCAAGTTTTATCACCGCAAACCTACCTAATTTATAAGGAATCTTCTTCTAACACTTTTTTAAAGGCATCTCAAAAGTACACGTAAATTTCCAGTGATGTATCAAAGAATATTGGAACATGAGCAAAAGGAGGGGCTGGAACTGGATGCTTCCTAGCAACAGGAACGTTGTTTAAAACTATCAAACAAACTAACTAGTAAAACGATTTTGAATTCAAGGGAGAAGGCTTCATTTGGATTATTATCCCTCTAGTCCCGTGTTGAGATGATAATGTGACACTCTAGCATGATTTGCAAGTTCTATATACCGTTAGGAGATAAACGTTAGTTAGGACCCGTTATTCGAGTGCATGCTAACCCGCATAATCGCTCTAAGGGCGTACCACACTACCGAATTAGACGATTAGGACAACCGAATCCACTTCCTCGATCGATGATCCCGAACGGCATAAAGAAATCAACCTAGCTCGGTCATGGCTCTCTAAGATGTTTGAATGGTGACTCAAATTGCCATAATGATATCTTCTCTCTCTTAAGTCAATTTTCCTTGTTTCTTTTGCTCTACCCTATTCCTTTTTCAATATGTTTTTATGGTATCAGAGCCTTGGATCTAATGAATCATGGCGAATACACCACTCCACCACTAAATTTTGGTACGTACAAGAATGTATGAGATGTCAACAACAATGGAAACAACAACAGGAATGTAGTAGGTACAGATCATCTGGTCCATTTAATTTATATACTGATATATATGAAGAAAATTAGAGGTGGTGTACTAATGCCCAGTACTAATGCCTGATTTTTCAATGGCAGTCCACCCGGTCCATTTAAATTACTCGATCTGGTTATCATTTTGCATTGACATGTCTTATATCTGAGCTGCGCGAAGAAAGTTAAGAGCCCACCAACCCCCTTTAGTTGTTGTCGTACATATTAAATTGTTGTTGGTTGCTCATGTAGCTGTTCAATTTGATGTAATGCTAAATTAATGTGTTGTTTTAATTATTGAAGAAAAAAAAAATGTTTGAAGAAAATTCATCCTAAAATTCCTCGGGATTATGCCAAGGTACAAGACAAAGCATTAAGGACGAGCATGTTGGAAGATTCCTCTTAATTAAAACAGTTTGATTTGATGCAAGAAGGTGGGTGGAGAGTCTCCACATAACATAAATACTAAAAAATTCTATCTAGACCGCGTCCCCTTTGATTTCTTGTGAAACATAGTCGGGAACCAGCAGAGATTAAAAAAAAAAGGACTCAGGGGAGACTCTGGATTTCCTTACCATATATCTCAGCTCTGTACCTTGCTTTTTCTTGTTGTCCACACTAACAAGTAAGAACAAGTTATTCTCGATCGTTTAACTATTCACTTTCACGATGAATCCCCACCAAACGCCGATAAGTTCTACTGTAGTTAATCACTACTGAATAGTGAAACGTCCTGTGGTACGTAGTTGATCAGGCATTATAATCGGACGTCGATACATTCCACAGTTTTAATTGCTCATGTTGATTCGACTTGAATCGGACTGTCTGTCGATGACTCCGAAGTTACGGGGGCTGGGTAGGTGGATGGAGCGTCCAGATATATAGGAAGATTCCTCGTAATTAATACTAAAGATGATTTGGTGCAAGTTGAAGTGGCTGGGTAGGTGGATGGAGCGTCCAGATAAATACTAAAAAAAAATTATATACGTACCCGCCCTCTCCTTTGATGCTTTTGTGAACATACTAGGAAACCAAATGGAGGGGTTTTAAAATGACTCGACGAGAGCATGCGCCGAAAGAGAGAATGTACTTTGAAATTTCCTTGCTGTGTGTAACGTGGCCTCGGCCACTACTCATGTTTCCCCTCCATATATATATATATAATTCAGACTAGCGTACGTTCGTATCCGCTGAGCTTTTTATTGATTTCTATCTACATCTTCCCTTCGACTTGGATCCAATCCTGAACCAGCCTTGCTTGTGTTTTTTTGATCCATACTAAAATTTACTTCTACCATGTGGCTGCTGCTGCTGCTGCTTGGTTACGTTACTCTCCTTTACTTCCTCATCCGTCCCCGTCCCCTTCCACGAATTCCGGATGATGATTCTTCTTCTCCTTCTTCTTCTTCTTCTTCAGAGTTGGTTTCTTCCGCTAGCAGCAACGACAGAGCCGCCGGGGGCGATCCCCAAATCCTCCAGCCAACCAAGTACGATGTCTTCATCAGCTTCCGAGGGGAAGATGTTCGGGACAACTTCCTCAGCATCGTCTTCCATCACCTCAACGATCTAAAGAAGCTCGCTGTTTACAAAGACGACGTGAATCTTCACAGAGGAGTAGAGATCTCGCCCTCCCTCTTGCAAGCGATCGAGGTATCGGACGTCTACGTGGTGATCCTCTCCCGCAACTATGCCAACTCCAAATGGTGCCTCGAGGAGCTGGAGAAGATCTTCCAGTGCGTGGAACGGCACAAACGGATGCTCATACCGGTTACCTACGGCATGAGTTTCAACGATTTCTACGAGACTCTGCCCTCCTTCTCCTCCTCCTCTGCTGCTGCTGCTCGGTATCTTCAGAGCTGTGGGGACAAACTGCTTGAAGGCTGGTGGGGAAAACTGATCCAGATGCTCGGCGTCGATTTCACGGTCATCAGGTTGGTCTTATATCTATGTCAAACACTTTTTGATTGAACATTTTTTTTTTCCTTAACAAATTGATGGATTAATTGGTTAAGTCAGATGATTAATGTTTCTCTTCTACTGCTGCGGCTGCTGGAAATCAATTAATAATCGAAGCTGGAGGGCCAAACTGGAAGAAATAGGTGGCCGCTCCGGATTGGATTACACGGTCATCAGGTATGTAGCTATATCAACACTTTGTTAATTAAAAACCACCCCGAGTCTAACCATTAATTAGCTAAATCAATTAATTAACGAGTTAATGGTATATTTGGCCTCTAGAGGAGGCTACAACCCCTCAACTTTCAAATGTAGGCAAATTTAAATTTAAAATTTTCTTACAAAATTTTAAAAATAAACTAGTTGATGAGAAACTAGTCTATTTCCGAAAATTGTTTCTTGTGAGATCTTATCATATATTGGAATAATTTCAATCAATAATTTTCACTAACCCATTAGAGTTTTCAAAATTATTTGCTGATTCTCATGTAGAAATGCTACTCAATTTTAAAAAATCGTTAACCAATAACCATTATGTATTTGTCCCCAGGCCCGAAATGGTACTCATCAAGGAAATCATCAAAGCGGTATTCCAAGCAATCCGCGACAGCAGCGAGCTTGTAAAGTTCTCGTCATATTTATCCACCAGAGGCTGGTTTGGAATAGAGAGCAAGGTGGAACAAGTTGAAGCGTTGTTGCGCTCCGGCGAGAAGGCTAATTGGACGATTGGACTGTGGGGAGCGGCTGGCATTGGCAAGACCGCCCTCGCCGAGGCCTTCTTCCGCAGATTTTCTTCTCGATTCGAAGCTTCCTACTTCTTCCGTAATTTTGCCGACTCGCTCGCGGCAAGCGGGCCGTCTCTACAGCCATTCGGCAATTTGCAAAGTGGCTTCTTCTCGAAATTGTTGGGTGACGACGACGCCGGAGGTGGCGGCGGGACGACATTGCCCTACGACTTGGTGCTTCGCCGTGTTGGTCGTATCAAGGCGTTGGTCGTGATCGACGACGTGGGTGACGATGTGAGCCACATTGGACCGCTCAAAGATCTGCTGAACGGACAGTACAGCGACCTGTTCGGTCCAGGGAGCGTAGTGATCGTGACCAGCACCAACCAACAGCTTCTCAAGAATGTATGTCACACCGTGCATCAAGTCGAGGGTCTGGCTGATGATGAAGCCGAGCGGCTTTTCTGCTTTCACGCCTTCAAAGGGGAAGAAGATGCACCAGCTGATCACTATCTGGAGTTGGTCACGAGAGCTGTGATTTACGCGGGTGGAAATCCACAAGCGCTTACCCTCTTGGGCGCGCACTTGTACGGTCGGGATCTCGAGTTTTGGGACCGCGAGCTCGGCTACTTGCAAAACAACGATCCGAAATCGGTGGTTGAGAACATCGGGCGAAGGATGTACCAAGGATTGAGCCGAGCAGAGAAAGATTTGTTCCTCGACTTGGCATGCTTCTATCCTTATTGGGAAAACAAGAGATTAAGTAGAGCAGGGGTACTCAAGGATGGGAGAAGTAATCACATTACTAATCTTGTGGATAAGAGTCTTATAAGAATTGACGATGAAAACTGCGGCATAGAAGTGAGCCTGGTGCTACGAGACCTTGGTCGTGGCATTGTTAATGAAGAAGGTCAAATAAGAAAGCGCACGAGATTGTGGAAATCTGAAGACGTATCTCTCCTCTTCAAGAAACCTAAGGTATAAAACGTTGTTTTTTATGTGTGTCTGTTCAGTATTGACTAAATTTACCTATTATTTCTATAATGTGACAATCAGATCTAGAACGTCCCTGACAGGGTTGGGAAATCGGAAATAGGATTAGAGATAAGGACTTAGGCGAAAGATTTAGGGATTGATATTGGTACGTCACTTGGAATAGAAGAAATTAATTGAGTGGAAAGAAGGCGTAACGGTTCACACAAGCCTAGTTTCTAAAATTTTGGGTATAGTTCTTTGCACTGATTAGATTTTGTTACTTTAGGAAAATGACAATGTACACTAAGCACAAGCAGAGAAAGATTATGTGTATTATGATATAACTGTATATTATATACCATAATTACATAATATCTAACCTGATATATTTTCTTAAATTTTTCATAATTATCCTCTATTGATACACCGATATAAAATCCCTTATGTGATTTTAATTTCATTTGAGGAATTTGTGAAAATTTATTTGTATAGAAATTTAAATCTCTTTCGACAATTCAAATCATTAGAATGAACTTTTTTTAAAAAAAAACTGCTATACTCTTTACACTATCCATTTAGGATATGAATTTGTTGTAAAAAATAAAATAAAAAGATACAAATTCAAATCAAATACTAAACAAAAATCCAACTACATAGTAATATGATCGTCCTGTCATGGTGTACGATCCGAAAAATAAACTAATGAAATTAACTGAATAGTAAATAAAATTCATCTAGCTCGTTGAACTTTAAATATGTAAAATGTTAAGAATCGAAGGAACACACTCTAGAAAATCTTGGAATTGTTCCTAAAAAGCCTTGACAAGCGCTATAGCTAAAAAGGAACCAAATTTCTTCAGGCTTAGAAGAAAGTTCTTTTGATATCTTTCTAATTTGAAGATTTCGTTTTGAACATACCACCACCAACGTTTAGTCGAGTTACGAAATTTAATTTGTTATCTTGCACTGCACAGGATGATCAACCAATTGAAGGAATCGTCTTAAATGATGATTGGCGACCACGTTCCACAAGAAGACCTGACATAGCCGTACAAGCTGATGCTTTTGAGGAGATGGAAAATCTTCGATTCCTCGTGCTTGGCAGTAGTACTTGCAATTTCATTCTGCCGGAGGATGGGTTGAATTCCCTGCCAACTATGTTGAGAATTCTTGAATGGGACTCATTTCCTTCCAAATTTTTGCCACCCAAATTCTCTGCCGAAAATCTTGTCACGCTTAGTTTGACACACAGCAAGATTGAACAGCTTTGGAAAGGTGATGAACTTAACGTGGTACGTTATGTAGTACTTGTTTCTTAACTCATTTATATGGTGTATTTTTTGAAGAAAAAAAATATTAAACTTATCCCTCCCCTCCCACTGATTATATACACATACAATTGCAGGATCTGGGGAATTTAAAAACCCTTAATCTTGAGGGATCCAAGAACCTAAGAAACCTGCCTGATCTCTCTACAGCAAAAAGGCTTGAGGGTATTCATCTTTGTCTATGCGAGAGCTTACTGGAGCTTCCCACCTCAGTTTTGGGCCTTCCCAAGTTGGAAACCCTCGATTTGAGTGAGTGCAGCAGCCTAAAGTGGGAGAACTTGGAAGATTATTTAAACGACATCAGAGAACAGAGTAATCGTCCTTCTGAATTTTTATCTAGCCTGAAATATTTTATCCTAACCCAAACTCCTATCCAAATGGTTCCTAGTTTTGCTACCGACTTGTCAATTCAGGCACTAGATTGCGCTGCCTGCACAGAACTGACTGAATTTGTAGTCATCCCAAGCCTGGAAAGATTAGACTTGACTAATAGCTTGATTGAAGAGGTCGTTGAGTTGGACAAGCTGACAAAGTTGAAGTACCTCAACCTTTCGCAAAACGAGCAACTTATTCTCCTCTCTTGTGACTTCTCAAAGTTGAGTTCTCTGGAAAGGATTACGCTAGAAAGATGCAGCAAGTTGTCCCGCCTTCCTGACAGCATTGGTACCCTCGTGAATTTGGTAAGTCTTGATCTAAGTTACGTAGCAATGGAAGAGCTTCCGTCGTCCATTGGAGATCTGAAGGGGTTGTCTGAATTGCTCCTCACCGGTTGTAAGAGTCTATCATGCCTCCCCGACACCACCCACAAGCTATCTAACTTAGAAACCCTCAGAGTAAATCTTTGCAACCAACTGGGCCATTTACCACTGCTTCCATCATCCTTGAAAGAACTGGATGCACATGGCTGCAAGTCGCTTCGAACCTTGTCAACAGACATTGTTGCTCAGGCACAATTGACACTGTCGGTCTCGGAATTTACTCGCTGGTGCTTTGGCTGGTGCTGGAAGTTGGATCCAGCAGTATGCAGTAAGATTGTGGATAAGGTATGCCATCTCTCTCTATCTCTCTCTCTATCTATATTTAATGACGAGACTAGCAACTATCATGGTGGTCATTGATTTTTGGATTTCCTACAATATTTTGAAGTAAGGTAACGTGAGTTTTTCTTAAACCTATTTTAGCAGGTTTCACTTATCGCTTCAAGTAAAATATAATAGGTACTAAGTAATGATAACGTGACGTATGCTTATCTTACGTAACGATTGTAAAGTGCCATTACAAAAACCTTATGTAACGGACGGTCCTTTTAAGTAATGAATGTTGACCTCGTATTACGTAACGTGTTAAGTCAATACAGAAGTGTTACATACCCTTTACTGGTAACTCGGTCGCCACTAGTTTAGTAATCAATAGTGTCAACGAATTTTGATATATCTTAAGGGTCAAAATTCTTCAAATGTACCTAAATTTTTACTCATGTTTCTGGTTTATACAATATGATTGCAGTTTACCGAGGATCTGGTTCGATGCCCCAAATCCTCTGTGCTTTTAGTACCGGCAAAAAGGGTAGCCGATACTAGCAACAGTGAAGCAGGAAGCATAATGGGATCCCATAATAATAACGTTGGTAACAATTCAAGTGCGACGGCGAAGCTGCGTGGACAGCCATGGAAGTTACTGTCCATAATCTTTTGCGTCCTAATTGAGACCCCACCCTTCGAAAACCTAGAGACCTCGTATCTTGAGTGCTTGCTCAACAGTGATGACAACGACGTTAGCGCCGAAATGAAAAGGAACACTATCTACTGGCTACCTGAACGAAAATATGAAGCCGAGGAAGAGGACAAGGAGGAGGAGAATCTCTCAAAAGGTCGTCACCTTTTCCTGTGGTCCGCTTACAGGTACTCCGATATGGTGGAAGCGGTACAACGTGTGGCTGAAAAAGCTGTCGATGCAGATGGTGCTACCGTTGAGTTCTCTTTTCAGGGAAGATACTGTGGCCAAGAGGAGGGCCTCGAAACATCCATCTTGATCAAGAATTGTCGGGTTATTCCGGTGTACGATGATAGAGTAGTGACATATGAAGAGGAAGAAGATGATGGCGATGGTGATCAATATAGAGTACTCAACCTCGGGGGGTTATATGATCAGTTGTGCAGCGGCCAGTAAAAGGTCTAGCTACAAAGGTAAATGTCTACTCTCACTGATAATGAGGAATACCAATTCTTTAGCTACTTAGATGGCTACAGAACATCATGTTGAGAGAGGAGCTACATATCTTTTGTATAAATACCTGTCAGATACTGATTATTTTGGGACCCATTTGTCGTTATTTGGTATTCAAGATGTTTGAATGTTATGTAGCCATGAAGAGATTTCCCAGTTTGGTGGTATGGCTTCCTTCCCTTGTTGCCCACTAATGCCCGATTTTTCAATGGTAATCCACCCGGTCCATTTAAATTACTCTGGTTATCATTTTGCATTGACATGTCCTATATCTGAGCTGCGCGAAGAAAGTTCAGACTTCAGAGCCCACCAACCCCCTTTAGTTGTTGTCGTACATATTAAATTGTTGTTAATTAGTTGCTCATATAGCTGTTCAATTTGATGTAATGCTAGAAATTAATGTGTTGTTTTAATTTTTGAAGAAAATTCCTGGTAAATTAAGGACGAGCATATGGCAAGATTCCCCTTAATTAAAACAGTTTGATTTTATGCAAGTTGGTGGGTGGAGTCTCCACATAAATACTAAAGAATTCTATCTAGACCGCGTCCCCTTTGATTTCTTGTGAAACATAGTCGGGAACCAGCAGAGGGGATTAAAAAAGAAAAAAGACTCAGGGGAGACTCTGGATTTCCTTACCATATATCTCTGCTCTGTACCTTGCTTTTTCTTGTCGTCCACAACTACCAATTACTTCCACTATGTGGCTGCTGCTGCTTGTGATTGGTTACGTTGTTCTCCTTTCCTTCCTCACCCGTTTTAATTCACCCTCCGACCAAGATTCTTCTTCTGCTCCTCCTCCTTCTCCATCATCGTCATCATCTTCTTCTTCGTCAGAGTTGATTCGTTTTAGCAGCAACAGAGCCCCGGAAATTCGGCACCCAACCAAGTACGATGTCTTCATCAGCTTCAGAGGAGCCGATGTTCGAGAAAATTTCCTCAGCCACCTCTACCTCCACCTCAACAACGTCAAGCAACTCGCGGTCTACAAAGACGACGTGGATCTGCCCAGAGGAGCGGAGATCTCGCCCTCGCTCCTGCAAGCGATCGAGATCTCCGACGTTTATGTGGTGATTCTCTCCCGCGATTATGCGAATTCCGAATGGTGTTTGGAGGAGCTGGAGAAGATCTTCCAGTGCGTGGAGCAGCACAAACGGATGTTTATACCGGTCACCTACGACTTGAGTTTCGCTGATTTCTACGAGACGTTACCGTCCTCTGCTGCTGCTGGAAGGTGGAAGGACCAGCTGGAGAGAATAATCAGCCTCGCCGGATTGGATTACACGGTCATCAGGTATCTATATATATCAATCACTGATTAAACCCACCTCTAACCATTAATTAGTTGAATAATTAATGTTTCTGTTGGCCCTGGTTCGAGCAGTGCCTTCCTGCAGCCAGTACAAGGCTTTTGGTTTTGATATGTTTCCTTCCTTCTAGTCCTTTCCTCCCGAATTTAGTTCACAGGAGGAGATGCCCAAGAATTTTATGTTATTATTATTGTCACTATTATTGGGCTTAAAAGAGGGTGCATAACCCTTGCATAATCATAATTGGTTGCTTGATTTTAAGTGGGGTAGAATTTGCTGATTGAGAATAAATTACTTTTATTTTCTTTGTTATAATTTGTATTTGAAAATTATTTGCACAAATGGAACGGGTTCGTTGTGATCTATAAAATGAGATATGTTTTCAATATATTTTAAGAAAAATTTTCACACCACTCATTACGACCTTGGTACCACCTAGTATCACCTTCGTTTTTAAATTTTAACTCGAATTTTGAAATGTTTTACCTAGAATGAACGGTTTCATCGTAACCAATTTGATGTGCAAATTTATGTGAAAAGGAATTTCAGGACCAAATATAGCACCCTGGTATAGGGTGGTAACTGATGGTAGACAATGATGACACGTTGTAAATGACAGCTAACTATTCCTACTAGCTTGTATACAACCATTCTACACTATGATATATCCAGACCATCATGATACACTCTCATAGAAATTCTATTATGGAATAGTTTCCTAAAGATGGAGATGATTATCAAGTGCAAGTAACTAAGGAAAATAATTAAAAGGAGGAAAGAGAGGTGATCTAGGCACAAGAATTAGAGAGGGAGGGGGGGGGGGGAGCGAAGAAGAGGGGATCGCGATTTTGAAAATTGGCTTTGTGATTCAATCTCCAGGAGCAGCTCTAGTTCCATCTCACGTCCGCCCACAACCAACCCGCCACCCGACGGATGGCTCCCAGCGCAACCTGTCACCCACCCATAGACCTACCCACATAACGAAGTTCGGGTCAAGTGCGGGTGAAGTGGCCCAAAACCGCGGGTGATCCGCCCGCATGCCCAGCCCTAGGTATAGGTTGGGTATGGATATCCATTTATTTGAGAGAGTTTAACTGAACGTACAAAAAATGAACCTATTTGTAAAACTTGAAAAGTTAGGTACCAAAATGTAAGACAAACCCAAATTAAATTTAGATACTAAATATGCATATCTATTAAGTTTAGGTACCAAATTATAATTTGTATTTGGGTATGAGTACAAACCCAAATTCATGTATTAAAAACTCAACTCAATTCTAATAATTCGGTACGGGTGCAAACTCGTCAACCCCTACTATCTACTATTTATTTGGATTTCAAATCCAACCTAATTGAGTTAAATGGTAAAATAGATGGGTATAAACAAAATTGCACTAATTTTTTTTATGTGGAATTAATCTAACAAATCTCAACTGCCCATCTCCTCCAGGCCTGAAACTACACTCATCGAGGAAATCACCAGAGCAGTATTCCAGGCAATCCGCGGCAGCAACGAGCTTGTGAAGTTTTCATCATATTCGGCAAGCAGATGTTTGGTTGGAATCGAGAGCAAAGTGAAAGAAGTTGAACGGTTGCTGCGCTCCGGCGAGCGGGCTAACTGGACGATCGGACTGTGGGGAATGTCTGGCATCGGCAAGACCACTCTTGCCCAGGCTTTCTTCCACACATTCTCTTCTCAATTCCAAGCTTCCTACTTCTTCAGCAACTTTTCCGGCCCGCTCATCACTAGCGGGCAGCTGTACTCTCTACAGCCATTTGATAATTTGCAAAGCGGCTTTTTCTCTAAACTATTGGGTGACGATGGTGGTGGTGGTAGAACGTTACCCTACGATTTGATGCTTCGCCGTGTTGGTCGTGTCAAGGCGCTAGTCGTGATCGACGACGTGGGTAACGATGTGAGCAACATTGGACCGCTCAAGGATCTGTTAAACGGACAGTACAGCGACCTGTTTGGTCCAGGAAGTGTAGTGATCATGACCGGCACAAACCAACAGCTTCTCAAGAGTGTATGCCACACTGTATATCAAGTCGAGGGTCTGGGTTATAAAAAAGCTCGGCGACTTTTCTACTTGCATGCTTTCAAAGGGCGAAATGCACCATCAGCTGAGTATCTGGAGTTGGCCAGGAAAGCTGTAATTTACGCGGGTGGGAATCCATTGGCACTTACCCTCTTGGGCGCGCACTTGTATGGTCGGGATCCCGAGTTTTGGGAAGGTGAGCTGCGATACTTGCAACGTGATGGTACAAATTCAGTGGTTCGGAATATTGGGAGGAGGAGTTATGAGGAATTGAGCCAGGCAGAGAAAGATTTATTCCTCGACTTGGCATGCTTCTATCCTTACTGGCAAAATAAGGACTTGCGTGTAACTGGGTTACTAGATGGTAGATGGAATCTCATCACTAATCTTGTGGATAAGTCTCTTGTACGCATTAAGTACGCCACCTGCATAGAAATGAGCCTGGTGCTACGAGATCTCGGCCGCGCCATTGTTAATGAACAGGTTCAGATTAGAAAACGCACGAGGTTGTGGAAACCTAAAGATGCATCTATCCTGTTCAAGAAACCGAAGGTACGTACTTTTTCTCGTGTTTCGTATTTGACTAAATATCTCACTGCGTTGTTTTATATTTTTTCTATACTGTTTTCCAAAAAAAAAAAAATCTATAAGCTTGAGTTTTTATTCACGAATTTCAATAAGTGAAATTAATTCTGTGAGATGGATTTAGATTTAATTAATTTATGGATTTTAGGAATGAATAGTGATTTTTCCCTAAAAGTCGATGCAAATTTGTAAAAATGATTTTATTTTGACTAAAACTAAAAAATAAAACAAAATTTTAGAAATCAAAAGTGGAAAACAAATGTATCCATAGTAAAAAGGAGCCAAACGCCTTGAAAGCTTACAACTTAGAAGGCAATTCTTTGATTTTCCCCTCCAATAAGAAGATCCAATTTTTAACATAGTTGAGTCAAGGACTTTGTTAGTGTTTGCACTATATATACAGGGTGATCCCCCAATTCAAGGCATCGTCTTAAATGATGACTGGTCGCTGAATCCCACAAGGGGACCTGCCATAAGCGTACAAGCTGATGCTCTTGAGGAGATGGAAAATCTTCGATTCCTCGTAATTGGCAATAACACTTGCAATTTCATTTTGCCGGAGAATGGGCTGAACTGTTTACCAAATATGCTGAGAATTCTTGAGTGGAACTCGTTCCCTTCAAAATGTCTGCCATCACAATTCTCTGCTGAAAATCTTACTAAGCTTAATTTGGCACATAGCAAGATTGAACAACTTTGGGAAGGCGATGAAGTTGAGGTGGTGTGTATTTCTCGAACTCAATTTATGTGATGTATTTTTTTTTTTTTGAAGAATCAAAACACTATTTATATTCCACCTCCCGCTGATTATATGTTCACCTGCAGGATCTGGGGAATTTGGAAACCCTTAATCTCGAGGAATCCAAGAACCTAAAAAATTTGCCTAATCTCTATACAGCTAAAAGGCTCGAAAGTATGCATCTTTCCGGGTGTAGCAAGTTGTCCCGCCTTCCTGACGACATTGGTAATCTAGTGCATTTGACACATCTGGATCTAAGTTATACTGCACTGGAAGAGCTTCCATCGTCCATTGGAGATCTCAGCAGACTGTGGGAATTGCTCCTCCCCGGTTGTAAGAGTCTATCATGCCTCCCCGACACCATCCACAACCTATCAAACTTACAAACCCTCGAACTAGGTGATTGCACTAAACTGCGCGAGTTACCACTGCTTCCTTCATCCTTGGAAAAATTGGATGCACATGGCTGCAAGTTGCTTCAAACCATGTCAATTCAAGATTTTGCCGCGACACATTTTACATTGCCGGTCTCAGAAGATACTCGTTGGTGCTTTGGCTGGTGCTGGAATTTGGATGAAGGAGTATGCAGAGAGGTTGTGGATAAGGTATGTCATAATCACTAGCTAGCTCTTCCTCTCTCTCTCTTGAATGACGAGACTATATCTATACACTATCATAAATAAATGTTATCACCCTACACTTTTTTTTTGTCAAGAACCAGTTGGTCCCAATAACTCGAATTATTGGAAGCAACTGGTTCTTGACATGGTATTAGAGCCTTCTGTGACCGAGAGGTCTTGTGTTCGATTTCTGGTGACCCCCATTTGTTAAGCACATGGTATTCTTGTCTTCAGACCTGTGCAAATTTCAAGCCCTTGTCAGTGACTTTCGTTTGAGGGGGCGTGTTAGTGTTGTGATATATGATCCACGATTAAACCTCTCCCAACAACTCGAATTATTGGGAGCAACTGGTTCTTGACATTTTTCTGGTTTTTATACGATTGGTACAGTTTACACAGCATCGGATTCGGGGCCCGAGACCCTCTGAGCTTTTAGTGCCGGCAAAATGGGCGGCCAAGAGTAGTAGTGAAGAAGGAAGCATAATGGGATCTTCTTATTATAAGTCTAGGGTGGCAACAAAGTTGCGTGGACAACCATGGAAGTTAAAGTCTCTATTATTTTGCACCCTAATTAGTACACCACCGCTTAATAGGCTCGAGAGCTCGTTCATTACGTGCTTCATGTCCCTCGATGATGATTACGTGATTGGCTACGACATGAGTGACGAGAACGAATTATTGCTCGAAATGCGAACAAGCACTATCGATTTGCTACGTGAAAGAAACCATGAAACTGAAGAAGACTACGAGGACGGGGAGCTTCTCTCAATTGATCACCTTTTACTATGGTCTGATGGTCGGGACTGTAATATGGTGAGATCGGTACAACGTGAGGCTGAAAAGGCTGTCGATGCAGATGGTGCAACTGTGGAGTTCTCTTTTAACGTCAGATACCGTAGTCAGGAGGAGCGGCCTGAAACATCCATGTTGATCAAGAATTGTCGGGTTATTCCGGTGTACGATGACAGAGTAGTGACACATGAAGAGGAAGAAGATGATGATGGTGAAGGTGATCAATATCCAGTCAACCTCTGTGGATTATATGATCAGATGTGCAGCGGCCAGTAATTTTGTTCTGTGGCGAATGCTTTTATCGTCATCATCCTTTTCATCTTCTTCTGTTACTACTCTGTTGTGGCATTAATAGTTAGTATTACTATTAACGATAGAGTTTGTGGAATATATATTGACATGAGAATATTGCTTAGGTAGATACACAGAAACGATAGAGTTTAATCTGTGGGATGAAAGATTTTGAATTATGAGGATGTGCATGATAGGGATGATAGAATCAATGGCTGCATTTATTTTCTCCTATGTAAAGTTATTGCAAGTCCCACCATTCTTACCTATTTTGTGGTGGTTTACCGTCTGCCATTATAGATCATCATGTTCCCTATGCTTATCAAGGAGTTTCCTCCTCACATTAGGCTCATATAATCTAATGCATTTCACTGGTCAGTTATAAATATGCGGAGTTACTACGGTACTTATGATTTTCAAGGACAATTCTTAATTGTGAATCTTGGTTACGCAGGGTTACGAACTGAGAATGAGGTTGCGTGTATCTTTAATGGCGAATGAATATGACATCATGGGTCGTTTGATAGTGCCTTTCATATTACCTGAAGTTATAAAGAGGATTTGTCCTTTTGAAATCCTTTTGGTTGTGCCTTCTTTCAACTTTTACGTACGCTTTTGTTTTTCAAACATCATTTCTTAGTTGGTTCCAAATGTTTCCCATATAATTTAACTAATAATATTTAAGATAGTTATATACTTATATGCTAATCATTTATTTTTTTAGTTGGCTTCCTATCTAATTTATCTTCACAACTACGTCTAGCGCTGCTCTATGATGTTATTTTAGTGGGGGATCCGGTCAATGAACTTTATTGTTCATCAAGGCTTCAAGCTGAATTTGGCTTTGAGGTTTGAGGAACTAAATACTTGGACGAAGTTAAGGGGTCGTTTGGATTGAGTATTTGGGGGTGTTATTTGGGGTCAAATAACACAAAATCTGTTGATTGACCCCAAATAACATGTTTGGCTGACAAAAAGTGGGATGTGCTATTTGGATGTAGTGTTTTGCCAAATAACAGGTTTGAGACCAAATAACACAAAAAGTGTTGTTTGCCAAATACTTGGGAGGGGGCAGGTATTTGCCAAATAACAAGTTTGAGACCAAATATCACATACTAAATAACAGGTTTTATATTATGTGGTATTTGTGTGGTAATTGGCCCCAAACAATAAGTTTGTCAAATACTCAATCCAAACGAGAGTATTTGATTCAAATGTAGAGGGGAGCACTTAAGTTTTGTAGTGCAAAGTGCTTGCTCACATTTCCATTTCATTCAAGTCCATGGAATTTTCAAATAGTTGTTTTCCTTGAGTTTTATAGTTCTTATTTGTTGTAATCAATAATATTAATGCATAATACAATAATATACCCGCCGCAAAGCGCGGGCCAATTGACTAGTATATTGTAAATAACAAATCTATGAAAAGAACGGTAAAAAATAAAATAAGATTACTTTCACTTTCAGTTAACATTAAAACTATTACTCTTTAAAATATTTATTTTTCTGATACGCGAAGCGTTAACGAGCGAGATTTTGCTAGTTTACATGTATTTCAAAGTTTAAGTTTAGTGGATATAGCCCCTCTGGGATATAATCTCCGCCACTTCTACTATCTCACCTGCCCAAAGAAATTAGTTAAGAGCCCATCAACCCCCTTCTGGTTGTTCTCGTCCTTATTAAATTGTTGTTAGTCGCTCATGTTGCTATACTATTTGATATTATACAATGCTAGCCAGAAATCAATCTGTAGTTTTCAAGAAAAAAGACGATTCCTATAGTAAATTACTTGTTGGGTTATGCCAAGGTAAAAGACAAAGCACTAATTTAATCAAAACTAATTGACTTTATGCAAGTGGGTTGGTGGGTGGATGGAGTCTCCACATATATACTTAAAAAAAAATACCAAAAGAGGGTTAAAGAAAGACTCAGGGGAGAGGAGGGGACGAAAGGGATCGACTTTTCTGAATCAACCTTGCTTTTTCTCGCCATCCACACTACCAATTTCTTTCACCATGTGGCTGCTGCTGCTCGTTATTGGTTACATTGTTCTCCTTTCCTTCCTCACCCGTTTTAATTCGTCCTCCGACCAAGATTCTTCTTCTGCTCCTTCTCCATTTCCTTCATCGTCAGAGTTGATTCGTTTTAGCAGCAACAGAGCCCCGGAAATTCCGCACCCAACCAAGTACGATGTCTTCATCAGCTTCAGAGGAGCCGATGTTCGACAAAATTTCCTCAGCCACCTCTACCTCCACCTCAATAATGTCAAGCAACTCGCCGTCTACAAAGACGACGTGGATCTGCCGAGAGGAGCGGAGATCTCGCCCTCGCTCCTGCGAGCGATCGAGATCTCCGACGTTTATGTGGTGATTCTCTCCCGTGATTATGCGAATTCCGAATGGTGTTTGGAGGAGCTGGAGAAGATCTTCCACTGCGTGGAGCAGCACAAACGGATGTTTATACCGGTCACCTACGACATGAGTTTCGCTGATTTCTACGAGACGCTGCCGTCTTCTGCTGTTGCTGGAAACGTGCGAAGCTGGAAGGACCAGCTGGAAAAAATAATCAGCCTCGCCGGGTTGGACTACACGGTCATCAGGTATCTAGCTAGCTATATCAACACTTATTAAACCATTAATTAGTTAAATAATTCGTATTTGTCATGGCCCTGGTTGCAACAGCGCCTTCTTGCTATTACAAAAGGATTCGTTTGCTTTTGAAAATGAGTATGAAATACATAACATACTTCAAACATCATAAATAGTATGAAATTACTCTAATTAATTAAATGATTAAAAAAATCCAAACAGCCAATCGAGTATAAAGTTAATTCACACCTTAAAAGGTTTTATTTACTAAAGAATGGAAAAATGTATATTCATGTTCATCTTCACTCATTTACGTGTTATTGTCCTACAAATTCATTAACACATATGTATAAACGGTTAAATGAATAGCATACCTAACCCAATATCGTCTCATTATTGTTGGGTCGGTCTAATCATGTCGTATTAGCAAGAGGTTTAAGCCTTGGTGGTTAATCGAGCTAAAAAGTTTAGAAAAAAGGTCACTTATAGTTTGTATAAAATATAATTGTTTCATGCTAGTTTTTAAAACTAATAACATTTTAAGTATCCTACATCGATTTTTCATATGAAATAAATGATTGTGAAAAAAAAAGCATATTTCTTACTTTCACTTTCATGACAGGAAATTTGAAATATAATAATAGTTTTCTCAAGTAGATTCTTTTTTCATATGAAAACGGCAACATTTAAGTAACAAAACAAACTGAAAAGAACAAAAAGAGGATGTCCAATGATAGTTGGACATGTGTGATGTTGTTATTATTGGAATAAAAAAAGTTCCGTTTCCATTTTATTGTTCATTAAGGGGTTTATTGGTGATTAACATCAAAGTGGGCAATTAGTCATTAAATGGGTCTCACTCACTTTTTCCCATCTTTCCACTATAGTTTCCATTTCTTCTCCTCTTTTCCATCTATGCTCCCATTTGTGTCATAACAAATTAATATATAAAAGTTTAGGTTGTGAGTTATTATTCATTAGTGGCTCTCACACTCCTTCAAGTGTAAGTGGGGAAGTTCCAAGTTACTTCTTTTAACCCACTCTCCATTTTATAACATTTGTCTTTAGATATTGTTCACTAGGTTTACATCTATTGAACTCAAACACAAGGGTATCATAACTTGAACCCAAGACCGCAATCACGAGTTTTGTATCGGGACCGAGTTTCATCCTCTTTAGTGTTTTTTCTTTTCTCATTTTCCTATTTGTTGACCATCATCCCAAATTCACAATTGAACCCAAACATTAATTAATTAATTAATTAATATATAAAAGTCTATGTTTGAGTTACTATTCATTAGTGGCTCTCACACTCCTCCAAGTGCAAGTGGGAAAGTTCCAAGTTGCTTCTTTTACTCCACTCTCCATTTTATAACCTTTGTGTTTAACTATTCTTCACTAGGTTTACATCTATTGAACCCAAACACAAGTATATTAATTATTAATTAATTAATATAAAAAATTCTAGGTTGTGAGTTATTATTCATTAGTGGCTCTCACACTCCTTCAAGTGTAAGTGGGGAAGTTCCAAGTTACTTCTTTTAACCCACTCTCCATTTTATAACCAATGCGTTTAGTTATTGTTCACTAGGTTTACATCTATTGAACTGTCCATCTTCCCCACTCTCCATTTTATAACCAATGTTTAGCTATTGTTCACTAAGTTTACCTCACTCTCCATTTTATAACCAATGTATTTATACTCGAAGCGCAAGCGAGCAAGTATAACTAGTATTGTATGTATTTGTTGGTTCTTATGTGAAAGACTAGGTTGTGAGTTATTATTCATTAGTGGATCTCACACTCCTCCAAGTGCAAGTGGGGAAGTTCCAAGTTGCTTCTTTTACATCACTCTTCATTTTATAACCAATGTGTTTAGTTATTGTTCACTAGGTTTACATCTATTGAACTGTCCATCTTCCCCACTCTCCATTCTATAACCAATGTGTTTAGCTATTGTTCACTAAGTTTACCTCACTCTCCATTTTATAACCAATGTGTTTAGCTATTGTTCACTAAGTTTACCTCACTCTCCATTTTATAACCAATGTGTTTATACTCGAAGCGCAAACGAGCGAGTATAACTAGTATTGTATGTATTTGTTGGTTCTTATGTGAAATTAATCAACAAATCTTAACTGCCCATCTTCCCCCCTAGGCCTGAAACTAGTAAGTATATGTATTTGTTGGTTCTTATGTGAAATTAATCTAACAAAATCTTAACTGCCCATCTTCCCCCCAGGCCTGAAACTACACTCATCGAGGAAATCACCAGAGCGATCTTCCAGGCAATCTGCGGCAGCAACGAGCTCGTAAAGTTTTCATCGTATTCGGCTAGCAGAGGTTTGGTCGGAATCGAGAGCAAAGTGGAAGACGTTGGACGGTTGTTGTGCTCCGACGAGCGGGCTAACTGGACGATCGGACTGTGGGGAACGGATGGGATAGGCAAGACCACTCTTGCCCAGGCTTTCTTCCATATGTTCTCTTCTCAATTCCAAGCTTCCTACTTCTTCACCAACTTTTCCGGCCTATTCACTAGCGGACTGCATCATCAGAGCGGCTTCTTCTCAAAATTACTGGGCGATGACGACGGTGGTGGTGGCAATGGAACGTTACCCTACGATTTGATGCTTCGCCGTGTCGGTCGCATCAAGGCGCTGGTCGTGATCGATGACGTGGGCAGCGACATGGCCAACATTGGGCCCCTCAAAGATCTGCTAAACGGACAGTACAGCGACATGTTCGGCCCGGGAAGCGTGGTGATCGTGACCGGCACCAACCAACAACTTCTCAAGAGCGTATGTCACGTCGTGTATCAAGTCAAAGGTCTGGCTGATCCCGAAGCTTGGCGACTGCTCTGCGATTACGCCTTCAAAGGAGAGGATGCGCCAGCCGGCTATCTGACACTGGCCAGGAGAGCTGTGAGTTACGCGGGTGGGAATCCATCGGCACTTACCCTGTTGGGCGCGCACTTGTACGGACGGGATCTCGAGTTTTGGGACCGCGAGCTGGGATACTTGCAAGATGGCGATCCGAATTCAGTGGTGGAGAGCATCGGGAGGAGGAGTTACGAAGGATTGAGCCGAGCGGAGAAGGATTTGTTCCTCGACCTGGCATGCTTCTATCCTTACTGGAGTCGCAAGGAGTTGAGCAGAGCTGGGGCGGTGAAAGACGGGAGATGGAATCTCGTTGCCAACCTTGTGGATAAGGCTCTTATAAGCATCGACGGTACCGCCGGCCGCGTGCAAATGAGCATGGTGCTACGAGACCTCGGTCGCGGCATTGTTAATGAACAAGGTCGAGTCAGGAAGCGCACGAGGTTGTGGAAACTCGAAGATGTATCTTTCCTCTTCAAGAAACCCAAGGTATAGAACGCTGTGTTTTTGTTTTGTTGTGTTTTTTCGTATATTGACTAAATTTCACTGTGATTCAACCATTCCTGTTCGTTTGCGCTTTTAATTATGTGTCATATAATATGACCATAGTATACCAATATTATATGTCATTTCATAAGAGATCGATTCTCGCTTCTTTTTTTACGTATTATGATATTAATCAACGTTAAGATTTAAGAGTATTCAGTTTGTCGATTTTATTAGGATTTAGAATTTACAGTTAAATTTAATATCTTTCACTTAATCAAATATTAAAAGAAAGACTTTGTGGTGTTGCATGTTGTAAATTTATAGTTTACATGAGTTTTAGCCGAGCTAAGGACTTTGTAAATGGTTTGCACTACACAGGGTGATCCACCAATTGAAGGCATCGTCTTAGATGATGACTGGTGGAGTGGTGCCATAGGAAAACCTGATGGCATATGCGTACAAGCTGATGTTTTTGAGGAGATGGAAAATCTCCGATTTCTTGTGATTGGCCATAATGCTTTCAATTTAGTCTTGCCGAAGGATGGGTTGAAATGTGTATCAAATATGCTGAGAATCCTTGAATGGGACTCGTTTCCGTCTAGATGCCTGCCACCCAAATTCTCTGCTGAAAATCTCGTCACGCTTGGTTTAACATGCAGCAAGATTGAACGACTTTGGGAACACAATGAATTTAACGTGGTACGTACATGTTTCTTAACTCAATCATGTGATAGTATTTTTTTGAAGGAATGAAAAAAAAAAAACACTACTTATTCCACCTCCCACTGATTTTATACTTGTGTTGGAATTTGAGTATTGCTCTGTTGGAATTTTGGTAATGTTTGTAGCAAAGTAACTTTGTCTAATATCTCAATAAACCGTTTTGTGTCACTTATTTGTTTGTTTTTAATTTGTAGATTGTTGTAGTAAGCTCTGGAATTAACTTCACATTTCAACAACAAACCTGCAGGATCTTGGGAATTTGAAAACCCTTAATCTTAAGGGATCCAAGAGCCTAAGAAAGTTGCCTGATCTCTCTACAGCAAAGAGACTCGAGAGTATGCATCTCTCTGGATGTGTGAGCTTAGAGGAGCTCCCCACCTCAGTTTTGGATCTTCCCCTGTTGGAAACCCTCCATGTGAGTGAGTGTATCAGCCTAAAATGGGACAACTTGGAAGATTATGTAAACTGCAGTCCAGAACAGAGTAGCCACCCTTCAGGCATCTTACCCAGCCTGAAATTTGTGAACCTAGCCATCACTCCAATTCAAAAGGTCCCTAGTTTTATTACCCACTCGCCGGTTCTGACACTGGACTGCGCCGATTGCACAGAGTTGACAGAATTTGCAGCAATCCCAAGCCTGGAAAGATTAGACCTGACTTATAGTCTGATTGACGAGGTGGTGGAGTTGGAAAAGCTGACCAAGTTGAAGCACCTCAACCTTTCGCAGAACAAGCATCTTATAATTCTCATCTCTGGTGACTTCCCTAAGTCGAATTCTCTGGAGATGATCGCCCTGGAAAGTTGTACCAAGTTGTCCCGCCTTCCTCGTAGCATTGGTAATCTATTGCATTTGACAAATCTTGATCTGAGTCGCACAGCATTGGAGGAGCTTCCATCGTCCATTGGAGATCTCACATTACTGTCGGAATTGCTCCTCACCGGCTGCAAGAGTCTAGTATGCCTCCCTGACACCATCCACAAGCTATCCAACTTAAACATACTCAAACTGGATCATTGCTATCAGCTGTGCCATTTACCAATGCTCCCATCATCCTTGAAAGATTTGGATGCACATGGCTGCAAGTCGCTTAAAACCATGTCAACTGATACTGCTGAGGCACAAATGATGACATTGTCGGTCCCGGAATATACTCGCTGGTGCTTTGGCTGGTGCTGGGAGTTGGATCCAGTAGCATGCAGTAAGATGGTGGATAAGGTATGTCTCCATCTTTTCTCAAATGACGAAACTAGCTACAATCATGGTGATCATAAATTTTTTTTACTCATAATTTTGGTTTATACAAATTGATTGATGCAGTTTACCCAGGATCTGGTTCGATGCCCCAAATCTTCTCACCTTTTAGTGCCGGCAAAATGGGTATCGAATAGTAGTAGCGAAGAAGGAAGCATAATGGGATCTTCTTATAAGTCTAGGGCAACAGCAAAGTTGCATGGACAACCATGGAAGTTGAAGTCCCTATTCTTTTGCATCCTACTGAATACCCTGCCCCTTCGTAAGCTCCAGAACTCGTACATGAACTGTTTCTTGATCAATAATGATGATGATAAGGTTACCCTCGAAATGAAAACGAGCACTATCTCTTGGTTACTCCGAGGAAATAATAAAGATGAGGAAGAAGACGAGGACGAGGAGCTTCTCTCTAACGATCACCTTTTACTATGGTCCGCTGATAGGTACACCGATACGGTGAGAACAGTACAACGTGTGGCTGAAAAAGCTGTCCGTGCAGATGGTGCTACCATTGAGTTCTCTTTTCACGGCAGATACTCTAGTAAAGAAGAGGGGACAGAAACATCCATCTTGATCAAGAATTGTCGGGTTATTCCTGTGTACGAGGACAGAGTAGTGACATATGAAGAGGAGGAAGAAGATCAGTATCCAGTCAACCTCCGGGGATTATATGATCAGATGTGCAGCGGCCAGTAAAGTGTCTACAATAATAACTTAAAAATGGTTTCTCTCAGTGATCCAGTTTTGCAGATGGCTGCCAGATAATGATGCCGATTTCCTATTTGGATAGGGGTTTGGTTGGACTAGAGGCAAAGATGCAAGATATGGAGTGGTTGTTGTCTTTAGATGCAGGAGATAATAGGGCAATAGGACTGTGGGGAATGGGTGGTATTGGAAAGATTACCCTTGCCAAAGCTATATTTTGATCGGTTCTCCTGTCAATTCGAAACTTGCTATTTCCTCCCCAACTTTGCAGATCAACCAAGTTACTCGCCGCATTTGTTTGAAAATCCGCAAAACAACTTCTTCTCGAGATTATTAGGTGATGAGAAGTAGATTGTTTCATGACTTGAGACTTAATCAGCTTGGTCGTATGAGGTCGTGACTTGAGACTTGAACATCAGCACATCCGTGGCTCCCAATGGCAAGGATCTGCGATTCTTCTGCTGCTAAGCATCAAACCTTCCTCTCAAGCAGACATGCCCAGGAAGAACCAAGCATCTCTTTCCGAATGTCGATGCAGCTTGTATTTCACATGTAGTTTCATGTATCCTGGAAACACAAAGAAAGAAACATATGAATGAGAGAACTTCGGGTCATGCTCCAACTGAATATGGGTTTTAAACAGAAGAACCAAAAGTCAAGCAGCAGCAATTAGCTGATGAAGTAGGGTTCCATTTACCTCTGTAAAGCACTTCACCGCTGGTGGGTGAGCACACAACTGATCATATAATCCCAGGAGGCCATTTGGAGATTCGTCATCATCATCCTTTTCCTCTTCGTTTGTGACTACTCTGTCATCGTAAACTGGAATAACCAGACAATTCTTAATCAAATCGAGTGTCTCACAGGTCCCGCCAAAATACCTGCAGCGAAAGAACAATTCAACGGTACCAGAACCATCCGCATTGTTCCCGACGACAAGCGGTTCAGCGGACCTTACTTTTTTTCTTGATGAAATAGTAGTAGACCATATTAAGAAGTGACCATTCAAGAGGCGCTCCTCCTGATCATCATCGTCATATTCTCGGATATGTTTCCAGCAGCATTCGCTCACAACTTTAGCCCCAGCATTGTCCTTATTGTTGAACATCATGCACTCAACAAGGAAACAGTCGTCCTTATTAAGGGGATCAGGGGAGTTGAGCACCACACAGAAAACTATTGCCTTCAACTTCCATGGATGTCCACGCAGCTTTGCTGTCACTGTTGTGTTATTATTACCACTACTAGGTCCCTTTTTGTGACCTTCTTCATCACCACTTTCACCACCCCATTTTGCAGGGAGTAAGAGGCTCGAGCGGTAATAGTTTCGAACAGAATCCTGTGTGAACTGCAGCAAACACAACGAGAAAGGAAGCAAAAATTATGACCACTATAGTCCTAGTCACGAAATGAGCAAGAGAGAGAGAGAGATACCTTGTCCACAAGCTTATTGTACACTACTGGATCCAACTTCCAGCACTGGCTAAAGCACCAATAAATATTCGAGAAGTCATGTTTCTCGACAGTGCCAATTGACAGGGTTTGAAGTGACTTGCAACCATGTGCATCCAATTTTTTCAAAGATGGAGGAAGCTCTGGCAAATTCCTTAGTTGAACACAACCAAACAGATCGAGTGTATTCAAATTGGTGAGTTTGTGGATGGTGTCAGGGAGGCATGCTAGGCTCTTACACTCCTGGAGGATCAATTCAGATAGTCGTATGATATTTACAACGGAGGATGGCAGCTCTTTCACAGCTGTGCAACGTAGATCAAGACTTCCCAAATTCATTAGATTACCAATGCTGTCAGGAAGTCTTGCTAGACTCTTGCAACGCTGGAGGCTTAACTTAAACAATCTTATGGGACTTTCCATATGCGTTAGAATACCAGAGCTTTCGGGAAGGCTGGACAGCTTGCTACAATCATCAAGGTGAATCTCTTCCAGAGATTTCAATTTAGACAAGTCACCAGAGACGAGAACAAGTTGCTCGTTGTCCGAAAAACGGAGGAACTTCAGCTCTGTCAACTTTTCCAACTCAACCACCTCTTTGATCAAACTACAAGTCAAGGTGAAGCTCTCCAGGCTTGGGATGACTGGAAACTCAGACAACTCAGTGCACTCCCAGCATTGGAGTTCCAAAATATGCAGACGGGTGATAAAATTTGGAACCTTCTGGATTGGTGTGTAGCTTAGGTCCAAGTTTCTCAGGCTGGGTAAAATGTCATGATGACCTGTACTTTGTCCTGGGTTGCTGTTTGCATAGTCTTCCAAGTTCTCCAACTTTAGTCTGCTGCAACTCCACAAATTGAGGAACTCCAGCTTGGGGAGATACAAAATTGAGGAGGGCAGCTCCACTAAGCTCGTACAGAAAGGAAGATCAATTTGTTTTAGTTTTTTAGCCGTGGAGAGATCAGGCAACTTTCTTAGACTTTCCGATCCGTGAAGATTAAGGAATTTCAAATTACTTAAATCCTGCAAGATGTATATATGTGTACAATGAGGAAAGTGTACGAAATTCAAAAAGAAGACCTAGATTATTGAGTTAAGAAACACGTACCGCGTCAAGTTCATCGCCTTCCCAAAGTTGTTCAATCTGACTATTTGCCATATCAAGCGTGATAAGATTTTCAGCAGAAAATTGAGATGGCAAACATTTAGAAGTAAAAGAATACCACTCAAGAATTCTCAAAGTGTTTGGTAGACAATTCAAACCATCCTTCGGCAAAACTAGACTGCTCGCTTGATTACGAATAATAAGGAATCGCAGTCTCTTCATCCTCAAAAAAGTGTCAGGTTGCAAGAGTAAGATATGTTCCTTGTATCCCTGGTTGTCTAATAAAAGAATACCTTCGGTGGATTCGGTCCCCTGTTTAGTGGAAACAATAACAAACAGATCCAAAAAAAAATTACGATATCTTCAAAATTTTGAATTCTTAAACTTAGTTTTAGCAATTTCTGCAAATGGAATTGGAATTTCCAATGACATAATTATTATCAATCATTTACAAAACTACCCCTCCGTAGATACATCTGATTTGGCGCCAATGCTCCATTTTTATAAGCATTAATTTCCACAACTTAATAGAAAATTGTTTTCAAAAAATTATAAAGAAAATTTTCTGTCTGCCAAAAACAATATTAAGAAAAATAAGTAATGCGGTAAAATTGAGTCGTTAGATAACAATAAAATTATATTTTATACCTTGTTCTCTCGGAATAGATAATAAAGATCTTGAGATCTCCACAACCTCGAACGTTTTTCAATTTGCCATTCTTCATCTACGATGTAGCGACCAAGGTCTCGTAGCAGACTATTCATTTCTATGTAGCCCTCATCAACATTAATGCTTATAAGAGACTTATCCACAAGGTTAGTTATGAGGTTCACTCTCCCACCTTCTAAACCCATTATTTCCTCAATGTACACTAGTTTGAGATGTCTCCAATACGGAAAAAAGCATGCAAGATCAAGGAATATATCTTTCTCTGCTCGACTCAATCCATCATAACTCCTTCTCAAAACATTCTGAACCACTGAGTTTGGATTGTCTTCCAAGGCACCTAACTCACGATCCCAAAACTGGAGGTCCCGGCCGAATAAGTGTGCTCCCAAAATGGTGATTGCTAACGGATTCCCATCAACATAGCGTATTGCTCTCTCGACCATATCCAGATGCTCAATTTGGGCACTTTCCCCTCTGAAGGCATGCAAGCAGAAAAGTTTAGAGGCTTCTTTACCGACCAGACCCTTGACTTCATATACATGATCACAAACATTCTTAAGAAGTTGTTTGTTCCTTCCAGTCATGATGATTACACTCCCTGGACCAAATAAATTGCAGTACTGTCCATTTAACATATCCTTCAGTGGTCCAATCTTGCCCACATCGTCACCTACATCATCAATCACGACCAATGACTTCATACGACTGAGGCGGTGAAGCGCCATACCATAGGATACTGCTCCACCACCAGCTCTGCCATTCCCATCGCCCAACAGCTTCGAAAACAAGTGACTTTGCAGATTACCAAATGGCTGTAGAGACGACCCTCCAGAGATGGTGTCGGTAAAATTGCTGAAGAAGTAGGAAGCTTCGAAACGACAAGAGAATAGGTCGAAGAAAGCCTTAGCAAGAGCAGTCTTCCCAATGCCACCCATCCCCCACAGTCCTATCGTCCAATTACTCCTCCCATCGGAGCACAACAAGGCTTGTAATTGCTCTATCTGCCTCTCTACTCCGACCAAACCTCTGCTAGCTGAATATGCTGGAAATTTTACCATCTGGCTGCAGCTGTAGTGTATTGACTGGAATACAGCCTTGACGATCTCCTCGATGAGTTTAGTCTCAGGTCTGGGGGAGGTTCGCAGTTGAAGATATATATGTATATGACATTGCAATCAAGTAATGAGGAAGAGAAGCCATCAATTTAGTTAATTAACGGGTAGAGGTTTTGATTTAACATACCTGATGACCTGAGAATCGAATCCGGAGAGGTTGGCTACCTCACTCAATGCAGCTCTCCAGCTTCGAATTCTCCAAGCAGTAGCAGAGGGCAACTTCTGGTTTTCGACCTCAGAAGGGTCGACGCCGTAGAAAACCGGTATAACCCTCCGTCCGTGCAGCTTCATACAGTGGAGAATCTCCTCGAGCTCCTCCAAGCACCAGGGCGAATCGGTGTATTTGGGGGAGAGAACCACAATATAGACGTCGGATCTCTGGATTGCCAGCAAGAGCGACGGCGAGATCTGCTCCCCTCTCTCCAGATCCACATCGTCTTTGTAGACCGCCAATTTCTGCAAATTGTGGAGGTGATAGTAGAGGTGGCTGAGGAAGGAGTTCCGGACATCGGCTCCTCTAAAGCTGATGAAGACGTCGTATTTGCTCAATCCGGGTCCAGATGCGCCACTGCTATTGCTGCTGTTGTGGCCGAAAGGAATCAAATCCGAGGAGGAAGAAGAAGAAGGAGCTGGGAATGGAGAAGGGGGCGTGAAGTGAAGAGGGCGGACGAATTTGTGGCGGAGCCAGTTACAGAGTTTGGTGGGAAGAATCAGGAGATCGTTGGTACTGATGAGTAGTTTCTTCTGCCTCTTGCTTGGCTGGCTCGGAGTCAGAGCAAGTTGTTCTTCTTCGTCGTCGCAGCGGCGATCCGACTCCCTCCTTTTGCCTAGCTTTCCCATCACGGGCATGCGGGAAATCAAATTGAGAGCGGTGGGTACTGCTTCTCTGAAGGGAATTTCGAATTGGAGGGCCGGGCTAGGCTTACTTGAGTAGGAATATAAAAAGCATGGTTATCTGTTTACTGTTCAGGTCTTCCTTTGCATTTGTAATGGACGGCCAAAATTGCATAACTGGAGCAAAAAAGAAGGGTAACGGAGTAAAAGAAGATCACTAGTATTAAACCCTAGTTTCTTCCTCTTCGTGGGTCGTCGGCTCTGAACAAGTCCGTCGCCGTAGCGGCCGGCGATTGATATTCTTGTGGCCATCAGCACGGAGGAAAAGACGCACAAAGAAATCAATCGCGACGGCGCCGGTTGAGGAATGAGTGAGTGATGTGATCCGAATCTCTGTCCCTCCCTGCGACGATATATGACGCCAGAGCTTTGGCAGCGATCTTCTCCGTCGTAATTCCATTTCCCGCGTGCAAAAGCTTCGTCTCTCCCGCGCTTCAAGTCGTGTGGGTCTAATTGATGCGCCATGACTTCTTCACTACTCTGGGGTCTGCAACTTGAAGACAGAGCAGCGGCGACATTGGTTGAACCGATTCACTCACTAGGTGGTTCGGCTCGTAATCAAACCGGATTTTGCGGCTGTGAATGAGTCGCCGGCTGGCCGTTGACTGGATCAGTACAGTGAGACTTCCAGCCCGAATGCTAAGCTCGTCAATCGCGAAACGGCGGTACAAAACCCATATGTACTGCCAGCATCTCCGACAAGCCTTCCTGAATTCAACCCGAACAGTCGTCGTTGCCGCCTCTCCCTCTTCCCGCCGCCGACTGGATTCAAATGTCCTGTCGCGGGCGAATCGGATGAAGCTCGTGATGCAATTTGGTGTGGGGCTTGAAGGTGAAACTTGAAAAAGTTTCGTTTTTTATATGCTTTTGTGAATATTTGTTTACCTTCCTTTTACCTTCCTTTTGCATTCAGTTTCGACATTGATGCTGCTACAACATGTGGGATCAGAGTAGCTAGAATCCCTAGTGATGTGACTGGCAATGCGACATCTTGTGCAGAGATGAGTATATATCTGATGTTGGGTCTTCTTCGCAAGCAGGTTGATTTTCTGCTTCCTCTTCTGATGTCTGACACAGAAACCTCCATGGATTCTTCTTTGTGCATTAGGATCCTTGTTCTGGCTTATTTGATAAAATGATGCTTGTTATTTGCAGCACGAGCTTCAAACTGCAGTGCAGCAAAAAAAAGCTTGGAGAACCAATTGGTGACACTTTATTTGGCAACACGGTGAGTGGTTCTGAACTGTAAGTGTTCTCCAAATGTTCCACAGAATGGGAAATAGTCGAAATGCTGATGGGTTGTTGTCCCACCTCTCATATTTTCCAGTTTCCCTTCTGCAGGTATTCATTTTGGGATATGGAAATATAGGGATTGAGTTGGCTAAGCGATTGAAGCCATTTGGTGTGAGAATTATTGCCACGAAGAGGAGTTGGGCGCTGCATTCTAATGGTATTGTATCACTTCAAAGTGCATTGAGAAGTTGTATGAGATACTATATCGTTTTTACATTTTCCTTACATATGTGCATCACCTCAAGGTGGCATCATACATGATTTGGTTGACGAGAAGGGTAGTCATGAAGAAATTCACAAGTTTGCTGGCAAAGCCGACATAGTTATTTGCTGCTTATGTATGAACAAAGAAACAGTAAGATCTTAATCCCTTCTTCCCTGGCCCACCGTCATTTCTCTCATCTCTTTTAGTTCCTGCTGCATCTTCCGATCCTTATTGGTATGAGAAATTTTGAAACTTCAGGTAGGTATAGTGAACAACTCATTCTTATCTTCAATGAGAAAGGGTTCCCTTCTGCTAAACATTGCTCGAGGAGGCTTACTAGATTACTAAGCTGTTTTCGACCACCTTAAGTCGGGACACTTAGGCGGCTTGGGCATTGACGTTGCATGGACTGAGCCATTCGATCCTGATGATCCAATGTAAAAGTTCAACAATGTCATCATCACTCCACATGTAGCAGGGGTTACAGAACACTCAGTACAGATCCATGGCTAAGGTATGAAATACAGAGTTTTCGTATCGACTCGAAGGCTACTTATGTAACAAGTAACTAGCAACCCAAACCCACTTGTGGAAAAATGAAACCTTATATCAGTGTTATTGATGGTTGGTTCATCTCTAGGTCGTCGGAGATGTCGCCCTTCAACTACATGCAGGGTATCCTTTGACTGGCATCGAGCTTGTGAGCTAACGAAAGCTTACGATCGACTTCCCAGTTATATCTTCAACACGGCAGTGGGCTTTCCCAGGTGCACACTAGTGATAATTTATCAGTAGGCCAATGAACTGAACTTCTGTGATTATCATTTGCATTTTTACCAGTTTTATCTTTTTATAGTACACTGTCATTGCACTAGACTGTATTGCAGTTTACCAGTTTCAACTTCATTGATCTCCCTTTCAAATATTGCGTGGCTAATGTGGTAGTGTTCAAAATGTGTAATTACACTATTACATGTTGGATAATAAAAGGAACTGTTAATCTAACCGATTCACTTGGTGGTGTGGTCTGTAAATAAAACCGGAATTGCACGAACAACTCTACATGTTGATGTTCCAACGTCTTTCCTTGTTCACCAAGCTCTAAAGTTACAAGAATTCATTTACACGGTTTGTAGATTGATAACCCAATAATGTGAATGGTTATTTATAAGGAATTCTTGTTGATAATTATTCGGATTAAATGGTAGCAAATTCCATGTTTAGTATTGAAACTTTTTCTTGTGGTGGAATCAGTGATCACCTGCTTGAGGGTAACTACTCCACATTGGCTGATGGCAAAATTGCAGTTTAATTAAAATGAAAATAAACCAACCACCATTTTTTGTCGCGCAGAAATTCGATCAGAATGAGGTAGGAAAGCTTAAAATTAGGCAATTACTGGGGGAAAAGCTCAAATTATGTGTTGTAAGATCCAATGACTGTTCTTTTGGCAAAACAAATTTTGTATGGAGAAAAGTTCAAAACTACAAATCTGAGTCGTTGCAACTGGCTGTATTATATTAGACAGCTGGATAATCATTGTTTTATAGCTTCGAAGGGTTATAAGAAGACTTTATGGTTGGCATCGAGAAAAAAATAAGACTCCTATGTTCTTTCCTTTGTCATAATAAAAAGTCTTCGCGTTTGTTTGTTTTTGCCATAGTTATTCTCAAAGGGAAGCAGTATAGATACGAAAATATACAAGACCTAGTAAACAGTAGACGAGAATACAGATTTAATCCCCGAGAGCATAGGCGATGAAGAGGAACGTGATGCCAACTCGAGGGTCGCCTTTGTAGAGGAAAAGGTCGGGCTTCCTCCATCATAGCTTAGATAAGATGAACCGCAACCTGACGTTAGCCTGGCGGCTCAATCGAAGGCGGTGAAAGTGGTGCATGTCCTGATTCACCTCAATCTTTTGGTTCATTATGGACTTGCAAAACACCATTACTTATTACATAGATTTCATGTGGATTCGGTTAATTAGATTTGAATGTGTTTAGTGAAATTGACCTACACTGGGATCATTGGTATGATTAGATAAATGTAATAGCATGAGAGCATATTGGTCATAAATGATGGAATTCGAATTGCATGATTAATTCCCACTCAAAGAGGTGAAATTTTCAAATCTATAGGATCAACGGATTTGTTGCTACTAAATACATGAAGCAAACAATGGAGTTGGAACAAAATCCATAAGAAATACAAATTCATCATCAAATCTATCACTAAATCTATGAAAATAAATAGTATTTCTTTCTTCCACCAAAACAAGCCAAAATACAGTAAACGAGATGAAGGTAAGAAACACATGTTTTAACGTATGTTAATTGTAATAGAATCACACACACCAAAAAAAAAAAAACATGAAAGAATGGCTTTAAAACAAGTCATTTCTCTGGGCTCTCCATCTCTGCAGCTTCTCAGATATAAATTTTCCCTTCCCAGTGCCATCTCCATCCTCATCACTGCCGAAGGAGGAGTGTAAGTGTATAATGGTTGGCGAAGTCGAGAAGAAGAGCAGAGTGACTCGTGTTCTGTTTTGCGGGCCTCATTTTGCTGCTTCCCATAACTACACCAGGGAGTACTTGGCTAAGTACCCTTTCATTCAGGTCACTAACTCACTGTTCCTTTTTTTGCATCACAGAGTTTCACTGCAGCTTTCCAAATGGAGCCCTGTAATCCTGTTTTTGCTCTTTCCCAATTTTTTCTGTCATTTGTAGGTTGATGATGTTCCTCTCTGTGAAGTACCCAGTGTCATAGCCAACTACCACCTCTGCGTGGTGAAGACGATGCAGCTGGATGCAAACGTTCTGTCTCGGGCGAATCAGATGAAGCTCGTAATGCAATTCGGTGTTGGCCTTGAAGGTGTGGACATCGATGCTGCTAGGAAACGTGGAATCAGAGTAGCTAGAATTCCGAGTGATGTGACTGGAAATGCGACATCTTGTGCAGAAATGAGTATATACTTGATGCTGGGTCTTCTTCGCAAGCAGGTTGGTTGGTTGGTTGGTTGGTTCTCCCTTCACTCTTTTGAAGTCTGAATCTTAATTACTCCATGAATGTCTTTCTGTGCTGTCTTCTTTCTGACTGTGGTTATTATTTGCAGCATGAGCTTCCAAGAGCAGTTCAGCAGAAAAAGGTTGGAGAACCAGTTGGCGACACTTTATTTGGGAAAACGGTTAGTGCTTGCTTCCTGTTGCTATGACTTGAAGTCGGATTATCTTTCGGAGATTTGAAAATTTGGTGTTTACCGTACGTTTGCGGTTTTTCCTTCTGCTGCAGGTCTTCATTTTGGGATTTGGAAACATAGGGACGGAGTTGGCTAAGCGATTGAAGCCATTTGGTGTGAGAATCATCGCCACAAGGAGGAGTTGGCTGCCGCCTTCTAATGGTAATCTCTTCAAATTGTCTTCTCCTTGTTGAATGAATTGCTCTTTCGTTGTGACAATTCCCTTACACATATCTGCATCATCTCAAGGTTGCATCAATCATGATCTGGTTGACGAGAAGGGTAGTCATGACGAAATTCATGAGTTTGCTGGCAAGGCCGACATAGTTGTTTGTTGCTTGCGTATGAACAAAGAAACAGTAAGATCTGCTCCCCCCTTGTTTCTTCTTTTGCACCTTTACTGTCATTTCACTGATCTCTTTCAGTTCCTGCTGCATCGATCTTCTAATACAGGTGGGCGTAGTAAACAAAACATTCTTATCTTCAATGAGAAAGGGTTCCCTTTTGGTGAACATTGCTCGAGGGGGTTTGCTGGACTACACAGCTGTTTTCGAGCACCTTAACTCGGGACACCTGGGCGGCTTGGGAATCGACGTGGCATGGACCGAGCCGTTCGATGCTGATGATCCAATCCTAAAGCTCAACAATGTCATCTTCACTCCTCATGTTGCAGGGGCTACAGAGTACTCGTACAGGTCCATGGCTAAGGTATGAAGGATTACAAGGCTTCCTTGTCTAACAAGTAATTAGCTACCCAAACCCTCTTGTGAAAAAAATGAAACCTTGTATCAGTGTTATTGATGTTTGGTTCATCATGTCCAGGTTGTCGGAGATGTTGCTCTTCAACTCCATGCAGGGGATCCTTTGACTGGCATCGAGTGTGTAAACTAGACGAAAGCTTATTCTCAACGAATCAACGCTTTACCGATATCTCGATCTTCAGCATTGCTAGGGGGTTTTGTCAGAAGGAATCACCAGCAGCAATGTCTGATGCTTTCTGTAGCTGCCCTTTCATTATCTAATGTTTTCCAGCAATCCTGCCTCCTTTGTGAGCTTATCAACAGGTTTCCCAGGTGCGCGTTAACAGCAATTCACCTTTACTAGGGTTAACTACACTTGTTATAGTAAACAGTAACAAGCAACATACTTTCTCCATTCCACAATGGCCAGAGTCCAGACCCAAAAAGGAAAAGAAAAACCTGTCTCCACATTGCTTAACCTACAGTTCTGGGAGGATTGAAACAGAAAGAAAAGAAACTACATGACTGAGACCAGACTTCATATTCAATTACAATAGTTAGGAACATCCACATTCCATCAATCAACCAAGACACATTGTTTCCTTTTTCTTCGGGCTGTTCATCCAATGCGAGCAAGCTGCTCGATGTTGATCGGGTAGACATAAGTGGTATCGCCATTGAAGGCCTTCCTCCCCATCAGCACATTCACAGCCTCCGTCGGGTGGAACGCGTCCCAGAACACGTACTGCCCGCGTTCGTTGCACGGCGTCTGGAACGGCAAGCACGTTATCTGCCCTGCATTCCTGCCTATCCCACAGCATCCTCTGTTCACCACGCTAAACCCTGCAATGCAGCACTCTCATTACAAATGCAACGAACTCAAACAATTTCACGTCTCGAAAATCATTTCCTCACGACGACGAGGAAATTGGTTCGTACCGTATCGTTCCGAGTTGGTGAGGACCTCGCGGAACATCTTGGCAATGTCGATGTAAGTGAACCTGGCGCCAGGGAGGTTGGCGTTGAAGTTGTTGATCATGGCCTTCACATTCTGGTTGAAGGGAGTGACCAGCTTGTTGACTTCCTCAGAGCAAAGCCCGGCTGGGCTTTGGGCCAGGATGCTGGGGATGCAGCCCATCACTCCAAGCCCAGCTATCACGAACTTCCTAGCTCCCAAATTGTAAAGCGTCTGCAGTGAAAAAAGAAAAACAAAATTACAGCTTTTACCTACTAGGTGGAATGTGAAGTGGGAAAAAGAGGGGTAAGGAGGTAAATTGTACATTGAGCTGGCGGGTATACTGATGGACCAAGAGGTCGGCGTACTGCTGGCCGTTGTACTGGCCGCGGGTCGGGTAATTGGGCATGAGGTAGTTGTTGAGGTAGTCGTTGCTGCCCATTCCGACGAAGAATATGCTCCGGCCGATGCCCTGGGCGGTTTCGACGGCACCGAGTTTTCCGGTCAGTTGGTCTAGCGTGTTCCGGAAGTTTCCTATTTGTTGGTCGAATGGGATCCGACCCACCTGCATGGGCACGACCCGGAAAACTCATAAGTACAAAAGGAACAAAAAATAAGGGACCAAAACGAAACTTTTGCATGCATAGTGTGAGGAATCTGGAATTGTACCATTATGGTGAAGCAATTAATGGGTTGTAACAACATTTCCTGACAACCTTTTTCTCTTAATAAATGTGTAATTTATTGAAGCTATACGAAGGGTCAATATCACAATCATTTAATTACAAGCATATCTATCATGTACCTTCTTCTAATTACCAATGTTTTAAAACCCTGCCTCACCGGACGGATGTAATGGAAATATCGGATACTGGATTTTAAAAAGTATGCAATTTTAGTGGTATGAAATTGGTAAATTACATTTTTAATGGTACAAAATATTCTACTATGAACATTTTTAGTGTAATTTTCGGTACAGTTTCACAATCATTGCTAATTACCATGTGTAATTAAAAAAAATCATTGAAATTATATGTTAACATCGTTAGATCACCTTTTAGTCATTGAATCGATATAATAGAAAAGATCAGACATACGTAGGAAAGGAAAGATCCAATCTTGTGATTCCGCATGCAAATTTTAGTAGAAATTAAATAAGAGACGGCAAAAATAAGAATCTCACAAAGTTTCTGCCGGTATCGTCTAGGATTCCGGCGGCGGCGGAGGCGTAGTTGACGCCACGTGTCACGTCGCCGTTGGTCGCCTCGGTGTACGGCGGAATCAACGGCAGCCCCAGCTGCTCAGCTGCATGCACGCATATTTCCAAAACAACACATAGTGTCATTTTTCACCACATCAAATCAACGTATACATTCCATCGGAAAAAACTCGGGACAGTCGACAACAATGGTTTACCGATTTCGTCAACCATGGTGTAGCCGTTGGAGAAGCGGCCGGTGGGCCCGCCGTTGAAGTCAATGCCGTACGGCAAGTAGTTGGCCTTGGCGAGAGAGGCCAAGTTGTTGTTGTTGCCGTTGTCGATCAGCGAGTCGCCGAATATGAACATCGCCGGGACCAACGCTTCCTTGGTAGGAGCACCACGGCCGCCGCCGGCGGCCACTTCCCCGTAGTCTCCTCCATCTCCTCCCTCGCCGTCACCGTCGCCGCCGACGGTGCCGTTGAAGAACTGAGCATGACCCACTTGGGTAAACGCTAGTAGACCCAAAATGGCCACGAACAAGAGTTTGGTGGTCAATTTGGTCAAAGCCATTATCGGACTTACACACGGTTGAAGAGAAAGTGGAAGAAGAAAGGGTTGGTGTGATAGAGGAGGAAATGGTGGGGGAAAGAGACGTGACTGTTGTTTATGAAGTGATATGAAAGGTGAGGGATAAGGGAAGGTCTGTTTATAATGGTGTGTGTGTGGGGTGAAAAATATTGAATGTGGGTGGTTAGGGTAAAGAGTTAATGCATTCAGCTGTTACCTCACTTTTGCAGTAATTGCTATAGTTTTCTATCTCTTCCCTTATTTTCTGGGTCGATCGTGTTCTTTCTTTATTCACTTTGCTAGCTAGGTCTTTCAACTTGGGGTTGGATAGTTCATAGACGATATAGTCTGGTAGGGATGAAAATGGATCGAAACTGAAGAGAGATGAGGGTCTAAATCCAGCGAAATTATCTTGGACTTTGATTCTATCAAGTAATTTAGTTGTAATTCGAGATTGGAATCGAAAACGAGGTTGTGTTACGGTTAAGTTTGATAAAGTCATATCAAATTCCCTTATGACCCAAATCAGTTTGACTCGAATAATAATAGCGGGCATGATTCGTCAGGTGAGGATAGAATCATTGTGATCTCCTAGTGTATAAGACCAAAAGAGCCACTTATGTTTTGTGAATATATATATACCAAGTTATATCTTCTTGTTCTCGTGATGGAGAGATCGTAGTAATGTGACCACGACAAATTCTAGCTATTGACGTGAATAGTCCACAAACCCGTCAAGATGAAGTCATCTCCTTATAAGTTCGATCAACTTCGATGCGTTAAAGATTATCATGCATTTTTGTAAATCTTAAGTGTCAATTCGCACAAAACTCGATCGAGAAAATTAACTTCACTCGATCAAGGCCTACTTGCTAAACTCCAGCCTAGTTATTCTGCTAACTTGAAAATTCGTTAGTATATACTAACTAATATCCAAAATGTATGAACAAATATCCAAGTCTGCTGAGTATCTAGATAGCACAGACTAGTATTCTAAACGTCACAAACTAGTATCCAGATAGCAGATACCAACTAATATCCACAATCAACCAACTAGTATTCAATATGGATACTATTATGTGTTATCTTGATATTCTTATGGGTTATCTGGATACTAATTATGTGTTGTATTGATACTATTCTGTGTTGTCTAGATATTAGTTTGTGAATTTGGGATAATAGTTGATTCATGGTGGATATCAGTATGCAAACTTTGAATACTAGTCTGTGCTCTCTAAATACTTTAGTACTTGGATACTAGTTCATGTATTTTGGATATAAGTTAGTATCTGCTAACGAATTTTCAAGTTAGCAGATTAACTTTTCCCGCTAAACTCACGACATGTACACATGTTTGATGGAGAGAATTCTACCATATTATCTTCAATTCTTCATGCTTCTTGTTCATTCCAAAGTAAAGAAAACTAGTGACATTGTTTATGAAGAAAGTACTGTCATTTATTGATGAGTGATGAACTTGGAGCAGAGGGGAGCAGGGGCACTTGCACTACTATTGCTCCAATTGCTGCTGTGGCTGTGTGGATGGGCTGCTGGTTTTCCCTTTTCGAGGAGAAGGAGAAGGGAGCGTTTTCTCTCTTTTCACGTGCAGCCACTGTGAATCCATGAGAGCTGAAGGGAAGAAAGGAAGAAACCCAGCTGCTCGCAATAAATAGGACCAATCACAGATTTGAAGAACGCGGAAGTTATTATTAGCTCTCTGATAAGTTTTTCAAACGATAACTAAGTCACAAGTTAAAAAAAAAACATAATCTGATAATATTTTCAATGCTAAGTTGAACATGGAAATATTAAGTAGTGTTATAATTACCATATTGTCATTGTCATAACGTGCTAATTGTTATTAAAATGAAAGTAAACTCATATTAATTTGAAGATCGCACAAATCTGAATATCGTGCATTTAAATTTTAACAAATGTAAGGTTGTGATATCATGTCAATTCAATAAGTCATAGTTATTGGACTATGTTCAATTATTACTCTTATACCATTTACCAATACTAACATATCCAAGTTCGAGTTCTCGGACTAAATGATTTAGATAGTCTCAATCGGATAGCCATTGCTGGCATAATCATTTTGTTCTCGATTTTGGTTGGTTATCTCCAATAACACACTATATTGTTTTTTAAGTACCGCCAAAAAGATATTGTTTTCTTAAGTACAATGCGTAAAGGTTGGGTCGGGGTAAACTTGTTTTTATGAACTTGTGAAGTTGATATCTCTGAATTCATAATCTGACATCAGAGCAGTACTTGATCAAACATTGTATTGATGTTATTGACATAAGTTATGATCAGGATATATTTTGTCCAGTTACATTGGGATAGGTGATGATCATGAATGATCCTAATTAGAGTGATTATCATTGACGATTAATGGATCTTATCATGAGTTCCATATATAACTTTGACACAAAATGCCATTGGTTTTTATGTACTTTCATGAGGATTCATGTACAATTCTGTGACAAGTTTAGCCATCTGGTTTGGTCAAAAGTGGGTTTGCGTAATTGCGCGTGTGTTTAATTAATTAAAACCAGTACCTTAATTAACATGGAGAAAATAAATAGAGCACAGTTCACAGAGTCAAAGATGGGGTCATTGAATGAATGGACACTCTCATTTATGTATCCTCCCTTTTGCGTCTTGGCGGTTTTCACTGGTCAGAGAGCGTTGCCTAGGAATTCAGAACAAAATTATGTTACAACCAAAAACATTGATGAATCCATCTCCCAAAAGTCAAACCGGTGGCCAGTTAGGGTGCTGTGGGGAAAGGATAAGAGTGTGGATGGATATGGAGTTGATGCTTGTGTACAGGGATGAAAGTCAAATAGGTTAAAGTTTTCCAAGGTAGAAAAAATTAAGAAAACTTCACCAAGAAACAATCACCCATTTGGCTGTAGAAGAATATCGCCATTTGGCACTAAGGATTCTTGGGTTTTGAATATGTTACTGGACGACAGATTATCTACCGATCGGAAGTTATGCGGTTTATGCACGTTTGTTTTAGTGTTTTGGGTCTGATTTGTAACTTTTTTTTAGGTTAAATTAGATGGAGAAGATGTTATAGAAACCTTCTCTTCCATCTCTGTAATCTGTATCTGCTCAAATATAGTTAAACTGATTTTTCATATCCGCTGTTGACATAGTTAATCTAATACACTTAGTGAATCACGTAGATATGTCTATTTTTTACTTTCTTGGATTGACAAAACATAATAGTAGTATGTACATCAAAGTTTTCGGTCAAATTCTCCTACCGATAACTCGCGAAAAACACATTCATTCATCGATTCAATCTCCGATACTACTTCACCGAAACATTCCTCTCTCTAACTCTCACCAACAACACCAACCTGCAACCCCTCACTCAGCCAATTCCTCAACATCACAAACGCCACCTCAGCATCCCGATCCTCGTCGGCAGAAGCCGGCCGGTGAACAAAACCATGACCTCTCCCTTCAAACACCACAACTCTCGACGACGACGACCCGCTCCGGATCTTCCCTTCAATCTCCTTCACCACGCTCAAGCTGCAGAGCGGGTCACTGTCCCCTGCAACAAACAGAACGGGAACACTCACGTTCGGTAGTAGGCTCGTGTCAATTCTTGTTCCGTAGAAGGACACTCCGATCCCGAATAGTTCGTCCTGGTTTCGTGACAGGACGTCGATCACTCTGCCTCCGCCGTAGCAGAACCCGATCAGCCCCAGCTTCTTGGAGATTCCGGCGGCGAGGAACTCGTCCGACATCCATTTCGCTGACGCGGCGATGTCGTTTTGGACTCGGGTCGGGTTATGGGTCAATAGCCACGGTTCGAGTTCGTTGGCTGGCCGGTCTTTGGACCAGGGGTCTCCTCTGAACAAGTCAGGGACTAGGACGCTGCATAAAATTTTCATTCAACGAAGATGTTAATGGCGGATTGTTTATTGCTTTGGAATGAATCGACCTACAGTTAAAATAAAAACTTAAGCGTTTCAGTTTTAAAGCGCGATTTGATTTTGATTAGATTGGACCTAACTATCAGCTTGTAGCAGGCTTACTTGTAGCCGTTGCAGGCGACGCGGTAAGCGAAATCCCTGGTGGCTGAATCTTCGAAGCCGAATATGTCAGAGAGGAGAAGTATCCCGGTACCATTGTTGTTCTTCACGGCGGTGCAGAGATAGGCATTGATGGTGTCGCCGTCGCCTTCTCCAATCGAGATCTCAACTCCGTTGACGAGCTCGCAGGCCTCGTCGTTCAAGTTATCTCCAGTTTCCATTACCTTCTGAGAAACTGCTCTGCTCGTTCGGCTCCTTGTAATGGTTTTCGGACAATTCCAATTCCGATTGCAATTGCTCTGTACATGAACTGAAAGTTTAGAGTCAGAAGTCGGAAATTGACCTCTCTATCTAAAGCAAAAAACAGGGTAATATGAAGAATTAGAGTTTGTGGAGTGGAGTGGAGTGGAGGAACGTACAGGAAAAAGATGCAGGGGAGGAGGAAATGTTCGGCTGACATTGAAGCGGTGGTGCAGGCAAGACCAGACGCCGGCGGAGGTGGAGGTGGCTGCCGCGGCAGAGAGGGGAAATGGAGATGCGGTCGCCGGACCCATATTACCCGGCGCGGCAAAAGTTAGTTGGTCGCGCCTAGAAGGGGGAAAGGCGTCCGTGGAAGCTCAGGATATGAAGGAGGCAGTGGAGGAAGTAAAAGACAATGGGGAATCAGGATATTGGAGAACAATAATATCCCGACCTCTTGGAGGAGAAGATATTTTGCTGAAGTGGGCCACAGATTTCAACTATGGAACTGAAACACAATCTCCATCTCGTCGCAACGACTAACGAGCCACTATCCAAAAATCATCTATCCATTGTTTTTATTGGCAGAAAGATATTGTTAGATATCAACCATGCAAGAAATGGAACTTCCATGGTGCCCGAATCGAATCCACGGGACAAAAAGAGGACTTTACTGTCAAAGGCCAATTACAAAACTCTGCAGTAAAAATGTCAGGCTAAATTGTTACAGTGATCAACCAAGAGGAACGGAGCAACATTTGGTACTGAGCAGCAGCACAAGCAGCTGGAGTAACAACGTTCTTAATCCTTAAAATTTCCACAAAAGTAAAAAAAAAAAAATCCCACATCAGGGTCTTCCGATGATCATCATCATTGTATTATATCCATAAGTCTCTCTCTGTCACTCAGTCAAGGTTTCAGTCCTGTGGATCCTGCAAAGAGTAGGTCCAACAAAACAGAGACAAAACGACATTAGATTCATCAGCTGAACAAACTTTGAGTCGAAGCACCATAGGAAGAGAAAAGGCAGGGTGAGCAGCTTCAGTTGATAATGAAATACTAGGGCTATCATCCGGCAGTCACATGTTCTAAATAGGTGGGAGCTTAGTGGTAGAAAGCAAAGATACAACGAGAGTAAGTTTGATATGGAAATTCCAGCTCGCTTTGGCTTTCCTAATACTATCTTATCAAGGCAAGTTGCAGTAGACCTTATTCAACAGACGGTAACTTGTAAGGTAACAACTAAAAAGCTATGGAGAGCAGGAAAAAGGTATATGAGTATAATATCAGAACTCGGTATAATAGAATGCTGGATCTTTCATAGTTGGTTATTGGCATCACACTGTTCTGAATAAACAGCAACAGCTCTTTGTTGCCTTTGCCACTTGGCCAACTTAACTAAGGGGCATCACTAAGTAGATCAAAGAGTCTACAACTCAATAAAACAGCGCAGAAGTCAACTTGATCAGCTATGTATCAGTATGTTATCAATCATAAAGGCTCTTCACGCCATTGCAACCCTATAATAGGATATCTGAGCTACAAAGCCGGATGATATAGGTTAATAGAGCTCCAAAAAAAAGAATACATAACCAGCTAACAGTAACATCCTCTAGTCTGAGGTCCCTACCACGACTAGGGATCAGAATCAGGACAATCCGCCAGACTATCGATGTGGCAATACTCCTTTTTGCTACACATAAGGACCCAACGCTTTGCCTCATCATGCATAAATAATAAGTTCAATGATTCAGTTGTTCCTCTTTGCTTTTTCTCTACTAACTTAGGCACTTTGAGTTACCTTGAGAATGTACTGAGAACTTATCAGTTTTCCTCTTTGTTATTCTCTACTAACTTAAGCACTATGAGTTACCCTGAGGATGAACTAACTGAGAAAACTGATTTCGGTCTACATAAGTGTATCAAAATAACGGTTTTTGGTAGCCAACTTAATTCTAGTGAATGAGAAAGCAACTGATACAGTTTCATCTAGCAGGTAATCCTATTGAACTTCCTGAATATATGTGTAAGAGTAGCCAGACATCATGTCAAAACATATCTAACAAACGAAAAATAACTCTATCTCACCTGCGCAGTTGGAGTCGGAGGAACGTCCACCTTGGGAGCTGCTGGAGCACTCACCACTTTATGAGCTGGTGGTGATGTTGCAGGAGACCATTCAAAAATACGAGAGCACTCAGTGTATGCGGCTCCAGCGCCCACTCCTGCACCAAATGCTACAGCAGCCCAGCGAGTCACCGGTGTCCCTATTTTGAAACGGGCGATCACATGATCAAGTCATACTATTAGAACATGCTCTTGGCATTCAATCGAGAACAACAGGGATAAATCAAGCTCATGCGAGCTACATATATACAGCTCCAAGGAATCTTGTTTGTGTGGCATCTTCTTACGCCTTATACAACCAGCATAACCACATCTTCACATTCTCTAACTCATCCATTCTCAAAATGGGGGCTTTCCACATTCACCCAATCCTTCATGAATTGGGAAATTTCCCAAAACCGAATGAAGTCTAACCAAGCAACAAATAGAGACGAAACTTCACCACCCAAAACAACCTACAAGCAACGACCAAAAAAGAAAACCTAATCCCAATACAACCAACTACGAGAATATTCGACCCGTTCCACCATTGCCAGACCTTCCAAGCTAATTGAAACACAATTACTGTATTTGGCGTTTAAACATCTACTGGTAAACGGATAAATGGGGGGAAATAACTTTAGAGATGGGAAGAGGAAGGAAAACTGACTGAAAAAGAGGAGACCGCCGAAGGCACCAGCCATGGACGAGTAAACGAAGCGGCGAACGGTCAGATCGATACAGGCGTCCCATTTCGCGTTCACGTCGACGGACTCCGCCATATTCGATTGCTTACTGCGCTACTCTGTACGGATTTCTTCCGACTTCCGTTCGTATTCGTCCTGTTTCTTCTTCTTCTTCTTCGTCCCGTTCCTTTTCTCTGGTTAGTTCGATCGGGTTCCTGTCCTTTGATTTCTTCTCACGGTCGGCCGTGGAACCGTATTTGCCTTTTGGGCCTCTAGAGATCACTTCTTTAGGCCCAATAATGCGTTGGGCCAGAATTCAGTACAAAGGATTTCACAGCTAACATCCTAAAGTTTAGAGACTTAATTGGTAAACTAGTATAACTTTAGGTGCTTGAAAGTTATAATACCTTTCTGCTTCTACTTCACAAATCACAAACAAGGACACGTAGACATTTATTCTGGACATGAAAGTTTTCTCCGTAAAATCCAAACTCCATAGGTTCAGATGGTGGTGGAGATAGCTGGTTTGCCAAAAACATAAACAGAGGGCATCTCGATTACTTCTACTGGCTGTTTTTCTACAAAAAAAAGTATGATCTCGAGTCTCGTATAATTTGATGGATTGTTGTAGGTCGCAACATTCAACAATACGTATTGTGTATTATGAGATTCCTTGATACATTACACTCGTATCGCACCAACGAATTGTTATATTACAAAACGTTATATTCCGAAAATATAGTGCGGATCCAAAGTCACCAACCAACCTAACGTTACAACAGTCAACAATCATGCGCTAAGATTCTCCTACCAATGTACTCTCCTAGGTGTATTAAAATGAAATCGTTAAGAAACCAAACATATGCTCTTCGAGAAAGCCACTGGTCCCAGGCCCAGCACAAAAGCTAATCGTGTTTTCTGTCATTAGAGAGAAAGAAAAGGATTATTGACCTCTTTGTTAAGATATTTAAAATTATAAAAACAGGAAAGGAATATTTCACTGAACACCAAACTGAAAAAGGACAGCAAAGAAATGTCATCCAACAGCTTTTTGTTGCTTCTTGAGGCAAGCAAACAGACAAACAAACATGCTAAGAATTTCAGAATTAGATATAAAATATAAATATTCTTTTTCGGTGATTTATAAAATATAAATATTGTTTATAATAAAACATTACAGAATTTAACCCAGAAGTAACTAGGTGTGTGTGCTATAATCGCGCTCCTAAACTCATAACTCTTTACACTATTAGTTAAAATATTTGATGATCATTAATCAATCTATTTATCCAGAATCACTAACTGATACAATAAAGTTATCGTGATTCTTTTGGTTGTGATAATAAAATTGTCGGTATGGCAAGCAACTTGTACTAATTAATAACCACCAACTAATGTGTGGAAGGAAATGTCAGGGTAAAAAAAAGAGGATAGGTCATGGAGAATAGAGTGGACTTGGCTGGCTTTCCGAATAGACCGCAAATGAGTAGACTCGAGTTTTGTCTAGACAAATTTGCTCACATTAATAATTAGTGCCTAAGCAATATATGATGCAAGATTTCTCTTTTAAATTATAATAAATATGAGACATAATTGCTTACATATTCAAAATTTCAAACATTATGTAGGTCGAGATATATAAACCAATAAACCTATAATAATCAACAAATCAATTTGCTCATAAGTCGACAATCAAGTTGGCTCATTAGCCACAATGCTGACTCATCTCATGAGCTCAAAACGATCCAGCTTACGAGTTCAGTTCAAAAAGTCACCGAATCAAACTAGGGTGTACATAAGTAACGTCAAATTACCGGTAAGACGTTTTCGAATCATTGATCTCTTTCTTTTCCCTTGTAATCAAATAATTAATTAAGCAGCTCTAGTGATTCCTCTCTAATATAATCACTACACGACGCTAGTGATTCATGGAAGCATCAGCTAACTATATATATGAGGTGTCACGTTATATAACAACAACTTTTAGTGATCAAGTTGGTGTGCAATGTGCATTCAGATTGGACACACGCATATTTGGTCCTTTTTCTTGTTTGAGTTGGGTAAACATCTCAATAGTTAACTTTGGGTTCTTAAAATAATTGTTTTTAATAGTAATTTATAACTTTCTCAATATTCTCGGTTTATTTCATAACTTCACATATAAAAATTTTATTGGATACTTGTCTGTTTCGACACTCCTATGTACGTTAAGTCATTGTATTGCTTTATTGTGTAGTATATTTCTTCTCTGCTATGAATCTTTAGTGTGTAATATAGAATATTACAACAATTAGAAGTTTGATCTCTTAGACACTTATCATTCTAATATTTTCTGCTATGACAAGCGTCTGAGCATATGTAATTCTCTGCTCACCTATACCTGAACATAAGTCCAAACGACTTTCATAGAGACCATTAAATATCGTCATTCTACCCTTGAATTTCAGGTACCAAATGAGCTCACTAGACAAACATATGACCATTCTATGACTAAAGCAAGAGTTGTAAAATCGCATCGAAAAAATCATTAATATGATATTTTGTGATTAAATCATGATATACCACTAATATGTGTTCGATTTGGAATCCGGTCTCCGTACTCTCCGATCCCAATGGTTGATCTGATACGGTATCTAAAGCATTGAACTAAAGTCACTTCTTATTTCAATATTTTACTCTCGAATGCTATATCTCTCAATCGAACACTCTCTTACAACATCATTAATATGTCACAAGCATTCTTCTTTTCCCTGTCAGATTTAAGTTACTACCCTTCAATAACAATACCATAAAAAAATTGTTACCACTTATAGATCCCGAGTCTCTTGTCACAAGAACTTATATTAATCAATGATTAGTATGATTATGTCAACCGTAAATCCAAATAGAGATATCCTTACTGAAACCCCAAATTGTAACCTTCTCTGTCACTATATTGGAAAATTGGAATGTAGTCCACCGCAAACCAACGATCCAGCATATATATCCCTGGTTCCACTGGTTGGTATAACGATAAAAATAAAACTAATAATAATAATAATAATAATAATAATAATAATAATAACAACAATAATAGATCTTTCCCTTTTTTTTTTTTTTTGACAACTCCATTTGTTTTTTTTTATATATGCGAAGGAAGATATTTCGTTTGTTTGATTGTATTTTGTATGACAGCCTGTTTCTAGGTAAAGGACACTTGTCAACTGAGTATATGGTGATGCGGAATTTTTTTTGGGTTCTTTCTCATTCTGGTACCGCGTATTTTGTACATAATTTATACCTGTCCTAACCTTGCATAATTCATTTCTTCCACCAAGTAATGACAAGATAGATAGATAGATAGTTTCGACAGAAATTGTTATCACGAACTCTCCACACACCGCATCTTAATGAAATCACCTTACAAAATTGAAAGAAATATTGACACGACTTGCATAATTCTGTTTAATCGTTTGTTACACCTTTTGTCTTCTATATAATTTTAAAAACGGAGCAGTCGATTTGTTTTAATTCACAATTCGGTTTTTACAGCGGAAGTAAAAGTTATACATGTACAGCACAAACAATGACTTAGTTTAACGATACATTACTGATTGAATATGAACGAGTAGTGGGCATGCATGTAATGTGTATATGCATGAGTGTCGAGTGATCATAGCTAGCTAACCTAGAATCTCTCTCTCGTTATGTCTGTCTATCTGTGAAAATTCAGGAGAATAAAATCTGCGGGTTGTGTAGATCCATCTGGCTTCTTTTACGACTCTCTTCTCTAGTTCTCTTCCTTCTTTTCTTTTCCCAGGGAGCCTACCTGCAATTCAATCATGGAGAATGAGTTGTTAACGTGCCCACCATCAATTCAAAATTATGGTTTGGGGAGGACATCATCATGCATGCATGTTATTGAACAGGGGGATGGACCAGGTCAGTTGATTGAGTCGGTCTCGATACGAACCGATCAACTATCCTATCAGATTATTTGTGTACAATTCATCTTTAAATTATAATCAGAAATCTAAAGATTTTTGTTTTGCGATCGACCAAGTGATTCTGTCAAACAAATGTTTGCATCTTTCTGCTTTTCTTTACAATCACTTCTTCGGTATGCTTTTCACTCCCAATACGAGTTAATTTTTATCTATCAAACTTATTGTAATTGTGATCAATCGAAGCTCAACCCACTTACTTTTACTTTTAATTTGTGACTCAATAGTTGAAACTGATAGAAAACAACCTTGGAGCTTGGGGGGAAGATCTATGGTTCATATATTCGTTCCCATGAAGGGGCATTGTTAGGTTATGAAGTGTCATTGTTGTTTTGATGACCCCAACCACTTGTTTTCCTTTTGAAAGAGAGAGGAGGAGAAGAAAGGTGGATTTGGATGGCTTGCCCTATCAGTTTGTGTAGTGTTTGTCAAGTTGTTATCCTAGCTAATACTTTATTTATATTGAACACCGCCGCTTTTCCATTTCAATTTTCTTTTTTCATAATTTTTTTGAGTCAAGAATTCACATCAACGTATGGCTAAAATTAAATCTCGTTTTAAGTATAACGTTTCACAAAGAAAAATATCAATTAAGTGTATGATGTTAAAAGTGAAGAAACCAGACTACTCTCACCACTTCAACAAGATCGTTCGTTCCAATGATATAGATTAAGTTGTTAGAAGAGGTTTGATTAAAAACTTTTAATTACACCATTACTAGTTTTCGTATATAATTTTCACCATCCATGCCAGTGAATGATTATATTTGAAGTTTGTTCATCAGCTCCATGGACCTTCTACGTATGTAAATGGTAAGTTATAAATATTCAAAATTATCAATTTCAGACACAATATTTTTCATTATACCTTTACAAGTTCGATTTATATCTCGAATTAACGAATACTTTAAAGTATAGGTGAAGGGTTTGCTAACGTATCATCAATTCTATTACAAAGTTCTACCCGATCAACTACCTATGTTTTGCTATTTACTATTTCTTTCCTCTCTAAAAGGAGGTCCGAGGTCATGAATGAATCATGGACCAAGTTGAGATCAAAAGCCAGGAAAGAAAGAAAAGAAAGTCTTGTCTTTGTCCAACTCAAAGCTAAATTCCAGGATCCGCCGGCATGTTTTATAGAACAGGGAGTAAAGCCCAAATATAAGCCATTAATAAGCCAGATAGACAAACGGCAAAAGTCCTTCCGCCGGCAGCTTCACGAAGAGCATGATGGGGAAAGTTAAGGCTAAATTCCGGCCAACCATCAAACAGTCAATCTCGCACCGATGGATTCAATTAATGCGTTCTCACAAGATTGAAACTAGTGGTGGAGCTACTTACAAGCTACAAAGGATTATATATGGCATGGCAGATTCAACTTTTAAATCGTATAGTTTGAGTGTGGAAGTTATAGCGAAACTTGCACTACAAGAAAATCGGATTTTAGCGGTTTAGGTGATTTACGTGACTCAATGGTCCAATAGCGACACATAAATCGTGTATCACCAATACTGTTGTGGCTGATTCTCTTTAATTAGAGGTATATGTTAGCGACACGTATCATCTGCTGCTAATTCAGAAATCGCGACAAATCATTTTATTGCTAATTTCACTTCTGAAAGATTATTTTATTGTCTTCTAGTGGCACAAAAAATTTGTTGCTAATTTACTTTTACCGGCATATATCTCAGCTAACAAAGGTCCCTCGAAGAGAAGTTGGGCTGGTGGCAAAATCATGAATGGCGACGATAATGCTTCAGAATTAAATTCTCAAACAAAGTATTATTACGATAAAAAAATCAATGATGGTTACTAGATAGCAAGAGGGCTATAAGCCTGAATTCACTTTTACGATCTTGTCTGGCATACATGAACTTCTTTGTAATCCCTGACATTGTATACATTGGGGATTTCCCGTTATAGTAAAAAAAATAGAGTATAGAGATACTAAGTAATCATAAAATTCAATTTCTAAAATGAAATATTTCACTCTATGTGATTTTAGTCGTCTGATCCACTTCCATAATTATGTTGTCCTGCAAGTAATCATAAGTTCCCTTAATTTCTATCATCGTAAGGTGGATGCATTAGGAATTTCTTTCCAAATGTCCATGATTTATTTGTTGTCGCCAATGTATATTCCTAACCCTAGTAATTCTGTTTGTATTCATTCTGTTTGCCTGTAACGAGAGCTGGAATGTGTCTTCTTGTACTTCGTTCATCCACCGTGGAGCATATAGCTAGAGGATTTTGATCGGGTCTCACATAACAAGGAGTTAGCACATGTACTTGTAACTTGATTGTAAAGAAAGAATTTATTGTTACGTTGATTGAAAGAAAACAACATTAACATGGAAACCTCTTGTTAATTAACTTGTTTTGTGATTGGAGGCTTTGATTTCATCAAATATTTTGGAGAACACAATGGCAATTTCTTGGATGTATATAGTTATTATATTATCAATTAATAATGGGGAAAAGGACACATAAAAAAGCTAGTAAATTACAATTTATAAAAAAAGGAACAAAAAGAAAAGATGACTTATAATGTGAATAATAATTCATTGATACAAACGACTTCATGGTATCTAATTTTCATGATGTGCATGGTTCCAATATTGATGTAAAGCTTTGACATTTACTCTTGTAAAAGTCATAAAAAATTTCTACATAAGATCATTGAGGGTTAAGCGTATGGTGAATTGGTGATATAGTCTAAGTTCAAGCAAAACTTATTTGGAGTATAGTAGATAACTTCGGTTGATTGCATTAGTCAATCAGTTGATCGATATATTGACCATATGTGATACACTATGAGTGCCTTACAATGGTCGATTGTGTTCCATCCTAGTTCAATGGGTTTTAAGCTAAGATGCCTACAGTAAGAGAAATTCTATGTTTGTATTTTATATGATAGATAATGGTCTATCAATGCATCAAACAATCGAGCTTGTGGTTGTCAAGTCGCTGACTTGGTGTGAAGTTCGGTTGTTTTTTCGTTTAGCGTCCATCCTTTTTGTTTAGTTGTAATTCTAAGCAAACATAATAATGAGATGATATTAAAGGTGTTGATCATAATTTAATATTGATTTTAAAGGGAGGAAAACACTTTGTCACTTTTAAATTTATAAAAGCAAAATGTGTGTCGATGACAAGTATCCTAAAACAATCAAGATAACTCAGGTAAAAAAAATGACAAGCCACAATATCAAAAAATACATGAAGCAGGTCAGAAGCTCACCGAACCATAAAACTCATAAAACATAGCAGAAATCTCAAAGATGACCACACGTTTCCTGAAACATACTAGAAACTCATAAAGCTTAGCCAAAGTATCATGAAGCAGAAAAGAAATATGTGAAACCACACCACAATTCTCACGACCCAAAACAGACAGAAAAGAAACCAGACAAGAAAGGCTGAAACATTACAAATCAAACAAGAAAGGTATATCCATCCTTTTTATCTCGACTTGTATAGGGTTCCCACTTGCATGCCTTCTTGTTCGTTACCTGGGCGTTCCATTGATATTGGGTAAGCTCAACAAGGTTGTCTGTCACGTCTTGGTAGATGGTATCACTGCTCGCATAAGGGGCTGGCATGCTAAAACATTAAGCTACACGGGTAGGGTGCAATTGATTTCTTGTCATCTCTAGTGTATTGCAATTTGGGATGAATGTCTTTGTTTTGCCAACTGCTATCCTGAAGGAGATTGATAGGCTCTACAACAACTTCTTGTGGGGTGTGGGAAGGGAGTACTTGGCTTAAAGCACCAGCTTCATGGTCTTTTGCAGTGTTGCTCAAGTCTGAAGGTGGGATGGGGATCTAGTATTTCTGGTTGTGGAACAAAGTTTGTGTCATTAGGCACCTGTGGTCAATCCTAGCTTGCAGTGGATCCATCTGGGTTGCGTGGATTAGAACTTACAGACTCAAATCCAAATTTATATGGGAAGTCTCCTCTACCTTTGTGGGATCTTCGGTTTGGAAGCATATGCATAAGCTCAGGGACATTGCTAGTGGATTTATCACAGGCTCAGCTTGTTCTCTTCTATGGATGGTACCTACATGCCTCGTTGTTCAGTGTCAAAAGTTTGGCACAACATCAAAGGGTCTCACCCCAAGTTGGTTGGGCAGCTTTGGTTTGGGGGAAGTTACTCATTCCTAAATATAGTGTCTGGGCTTGGTTGATTGTGCATAGCAAGATCACTACTGCTGACAAATTCATAATGCGGGGGTAAACTCTTACTGGATGTTGTGTGTTATGCCCGGGTGGGGTTGAATGTAGAGATCACTTGTTTGATGGATGTTCTTTCTTCAACTATATCCTGGAGGTTGTTTTCTCTGAAGCTCCTCCTACAACACTTAGTGATTAGGCATCTACTTTGAACTGGGGTCTTGGCATCAAGGGTGTGGATGGTAGGGCTGGCTATTTGGACCGGGACCGGATGAAAAACCAGAAACCGGACCGTATAACCCGGACCGAGACCGGACCGGGACCGGATAGTAAACAATCCAATCCAATCTTTGGGCTTAGATTTGAGGTAAAAAACCGGATAAAGACCGGATAAGAGAGCTCAACACCCAAAACTTAAGGGTAATTTGCATAAATGGTCACAAACCTTTGCACTTAGTACAAAACTTAACCAACTCCTCACCCTTTTAGGCCTTAGGCCACTCAAATTCCCACAATCTCAATATAAAATCAAGACCGAATTGGGACCGGACCGGGTCAAGACCGGACTGTATCCAATCCAATTTTCGGTCCTTATAATTTCAAAAAACCCGGACTGGACCGGATCAATTTGGGCCAATTTAACCGGACCGGACCGTATAGCCACCCCTAGTGGATGGGGAATTCTGATCGTGTTCGTGTAGGTAGGTTGTTGTGGCGATTGGTGATTGGACATGTCTGGAAGGAGAGGTGTCGTAGATGGTATATATAGAGAGGGTGGCATTTGTACTCCTCATCAGATTGTGACTCGGTTTTGTTCATAAATTTATTTCATAGGTTTTGTACACCCACAGGTTACTCGGATTATAGATAGTTTCTTTTCAGTTTTTAGAAGTTGAGAGGGCTTCTAGCTTTACCTCTTGAAAATGTAAAAACTGGTATGTTTGAGAGGATCCCGCGTTTTGGAAATCCTGAGGATTAATGAAATTTTTTGATTCGCAAAAAAGAAATACGAGAAAAAGGATCAAAATATTCTTACTAATCATGGTGAACATGGCTGCTAACATAAATATCAATCATTAACGATTAGGTAAATTCTTGACAATATGGGAAAAAAAGATTTTACAAGTAAGAGCTTCGGTTTTAAAGCAAACTCGGAGTTACCCAAAGTGACAACACAACTCGCCCACCAACCCACGCACAGCGGTTATATGGGATGAACCGCTCTGGACAAATCTCTCTCTCTCTCTCTAATCTATGCCTTTCAGAAAGAAGAGAGAAGGTGGGGACGGGTCCCACTAATCGAAGTGGCGTAGTAGCTGGCAAACATGTCTGACAGTCTGTTTCTCTCTAACGCCCAGCCCCGCCTTTCCTTTCCCAAACCCCAAAACCCCTCAAAAGAAAACCAAATACCCCACGCACTCCTCAAATAATTCAATCATTACAAAACAGCCCCCAACAATTACCATAATATTTTCCCCCTCCTTCCCTTTTAAAACCCCCCCTTTACCCCTTCTATCACTCTGTTCATTCATTCCTTTCTTTCTTCCCTCTCTCTCTCTTTCCCTTTCCCAATTTTCTCTCTCTAGACAATTGAAATTTGAAACCATCCATGGCGGAAGAGACTCAAGCGCCGGCTGCCGCTTCCACACCGGCAGCGACGACGACCGAGGAGGTCGTGATGGTGGAGAAGCCCGTGACTGAATCGCCGGCTCCAGTTCCCGAGGCGGAGGTGGAGGAGAAGAAGGCGGAGGAGCCGAAGGAGAAGGAGGAGGTCGTTGCGGCGGAGGAAGCTGCTCCGGCCGCCGCGGAGGAGCCCGAGCTGAAAATTGCGCAGTCGGTTTCGTTCAAGGAGGAGTCCAACGTCGTCTCCGAGCTTCCCGAAGCTCAGAAGAAGGCTCTGGAGGAGCTGAAGCAGCTCATCCAGGAGGATCTGAACAAGCACGAGCTCACCGCTCCGCCGCCGGCCCCGCCGGCGAAGGAGGAGGAGAAGAAGCCGGAGGAAGAGGAAGCAGAGAAGGTTGTTGAGATCAAGGAGGAGGAGAAGACCGCTGAAGAAGCTCCGAAGACCGAAGAGAAGCCGGCGGAGGCAGCTCCAGCAGCAGAAGCAGCGCCGGCCGCTGCGGCTCCGGCAGTGGAAGCAGCTCCGGCCGCCGCTGTAGAGGAGGAAAAGAAGGAAGAGGAAGTCAAAATTGAAGATAAGAAAGAGGATGTGAAAGAAGAGGCCACCACAACCGCCGTCGTTGCCGCTCCAGCCGTCGATGAAGACGGAGCGAAAACCGTTGAGGCGATCGAGGAGACAATCGTCGCCGTTGCCTCCACCGAGCCACCAGCAGCGGCTGAATCAGCTCCAGACGCCTCATCCTCCATCAAACCAGAGGAAGCGAAAACAGAGGAGCCGAAAACAGAGGAGGAAGCTGCTCCATCTCCGCCGCCGGAGGAGGTCTTCATCTACGGCATCCCGCTCCTCGGCGACGACCGGAGCGACGTCATCCTCCTGAAATTCCTCCGAGCTAGGGATTTCAAAGTGAAGGACGCCTTCACCATGATCAAGAACACCGTCCGCTGGAGGAAAGAATTCGGAATCGATTCGCTCCTCGAGGAAGACCTCGGGAACGAGCTGGAGAAAGTCGTCTTCACCAAAGGAGTCGACAAGGAAGGCCACCCGGTCTGCTACAACGTCTACGGCGGGTTCCAGGACAAGGAGCTCTACCAGAATTGCTTCGGCGACGAGGAGAAGAGCAAGAAATTCCTCCGGTGGAGGATCCAATTCCTCGAGAAGAGCATCCGGAAGCTCGATTTCAGCCCCACCGGAATCTGCACCATCGTTCAGATCAACGATCTGAAGAACTCCCCTGGACCTACCAAGCGCGAGCTCCGGCAAGCTACCAATCAAGCCGTTAGCATCCTCCAGGATAACTATCCCGAGTTCGTCGCCAGACAGGTAAAACTACTAGTACTCTTTTTTCCCTCTTTTCGAACTATGAATCGCCCTTTGAACGTGATTGATTGAAGTCGATTTCAATTTCCAAATAAAGGTGTTCATCAACGTGCCGTGGTGGTACCTAGCATTCAACAAGATGATCAGTCCATTCCTCACCCAGAGGACCAAGAGCAAGTTTGTGTTTGCTGGACCTTCCAAATCTGCTGAGACTCTGTTCAAGTAAGTCTTTCTTTCTTTTCCTTTTTTGAATCAGAATTCCTCTGTTTTCGGTCAATAAAGTGGTTTGTTGTTGGAAAAAGGGGAAAAGAATCTTTGAATTTGGTGAGAGGGAGATTTGGGGACTGAATTTGGTAAATACTGTGTAGATACATAACACCAGAGCAAGTTCCTGTTCAGTACGGCGGACTGGGCAAAGATGGGGACCATGAATTCACTGCTTCTGATGCTGTGACTGAGATCGTAATCAAGCCTGCCGCTAAGCACACTATTGAACTCCCTGCAACCGAGGTAAATTCGTGACTCTTCTTTTTAATTCTCTGCCGCGCTTCAGTCTGAGCGAATTCATGGGTTCTGACAATTCATTGATTTTGCGAAGAACTACGTTCATTCGTTACAATCTAGGTATGTAGAATGCATTGTTTGTTAAGTTGGATTTTGTTTTTGTTGGGTGGTGGCAGAGTTGCACATTGGTGTGGGAGCTGAGAGTGTTGGGATGGGAGGTGAGCTACGCGGCGGAGTTCTCGCCGAGCGTGGAGAATGGATACACGGTGATCGTGTCGAAGAACAGGAAGGTAGCTCCGACGGACGAGGCGGTGATCTACGACAGCTTCAAGGCAGGGGAGGCCGGCAAAGTTGTGATCACCATTGATAACCAAAGTAGCAAGAAGAAGAAGCTGCTCTACAGGACCAAGACCAAGCCCGTTTCTTCGTAAGAAGGTTGTTGTTTCTTATTTGTTTTTCTTTATCTTTCTTTCGGATCAAGATACAGAGGGGAGGGGGATTTCTTTTTGTTGTTGTGGTGATTATTCATTTTTCTCATGGTATTTCTGTTGGGTTTCTGATGATATTTATAGTTGGGGGAGTGGGGATTTTGGAGTTGGATTCAACTTCAAGATGGATTTATGGCTGCTTGGACGTTATATATGAATACGTGATGTGAGGTCCTGTGGTGATGGGGAGGTTTGCTTTGAAATATTTTTTTTCACCTTTTGATAATTTAATTTGGATGTAAAATTTGTTTACAAATGGTCCATTTTGTGTATAATTCTCATCCTTTTCATGTCATTAATTATGTTCATCTTTACTTCAAGCACTTAGATTGTTCTTTGGTCATGCCTGACACATGGAAGAGTTCCATTTGCCGAAGGATAATATTGGGAAAATAAAGATTTTGATTGTGTTATAAATCATATTGTTAAAAATGTTCGGATCATAAACAAAAATTGAATTTAAACTCAATATCGAATACAAATAGGCTATTGGATATTAGTTGATCACGTTGAATTTATAAGTCATATAAGATTTAATTACTTCTGGTAAAAGGATTTTTTTTTTATTTTCATTAAATTTGTCGGACGAACCTAATAATTAGCTTCAGTGATCTATTTTCCTATTTATAGAACTAGAATATAGCAATCGTCTTACATTACTTACACAACTGTACTCATAAATTGTACCCATCCATCACAATTCACAAGACATAAGTTGTACTTCATAAAACCAACAAGAATGTCATGCCCCTAAGATCAAATTCAATATTGGTGAAATTTAGCAACAGAAATCAAAACCAATAGTGGATCAATCAAACTTCCAATACAAACTAAAATAAACATCCTGGCCAATCTTTTCGATCTATAACATCATGGCCCGAACTATACACCAAAATAAACAATTTGGCCAGATCCGACTTTTGACCGTTAACTTGGACGGTCAAACGCGTTGATCGTTAGTCAACGCGCATGTCACTGCCAAGTCAGCATAAAATATTTAAAATAATTCACAATTTCCACACATTCCCTAATTTTAAATTATTATAAATTAAAAAAATCATCTAATACATTAGTTAAACCAAAAATAAAAAAGAAAAAAATTAAATATTTATCAGATCTCCTGACTTGGCAGTGACGTGGGGCTTGACCGTTAGTCAATGCGTTTGACCGTCCAAGTTAACGGTCAAACATCGGGTTTGGCCAAATTGTTTATTTTGGTGTATAGTTCGGGCCAGGATGTTATAGATCGAAAAGATTGGCCAGAATGTTTATTTTGGCCAAAATTCAGGCCATACGAAAGTATTAACCCTTGTTTTTATGTTGTAAACTTGTCTCGATACATTCAGTCGTATTATACATACACAACCGATAATACGATACAGTTTCATGGTGTATCGGTCAAACCCCAATCCTATCCGATGCATACATATAGTTGCCCACCAATTGCGGGAGGAGGAGCTGTAAGATTAGACGTGGATGCCATGCTTTTGACAAGATATGAAAGAAAGGAATTTGGTCACAAAAAGAGACAGATACACCTTTACTTTACTTAACACCACGCGAATCAAATCATCAATCTGGTTGTGGACTTTTTTGATGGTTCATACTAATCTAATCCCCCAACTCATCCCATAATATCTATTAAATCCTATCTAATCTAATCACAAATATATCCTTATTATATTTAAGAAAAGCCTCTGAGTCGACGTCTGGCACCAGTTTAAGAAATCGGCCAAGGAGATAAGAGGGTTTGAAAGAAGCTGATGGACTGACTGACCCACCAACTATTGAATACTACTCTAGAACTATTACTTGGTGGAAACGGCAAAAGCAAACAAAACAGCCGAGTTGTATACAGAAAAGAGTGGATTCTGTGCTGTGCTGCTGTTTTTGTTGTGTCGATGATAACTTTGAAACTTCGATCATGGTTACTTCAGCCAGATCTCTCCAATTGAAAGCGACCTTTCAGAATGGGCCTTCTCTCTCTCTCTGTTCTGCTTTTTTTTTTTTTGGTCGTAAAGCAGAGGCAGAGGGCATTTTTGACTCTCTCTCTCTCTCTGTAATTAGGGTCACAATTAGCAACTTGATACACAACCCTTTTTTGGCCGTTGGTTTCTCCAGCCGTTTCGTTCGATCAAATCATCTGTAATTAGGGTAGACGAGGTAAGTACTAAGTAGGGCTAACTGGGAATTTTCATACTTAACAGTTAACTCTAATGCTAACATAACTGGGACTCCCATACATGAAAACGAGAACCCTGTGGACCGGACCATCAATGACCACAAATATGAAGGACTAATTTGTAACACATCTTTCTCTGCAGTCCCGCCGATTGTCGTTTTCCGTTACGAAGACTGGGCAGATGGAAATAGGAAAAGAAAATAGACGGAGGAACAATAAATCAGAGAAAATAAATAAATATTAATTTGTTTAGGCTGGGTGTGAAATGACAAAATTAAAAAGACGACAAATGTAAGAACATATGGCTGTTTGGCTGTCTGCCTGTCACGCAGGCACGCGCCCCCTTTCCCCAACTGCAATTAGAAGGTTACCGTTTGGTAATCCATGATTTGCTACTTTGTAAAAAAGATTAGGAAAATGGATTGTTTGATTAACTACTTTAGAATTAATGGAGTCTAAGAGCTTAGAAAGAGGTTAGTTTTGATTATAATATTACGCGAATGAACAGAAACGATTGTAATTCTTCTCGCTTTTTCACTTTGCTTTTCCTGAAATCAAAATAAAAAGAAAATAAAGGAAACCAAAGATTCTGCTATGCCTTCAAATTAATTTGATTTCACTTTTTCTATGGGTCACCGAATACATTTTTCACGTTGATTCGATCACGGAGGAATAGGATCTTCTTAATCCTTGTTTTCCTCTCTACCTTGCATAAAATATTTATATTTAAACATTAACAAATATTTACAGGAGAAAAAAATATTCATAATCAACGAGGAAAAGCAAACATTATTGCCCTAGGGATATTTACGAGAAAGATATAAGGGATTGTTTAAAATGATGACATTGAATGAGATAATTTGGTTCAATTGTTTCCAAATAAAAATTTTTTGGTCAAATAACCTTGTCTGGCAACACAAAAAAAGAATTTAACAATTGGGATGAGATGATTTAAATTACCTTGATTCGCATCAATTTGAATTAAGAAGAGACCATTGAAAGGAGGAGAAAAAGTTATGATAAATTTTTTTAAAGTAAAATGAGATGACTGATAATGAGACGATTATAAAATAATTGTGTTAAATTAGCTCATTTCAAAAAATTCTATCATTGAAATTTGAAATCACCAAATATTAAAAAAAAAAAAAATCGCTAACCCTAAGCATGGAGTTTCCGTCGGGGTTATATATAGAATAAAATAAGTCATTTTGGAGGTTTCCTTCATTCATGGGATAGACAGCAAAGGTATCCCAAGCCAGCAGTGGAGGGAATTCATCGCTAATCATTTCCTCCACTATCCTAATAAAAACTCATAATTTTTTTTTTGATAAACTTATGAATGCCAAAACAGATTTTAGCAGTTTTTTTTATATTGTAATATAATAATAATAATTTTGAATATATTTGCTACATAAAAACAAGAGTAAAAATTACAACTAGTGTTGATGTGATTTGAATCGGACGATCAGCGGCTAAATGTTATTTGGGTTCGTGTTCTGAGTCTCGTTGTAACCGCTTTTCCTTAACCAGATTGGATTATCTGTAATCTGTATCTCATCAAACTATAGTGAAACGGGCTCTCTTCTGCACGTGGAGTAATTAACACACACTGTGTTAGTAAACCACGTATATCTGTGTGTCGTTTTCTTTCTTACTTTCGTATTATTGATTTTTCGAATCCTCCAATTTACCGATCGACAGAGAAACAGTCGTGATCATGACAACTAGTTCCCCCTCCTCAATTTTGAAAATTAACAGAACTTAAAATTAAAATATGTACAGCAAAGAAGTAGACCCTCCTCATGCCTCAATAATGATGCATTTACGTACAACTAATTCCCCCTCCCCCTCCTCTTTTGATTCAATGCTAATTAATCGATATCTAATTTTTTATTCAAATACAACGCCAATACTCTATTATGTCGTGGATCTGCGTTGCTTAGAATTCAGACTAGTGGTATATTTTTTTGTAATTAAAAGGAAAAAAAAGAACTGCATGGTTTCCTGTGGTCATGACTCACGACAACAAAATTCAAGAGATCCATTGAACTACTGTTACGTGGCTCATATGCTCCCCTATTTTTCAATTTCAATGATTTATCCACCATAATGATTTGAATTTGAAAATTTGGCCCAAACAATATAAAGCTGATAATGATAACTTTTGATGAGACCACCCACGAATGAAAGTTATAACTTAGAACCCCACGATCTATTGCGATATCCCCAATTTAGGGTTAGTTTAGTTTGTGAAATTGTATAGGACACCTCGACATAATTATTATAAATATATATTCAACTGGTATAAAACTGACGAACGCAGATAAGTTAATGGTAGTTTGTATATAAATTTTATCTAAATAAACATTAATTATTTATAACTAAAAATTTTGGGGGAAAAAAATGAGATAAAGGCGTCAGACACCCTTTCGGCAGCTGAACCATTCTAGGTCGTGGCAACACAGGTTACCGACCAAAATATTACAGCACCAACTGCAGAATAAATACTTTCTTTCTACTTGATAATCCGCCGCCGCCACAACTGGCTGTTCTTTCATCGTCGTCGTTGTCGTCGCCGCCGCCTCATGAAACACATCTCTCATTGCGCTGCAAGGACATTGCTGTATCGACAGTAGAAGAAGCAGTATCGCCAAAAATGTTGTTGGAATAAGCTTGTTTCGATCATTTCTTGACTTCAGACTTGCCATGATAAATATACAGATATTGTTCTGAATTTTATGCAAAACCTTTGTGCTGCATACGTGAAAGAAGGTGAATTTTAGTTTCTTATACATATGGTCTGGTTTTTCTTTTTTTACATATATGATATATGGCGTTGGTTACAAAACTCACCTTCCATCCATCGCCCTCGTCTTCAGCAATGTACCAAACTCCCTGATTCTTAGTTAACTCTCCACTTGTTTATAACTTCAACTCGACTCTCTGAAACTCGGGAGGCACTATTCTATAAATAAAACTTGGTCTAAATTTTGTTATTTAAAATCTAACAAAATTTAAATACAACATAATAAACAAAGTTATTATAAAACAATTTAAAATATATATCTAATATGATTGTTAATAAAGAGTGATAACTGTTTTACATAGAAAGATGAATCAACATTTGATAGATTGGATCAAACGGAATGAGAAGAAAAGGATACAAATAATAACTAAATGGACAATTAATCGATTAAACGGACTCGTTTGAATAGGTGGTTAAATAAAGAAATCA